CTCTCTCTCTCTCTCTCTACTTCGCTCTTTATTTATCTCCTCTCACCCGAGAATGGATTGTAAATAGCAACTGTGCGGTGGATAATGCAGATGAGACCTCTCCCGCTCCTTGCCGCCGGCCGCCCGAAGGCCTCGGGAGAACGCAAACGTTTGCTTTATCGTATAAGCCTGCCAAGTTTTTCCATTATCGCGCGGGAATTTGCGCGAATCGATCACGAAACTTTATTCCGGCTGTCGTTCGCCCGTGCCTTTTACCCACACCCATGTCGCATCTGTCATCCTTTAACACCCGCGATAGGGCGTGCGAACAAAGGCGCAGCAGTTCTTTCACCCCTTCGTTCGCGCGCGATTCTCTTCCAGTTCGACCGAGGCGATTCTCCCTTTTTCTGCTCCTCTGCCAACGTTATTAAACGATGCTTCGCAATCGACCGGCCGCTCTCACCGTGCGACTTTTGCAAATCAACCCTGTCTCGCCGGGCCCACTTCGGGTAAGTGGTGATTCCGAAGCGCGTCGACGGACATTCCACGTGCGACGCGACATTCGAAGCACGAAAGCACTCGAAACGCGGAAACGCAGAGCGTTCAAGTTGGCTGATCGACGCGTTATGAAGTTGTCGGTATTTTCCAACCGCACGCATTCGTTTCTGAATATCAACATGAGAGCCGTCACGGTGACGGATTGCTGGCTTGATATGTCGTCCCCGTTTTTTCGAGTGATCAGTTATGAATAATAAATCGCTCTTCCGCCGAAGCAGTTTCGTCAACTGTGTTATTTACGAAACGTCGGAAAGAAATTCACGATCGACAACACGGCGCGAGCCAACGAGCAAGCCAGCTGAAGCGTTTCTCCGCGCCACGCAGGCCTAAAATATCGGATGAACAATCAGAACTCTACCGACACTTTTGCATCGGGTTGGTCGAGAGGTTCGGTTCGATCTTCGACAGACAATGGTTGCGTTCAGCAGAACTCCAGCTCTTTGTAAACGGTTTATGCCCGGTTTCTTCACACCTCCCAATAGCTATCTTCCAGATAAAGGTATCTGTCAGATAAGTAAAAAATTCGTTTTCACTAAAACCTCTGGTTACGTATCTATTCTTCGCGCTACTAGCTTTTGACACAAAATGTGTTAGAAATTTGCTATAAATCACCATATTCCGCCAGCGACATATTCTTCTCCGAGCTAATATTAACTAATTAAAGTAATTTCCACAGTATTAACAATCGGTCTTCAATTGGATGTAATAATTCGAGCACTATATTCTTTTTGAAATGAAATCGTTCGAAAAATTCTGTGTCATTCCACACTTGAAAATTGTTCAGTTTATTTCTTACTGTATAGGGTCTTCTTTTCACAAATTCTTCATTATCATCATTATCATCAGATTCAAAAATATTAATATTCATGAATAACAAATCCATGTTGTGTTTTCATAAAAACAGCAACAGCAACAGCAGATTACGTATTATTGTAATTTTTTAATCATGTCAGGGCACTGGAATTAATATCTGCCAGATATCCGCTACTTCAGGTACCGAATAAGTTTATCTGTCGGATATAAACTTTACAAAGGTGAAGAAATTCGGGCATTAGTGATACATTGCAACAGTTTAGATGTTCTGCTGAACGCTCTTTGTACTCGTCAGAGTGATACATATATATATATATATATATATTTGTAAACATCGGACTAACCTTTCATTACTTGCTGTAAAATAGTTCTACATGCATTTTTATTATTCAGCTGTTATATTTGATATACTTATTACATTAAAAAAGACCTATGTAAAATTTGAAACGTTTCTTCTTATTTTTGCTGTGCGGCTTTATTCTAACCTATGCATCATCTATAATATGCATTAATATACTTTGATATGAGTATAATTATATATTTCATTATTAAATTATTTATACATATCTTTTTCTAATTGCTCGTGCACTTCTATAGAATCTACATTATATATAACGTCTTTATGCGTGTATTACGCTTCACATAAATTGGGGGCATCCATCTTGCTCAACATGTGCTTAGATTCAGCTTACTTTTAGTTCGCTGAGAAACATGGCGACCGCTGAGTAAATATGTTAGACCGCTGAGTCTGTTTAATAGAAACCGTTCAGAAGAAAATCATAAAACGGTTTTGCAACCGTTTTGTCCTGCTGAACGCAGCCAATTTCGCGCACGTGCGGTACAGGCAGCTGATAACAATGTCTCGCAATTGTCGGAACGTCGGACGGCGAGGAATCGCGGAAAACCGTCGAATCGTCGACAATTAATTTGACCAACGAGTAATTCGCTGCCGCGTCGAATGCGGTGCAGTCGCAAACTCGGCGCAAAAGTCCAACCGAACTTCCCGCTCGACTGGCTCGATACGTGATCGCACTACTTCGAATGTATTTTCTTCGCCACAGTCGGAAGCTTCGCTCGGAATTCCGTCGTAACTCGCGAAACAGCCCTTCAGGAACTGCTCTCGGGGAAATATCCTTCCTCGAAGATGCGCAAAATTACTTTAAAGCGGGCCACTAAACTGAGCAAAATGGCGTCGCGTTACTCGCAGAACGACTCTCGCCTCCGCCAGCCGGGGGGCGCTTGCGTCTTCGGGATTGTCGGGTTGCGCGCTGGAACTCCCCGAGGAACTTTCAAGCGGCCGCGTTATATTGAACAATTATCGCCGTAGCGTCGGGAATTTATTATCGCGGTACGTACGCGAGTCAGGCCGGTAACGTGAGAAAATCCGCCGAAGCTGTTCGCGCGAACGGGTCGCTACGTGCCGCGAGAAAATGAGAACGGGGAAACTGCGTCTCCTGCGGCTCCCCCATGGGAGACGGCGATTTCCCCACTCTCTCGATGCCTCGTAAATTCTCAGCTCGTTTAACATTTATGTTATTTATGTCGTAATGAAAAAAAGAAGAGCCACCAAGGGGAGAGGGAGAGAAAGAGAGAAAGAGAGAAATAGAGAGAGAGAGAGAGAGAGAGAGAGAGGGAGAGAGAGAGAGAGAGAGAGAGAGAGAGAGAGAGAGAGAGAGAGAGAGAGAGAGAGAGAGAGAGAGAGAGAGAGAGAGAGAGAGAGAGAGACGTCCTTAACCAGTTTGGCGCGAATTAAGATTCATATCGTGAACACGGGCGCGTATGCCGACGCGGTCGAAGGAGCCATCAGATAGAATTTATAGCGCGACTTTCGACGCGCCTATTCCGCGGCGGGAAATGGCGAATCACCGGGAAAGTCGAACGAAAGACCGAAGATTCGATAGGGTATCTTCGAGTACAGGCGCGACTCTTTTTCTTTCTCTCTCTCTCTCTCCCTCTCGAGTTCCGCTCACGCTCGTTCACCTCCAGGGAAGCGGCCGCTTTACAGTGGAGAACTTCTGAATATCCCGCGGAGGATTCTGCTCGGGTGCGAGATAAACAAGGCGTGGATCCTTCACCAGGAACCGCTATTGCGGGGTGGAGGCCAGCCTGAATCTCGCCGGGACGGTTCGACGCGAATGGAGGCGATGGTATATCTCTGGTCCTCCGCCGTCGCCGCTACCTGACGTGTTCGGGGAAATCTCCCCGAACGGAACCTCGAACCTCCTGTCTGTCTACACGTGCGCGTCCGTTCCACTTTCGGCGGAAGAGAGGAGAGGAGACGCTCCGCGATCATGCGGGAGCGGGAGCGGTGTAATAAAAGTTCATTTTCCCGATGGGCGCCAATGTAGTCGCGGAAAGCGAGACACCTGGCCCGCAATGGCCGCCAAATGAAGGCAAATGGCCCTTACAACGAATCCACGTCGCCGGTGATTTATCTCAATGCTCACATTCGAAGAACAAGCGAATCCTCCGCACGGAGCACTCTCTCTCTCTCTCTCTCTCTCTCTCTCTCTCTCTCTCTCTCTCTCTCTCTCTCTCTCTCTCTCTCTCTCTCTCTCCCGAGAGTGTCAACGATGATTTTTAATTTCTTCATCAGCATATTGAAGGCTCCGTGACGGATATCGACGACGCCGTCACGTGTAAAGTATAATTGATCGCGTCGGAGAGAAATTGCTCCCACGGCCGAGAAAGCTAGGCGAGTGATACGTGTGATTCGAATGGTGTTCATCGTGTCTTCGGTATTACAATCGAATGAAGCTGCGATAACGTGCGATCGATCGCTTTGAAGCGAGTGGTGTCGCGGCTGAAGAGAGGGAGAGCCGGTAAGAATAAAGACGGGAGATAATGTATCTCGCATTTTATTTACTTGTCGGGTTTCTCGTAATTTAATTAATTCGTGCGAAACGATTCGCACCTGAAAGATAATCTCGAGTTACGCTTCTCCATCGGAGCCATCTCCAATCATTCAATTATCGGTTAAGCCTTTGTCTTACAATCGATACAATCGTTGATGACCAGCGGCGCGGCAATGTTGGCCGCAGACGCGCAATTTGCGGATTACGAATTGATTCCGATGACGTCATCGGCAGGTGTCTCAAAGATGAGAGCGCGGTGTCCAGGATGAGGTCCTTTGACGAATCTCTCGTCGTGGAATCGTAATGCCCCGGGTAACCTAATTTTTCATCTAATTTAAATTTTTGGCTGCGTCAAAGTTTCGGGGGAGATTTATCGGCGCGTAAGTCTCCGAACTTTGTTTGCGAAGCTCCTTCGGATTAATTGCTCCATCGTAATGTCGTTTACGAGGGATCTCTTGTAATTAAAATTATCGGCGCAAGCTCGCGCTTCCTTGAACTTCCTGTTTCACGAGAATGTCTGCTATTCTCGCGCGCTCTCTCTCTCTCTCTCTCTCTCTCTCTCTCTCTCTCTCTCTCCCTCAGATCGGGAAGCGTGAATAAATCTCGATTAAGGCACGTGGCGAGTCTCATTTCGCGCGATTTATTTATCCCATCTGACACAATTTACCCCGTCGTATTTATCTTGCACGCGACAAGGTAAATCCGTTTCCGCCTGGCCTTCCCCCTCCCAGCGACCGACCGACTGACCCAACCGGGCTAACTGAATTTTCATAACGAATACTCTCGTTCATACAGTCGCAGTGGTGGTGGCCTTCTTCATCTGCTGGGCGCCGTTTCACGCCCAGAGGCTGCTGGCCGTGTACGCTCAGAGCAGCATGGCCGAGCCGGAGGACGCCCTGGTTATAGTCTACACCACCCTCACGTACGTGTCGGGGGTGTTTTACTATCTATCCACCACCGTGAACCCGCTCCTCTACAATATCATGTCCAACAAATTCAGGGAAGCCTTCAAGGTGAGTTCTCAGGCACTCGCTCTGTAACATCGGATTTAACCGATTAATCTCTAATCTCGTAAGCTGCTTTGTGTTCGAGCAATTATGCTCTCGCATGAAATTCGAGCTACGCTTCTGCTGGTGATCAACGGTCTACGGTTGAAGTAATTATACGATGGGAAATTAAAATAATTTAAGAGATGCAACGGGACGTGTAATTCGAAAAATTACATGTCTTCGGTTGTTATTTCAATTATTACTTAGTTCCTTACTAATTATAGTTATCAATTCAATTATTTTCAGTAGCTGAAAATTCTTATTAAATATAAAAATTAGAAGATATACGATATAACGTAATTAGAATAACATAGTGAGGTGCTTGAAAAAGTTTGTCGAATTTGAGCGACGTGTCTTTTCTTATCATTCTTCCTAATTATTAATTATGATATTATTATAATTAATTTTTATAATTATTATAACATTAATTATAATAAATTACTTGATTCCGCGTTTGTGAAAAAATTCGATCATCGACGAAATTTTGCGGGCATCTCTAATATGGTATGACATATAATTTACGTTATACATAAAGTTGTAAAAGAATCTTGTTATATTACTTTCATTAAATCTGCAATATATACTCGTACTAACACAATCTGCGCGTTCAGTTTCGGCGCGATTCACGACACGTACGCGCAAACTCAGCCGCTCATATACTTTGCACCCTCCTCGCGCGGGAGGAACTTCACCCGCGGAACTTCGATGAGAAACTCATCGAATAAATCGGCAAAATGTCCGAGGTATCGTCGCGATTCCCCCGGCTTACCTTGAGTCTCACTTCCAGTCGATGCTGCCGAAACATTGCGTGAGGAAGTGCTCGTCGCGCAGGAGCAGCCCCCGACGGCCGATCTACAGCAGCCTGTCGCGCTGCCAACGGTCCCTGAGGTATCGGATCGACGACATCCAGCCGTCGCCTTCGATATCCGTGAGCGACGAGCAGCAACGACCATCGCACCCCAGCCTGGCGAACGCGAACTCCTGCGAACTGAACGGCCTGGCGTCACGCGGCGAGCAACAGACCCGGGTGGTCTACCAGGCGACGATCAAGGAAACCGCCGGCCGCGAGTACGCCAGGAGCGTGTCCAGGGGCTCCGACATCAGCCAGTTCACCGTGATGACGTCGATCAGTAAGCAGGCCCTGAACGAGGGCAACAACAACGTGGCGGCGAACGAGTGTCTGCTGAAGATACACCGCTCGCCGAAAGCTGTTACTTTAGGTAACGTCTGTTTGCGCTCTTGCGACCCCATTCAGTCAACCGGGGGCTTGCGATGGCCTCCTCCGACGGCTCTGTGCGTCGCGGATTACGTTAACGGCACCGACTGTCTCTTTTTCTATTTATCTTTCTCTCTTGCTCTCTCTCTCTCTCTCTCTCTCTCTCTCTCTCTCTCTCTCTCTCTCTCCCCCTCTCCCCCCCCCCTCTTTCTCTCTGTCTCTCTCTCTCTCTCTCTTTCTTTCTTTCCTTCCCTGTCGTATTTACCTCATTAATTGAGAGGTCTTCGGCAGAGAAAATATGGGAGTGAAGGGTGTTTTGGCGTGTTTCCCGTTCTCCGTGAACGCGCGTTTGTGTTTACTCACACGTAAAATGTTATTTCGCGAGAGTATAAAGTACGACGTGTGCGCGGCGATGGTCTCGGATGTGATTTATTGGATCGGGGTACCGCGAGAGAGTACGGAGAGCGGAGGAGAGAAGATGTACCAGAGTTTTCGCTCTTGCGAAAGCGCCAGATTGATCCGCGACGGCGAGCATGCGAGAGGGTGCGATAAAGCGGAGCGAATTGTGCGTGTTGGTAATAGTACACGTGCTCGCGCCGTTAGGAGACCTCGATACTCGTCCCGAGGGCGAGGGAACGTATGAGCGAGTCCTTCGAAGCAAGAGACGAGGGATCATTCGTGCGAAGCGCGTGGCCTTGTTTTTTCATTTCTTCGGTCTTGAAACGAACACTCCCGCTTCCCATCCGTGACATCTGTTTAATTTCGCTGAAACTTGCTGGGGACTGTAAACTATAGTAGATCGTAACTATAATCCGGTATTTTCCTCCGGCATTTCTTCATCCATCTCGGCATATTTTTCTTCTTGAAGAGTGCTTTATTGCGTTTATAAAGAGAGATTTTCCAATTAAAGCAATAATAATAACGATAATAGGACTTTATTGGACGTTAAAGATCATAATGTTATTTAATGATAATAATGTTAGGGACTCACGAAGACTGATTGACTGATCGCCGACGATATTATTGGCTGAGAATTGGCGAATTGGACAATTAATCAGATAATTACCCCCCCGAAAGGCACCTCAGAAAGAGAGAGTTAGCTTCGCTCCCGCTCTCGTGTTACCACGGAGACGTGCTCAGCACTGTCACATTTCCAGCAGGGATACTCACCGAGAGGCTCGGCTTCGGCACGAAGGGGCTCTTCGCGCACCACCGGAAGTTACCGCCGGCCAGCCCGAAGTCGAAGGCGGACGTGGTCGCGCCGGCGACGTCGCCGCGATTCCGCAGCCACCCGAGCATCGAGAGCGCCAACACGATCAGCAACTCCAGCCTCCAGGACCTCGACGAGACCGAGTTCACCGGTTCGGAGCTGGCGCGGTACATGGGCGAGCTGAACTTCGACCTTGTCACCTGACACCCGCTCTCGACGAGGGAACGTCGTCTCTCGAGCTAGAGACGTCGCCGACTCCGAGATGCTGATGAACGCGCGATTACGAATCACGGCCGACTGCTCAGCTAGGTCATAGCAGCAAGTCCGTGACAACGCGCAAGTCCTACCGTGCTCCACGCTTGGCAGTGTGACATTGTGTGTGTGTGTGTGTGTGTGTGTATGTGTGTACATGTGTAAGTGTTCGTGTATCAAGCGAATTCGCTCGTCGCGAACAGGTCGCGAGTTTCCGCACGAACGCTCTGCGGAGTGCGACTTTCGCGCGACGAAACGGCTGCGTCATCAGTAATTATCGCGCTGCGTACTACGCAGTAGCTCGGAAGAGCAGGCTCTCGCGGACCGATCACCATGAGAGGAGCAGAAGGCTTATTCGAACGCATGTCGATGATGGAAAACTCTAACAGCGGAACCACCGTCGATTAACGAGCGAGCTGTTTCTACCGGGACGGGTATTCTCATAAAAATTACCTCGCGCGAGGGCGAAAATGTGTTTTTATCTATGCCTCTTGGTTCTACTTGATGTCCGTTGGGAACATACATGGGTGTGTGCGTGTGATGTAAAAATTTGAGTAATTTTTACAAAGGAATTTCAAACCGACCATTTTTACCGCTTTGGCGATCCCCGTGTTAAACGAACAGCGGAATAATAGGGGAATTACGAGAAAAGGAGGCTGCAGGAAGTCGTCGCTCGAATCGCTCTCGGGGAAATACTCACGTGTGTCCGGAATTTCACGCGGGTACTCAAACGAGAAATGTGCGAAGGAGAGCGAGCGAGAGAGAAAGAGAGAGAGAAAGAGAGAGAGAGAGAGAGAAAGAAGGAGAAGATTAATTCCTCGCGCAAATCCCGTGAATCACGAAGGCGAGGTGGAACGGCAAGTCTGCGCGATGATTTTGCAACCGAAGCGGAGACTCTCCGCTAGTCATGATAGCTGTTTAACGTGCCGTTGATAATTCCACTCCTCCGTGTAAAAGAAAAAACTAAATAGATATACGGGTGTAAACAAGAATCACTCAATGTTCGCGATAATAAATCGCGATAGCGGCGCGATGATAAGATGGTCGGAAAAGATGGTCGACTTAATATTAACCGGGCTGCTTCTACGCTTTCGTCCGCCATCGACATTTCTATCTCGCGACGAAGCGCGCCTCTATCGACTTATTTATTTCCATGATTGTCGTAAAAGCGATGTTAAAGAACGACGCCGGCCACGGCCGGCCGGGCAACCCACTGCTTGTGCATTTCGCGAGCGAAACGGCTCAGCATTTATTTTTCTATCGCGCATATATCGCGGCGGGCGACAAGATCTCCCTCGCGTGTCGTCGTCGTCGTCGTTCGATCGTCGACGACGACCCGAGCACGCCGCGGATCGGCGCCACTCCGTGTTCGCATAAGCTGTACAATATGAGCGCACGATTTGTTAAATAAAGATGTATAGCGACTGTCCGTTTCAATACACTCCAGCAGTTGTAAACCGCACGTCGACGATCCTGACTCGCCCCCCCCTTGTGCTTTCCATTCTCCCGCACAGCCGCGTCGCCTTAGACGCCCATCTTCGCTTCATCGCACAGCACTCGTCAACCTCGATCCGATCAAAGCAATCTGCTTTGATGTGAAATGCTATCTCGGCTTTTATCGCCAATTGTAAATCGCTCAGAGCGGCTTGAGGAGCACGAGAAAGCGAGGGAATGAAGCGTTTTCTAAGAGAATACACGCAGGAGGAGAAACATTCTCGAGGATAATCTAACGCCATTTTGACTCGATGTAATTCGATCAAGTTACACGTTTTACATTTCTCATGCAGCGATGTTGGCGCTGGTCCCGCTGCGAACGAAGGTTACTTCGGATTACATGGTCAAAGCGTGCCGTCTTTTCTCACAGGACGTCGTGGCGGCGGAAATTCGTCGACGGCCTCATACGAGAGTAAACTCGAAATCAAGGATGGCAGATACGAAAAGTTGCGGATCGCTTTGGCTCAAAACAGCATCTTGGAACGCTTCTCGAGGTAAGCTTTGATGTTGGGAAGGCCGTTCACTTTGTCCACCAGTTTCTTCAGTTCCGGATAATCCTTGTGGATGTCCTTCGCCGCGAACGTACTCAGCATGTTCGCGTACGCCGCCCACATCATGTCCGCCCACGTCAGCTGCAAAAGCGGAAATTTTGCATTTTGTATTCTCGCAAAAGATAGAGTTGCAAATTGCGCGAGTGCGCTTCGCGTGGCGATTGCCTCTGCAGATTTGTCGTGTGAGATTATCGCCGAGTTTCCATATTTTCATATGTATCCAAATTCAATGTTTGTCTTAGCTATTTTCAGCCGCAACTTATCTCGAATTTACATTTTTCAATAATCCGCGAGACTGAAGCGCGTTCTCGTAAATATACAAGATGTATATATGCCAACAAGTGATATCTATTTTTTCCACACGCAATTAAACCGATAAGACGGATGCAAGGAGAAGAGGAGAGAGAGAAAGAGAGATAGAAGAAATTGCGCAACGAGGTCCGAAGTCGCATTCTCGACTTCTGACCGGGACGAATTACCTTGCCATGGACAAAGTGGCCGCCATTCTTCTTAACTCGCTCTTCGAATTTGTTGAGAAAATTGGGCAATTTTTCGAACGCAGTCTGCTTCAGGTTCTCCTTCAAGGCGGGGTCCTTCTCCCAGTAGTATTGGCCCAAGGCTGCAAAGTTGAAACTTTTATGTCGTTGCGTCCGAAAGAGGAAGAAAGAGAAAGAAACGAGAGACGAAGAAAGAGAGAGAGAGAGAGAGAGAGAGAGAGAGAGAGAGAGAGAGAGAGAGAGAGAGAGAGAGAGAGAGAGAGAAAGATTAATCAACGCAGGCTGCGACGCGAGGGGAGAATGAGCGACGTGGAGGATAATGGAAGTTTTCCTCGCGGCGAAAAAATGATGGACACTTACAATGATACAACGCGCGACAATCGCGCAGGAAGTGAACAAATTGTCAACTACAAGCGACCTTCACTGCGCTCATAGGCCGTGCAGCGCGATGAATGCCACGCACTGGCCTGTTTGAAAGCCCCCCACCCGGTTTGATCTCAATGACATGCCTCGCATCGTGATGACTAATCGCTTATTAACCGGGCACAGAAATATCAGAATCGAACCGTTGCGCAATCGCCATTGCTACTCACGTAGTCTAATATCCTCTATGGAGTCGACCGCACCGTCGATCTCGAGCGCCTCGACATCATCGGAGCTGTAGAGATTGCACTTCTTGGCAACGTAGCGGGCGATCGCTTTAGACTGGTTGTACTTTTTGCCGTCGATCTCCAGAACCGGTGCCTGGCCCAGCGGCATTTCTGTGGAGCGAGCGAATTAGTTATGAGATCGCTGAAGGTCGCTGGCGCTTTCGCCGAGCAAGGTGAAAGTCGTCTCGATTGCCTGCTGCGATTTAAATCAATGCTCGGGGAGCGCGCTTGAAGCTGGAAGTGTGAAGAAAATGATTTTCCACGTGGAAAAGGAGAGCGAATGTCGATTATCACGGCAGTATTCACGTTTCGGGCTCGATCACCGGCTTTATTGCCGTGTCTCGTTAAGTTTTGCGAATAAAACGTAGAAAAAGATTAAAAAACAAAAATTAAATACATTGCTGATAGGGGCCGGACGAGACGAGCTGACGAATATATGCATCGCGAATTGCATTTATTCATGTTTGAAGTAATCATTGAAAGCCGGAGTAATGCAATCAACCGTGTGAACCGTTGAAGATGAGCCGGCGATAAAAGAATTTATTTCCCAGACGCTCCTAAAACCGTATTTTCTAAAGAGAGATGGACTTCAATCGCCGGATGGAAAGTGTCTAAGCATTATTTGTATTAAAAGCACCAAAAGGAGTCGGCGTATTTCCTGAGAAATTGCAATTCAGTCGCTGATATAAATACTCTCCTACGTTGCTCCTTGTGATCCGCGGATATCACTTCGCGGATATTCGTAAAATTATTATGACAGTAACATGACAATGCGATAACATACGTTCTTTGTACTTTGGCCAGTCGTCAAGAGTTAATAGAACATCTTCGTATTTGATGCCGGCGTGATGGAACATGTATCTGGTCGGCTCCGCGAGGCCGGTTACGTTGAAGTACGTCAGCTTGTAAGTCGGCATGTTTTCTGCAAAGAAGCGCACGATTACGTGAAAATGCAAATTGTCGCGATGCTACGTTGCGGCAATTCACCATGTGTCACGAATTTATATCTGTGACATCGTAAACATCATAAATCGCAATGATTCACAAATATACACTCTTGGCATCGATCTGTTATTTAGGTGTAATACAATGTGACTAAATAATTTAAAAATTTAATGGTAATTAAATACTTATTATAAATCATTATTACAGTAATTATTACTGATTTATGAAAAGTATAAAAAATTTTTATATAAAAATATCTAGAAGTCTAGAAAATAATTAAAGAATTTGATAATTAATAATTTAATAAAACGATTACGAATTTATAAAATTGATCAACTGTAGCTAGATACACACACACACACACACATATATAATTAAAATTGTATCGTAAACTTCGAGTGCGTTTGCCTCAAAATATCATTTGGCAAGACACCAGCGAGAAGAGTCAAGTACGAAATGACAATACAAGCAGGGGATATTTACTTTGTAGTCTGGTTTACTTTAGCGAGACAGAGTCGAGAGGAGCACGAATGGTCGATGCGAATCTCGTGACGAACCGCGAACGACTGAACAATCCACCGTGATTATATCGCACTACGCTGGGGGCACATACGCCTTTTTGCTGACGAACAGCGCAAGATGCAATCATTACGAAATGCTATGAAGCACACACATATATGCTTGCGCATAATCATCTTATTAGAGAAAATTACTCCCTAGACTTAGTCTCACTGTATTAATAAAAGATCGGCTAAATAAACGATCGATGTCAAGAGCGTACTGTATATTTGTGAGTCGAGTATCATTGTGACTTGTGACGTTTATAACGTTACAAATGTAAGTCATTCGTGATACATGATGAATTGCTGCAATGTAGCATCGCGACAATTCGCATCTGACGCAATCGTGCGTGTCTTCTTGTGCCTCCGGGAATCTCGTTTTCGTCCACTGCAAGTACCTGTATTATACAATAAAGAGCGCGGATTTTTTAATTTTCGTCATTTTATCCGCCGATTGCATCCCGAAAACACGCATGAAGCATGTTGCTCGTGAAAAATCAGGATTACGTTCTCATTCATACCGGAGCGAATCTATAGCGAAGCAAAGTTCTCTTCCTTTTTTGCGAGTCATTTTTCCGCGCAAATACTTCGCGACAATCGCGCGTAAAGTTTTTCGTGCCGTCCTTCGACGCGCGCTGATAGTTGTCGGCCGACAACTATCAGCGCGCGTGCGCGCTTATCGCGAATCAACAGCACTCTCATTACGTAAGTTACCCGATAGGACTCATTAATAGGATTTATTAAATAAAATAAATAAAAAGATGTTGCTACAACGTTTCTTCCTTTTTCTTTTCTGATACGCCCCGGTGGTTGCGCGCTACTCATCGGTCTCGCTTGCGCCATCAACTTATTCACAGGCGTCTCTCCGTCTTATCGCGTTTCATTTATCAGCAATGACACGGCAAACTCAATGTAAAGCCGCTTTATGCAATACGATGGAAGCTTCGCGAGAAGATTCGTTACTTCGTGAATTTTATCGTCAATTGTAAATTATCCAAAGTCGAATGAAGAGGAGGAGACACAGGAGTGAGAAGAAGGGAGCATTTCCTAGAGGAGGTCGCAACAGATGCGAGACATTCTCGCAAACGATTCGATGCAATTTTATTTGACAGAAAATTCCTCGATCTTTTACCATGTAACGACAATCATATTTTTACGCTGTCGACATTGGCCAGTTATAATGCTGTTTCGTCTGCGTGCGTTTCGTCTTCATCTTCTCTTACAGGACCACGTCGCGGCGAGAATCGAAGACGATGCGTACAGAATAGCGCTTCGGTTCGACTTAAAACTCCGTCTTGGGCCGCTTGTCGAGGTAGGCTTTGATGCTGGGAATAGCGTCCACCTTGTCCACCAGCTTTTTCAGCTCCGGGTGATCCTTGGTGATCTCCTTCTGCGTAAACTCACTTATACGTCTGACGTACGCCGCGTATATGACGTCCGGCCAGGTGAGCTGAAAATGCAGAAGAAATGAAGAAGAGCATATTTCTGAAAGTATGATAGGTGACTCTTCTACCACGGCGGGCGAGTGTACGCAACCACTTATTTGGTACACATCTAAATTCCACCTAAATTCCGCAATCTTATCAATGTGTCATCCGTTTTTATCTGCATTCCTTATCTCCCTTCCATCTCGGTAATCCGGCAATCGAGGGCCAATCGAGGACTGATTGAGCATATGTTCGCGCTTACTAACATTCGTGCGTAAGCGCGAATATCTCTCCGCACGTCGATGGACCCTGATGAGCGCAATTGACTCGACAGCAGAGGAGAAGCAGAGGAGAAGAGAAAAGAATCGCGAAAATCGTTACCTTGCCGCGCACGAAGTGGCCGCCGTTTTTCTTCACCTGCTCCTCCAACTTGTCGAGGAAGAAGGATAGTTTTTCGAAGGTGGTCTTCTTCATCTTCTCTTTCACGGCGGGGTCTTTCTCGTGGTGGTACACGCTCATAGCTGCGAAAGGGATCGCCGAGTTGAAACTCCCGAGTCATAGAGAGTGGGAGAGAAAAAATAAAGCGAGAAAAATGAATGACGAGCGCGAGTAATGACACAACGAAGTGCAAAAAACGTTGACTTCGCTACAATATGTGCTCCGCACAGGCGTGATTTGCAGTTCCCGCTCGATCTAACTGCGATCTAGCAGCGTGCTGGTCGATCACTTCATTCACAGATCACGCCGGTATAGAGCATACCAAGGTCGGTATTTATTGTTACATAATCGCCGATCTATTGTCGAACTTTCCACGAGTCAGCAATCTATGACTACGAGAATCGTCAGTCTCCAGCGCCGCTAAACCGTGGCCGCTCACCTTGTCTCATGTCGTCGAGTGAGTCGACCGTGGCGTCGATCTCGAGGGCCTCGATTTCGTCGGAGCTATAGAGATTGCACTTCTTGGCGACGTAGCGGCCGATGGCTTTAGATTGGTGATACTTCTTGCCGTCGATCTCCAAAACCGGTACCTGGCCCAGCGGCATGTCTGCGGTGTAGGCAAAATAAGCATGTGATTACGAGAGAGAGTGTGCTTTCACGATGAAAGTCCTCGGAGCAATCATTGGCTTGGAGAAAAATAAGGAGATATGCGACGAATGTAGAAAGACTGAAACTGGTTTTCTATAAGACGGGAAGTAGAGGTGTCGCTGGTCGTATGAACAATCGCGTTTTCCGGCTTGCAAAGCAGCATTTGGAAAGTTCACTTCCGGACGGATTTACGGATCAAAGTCCTGCTTGAAAAACACGAGAAGATCAAGGACGACTTGCGGAAGTAAGCTCCTGAATTTTTACGCGGGAGACGTCGATAGAACACTTTTATGGAAGATATGAAAAGTCGTCAGCTTGTTTTTCGAGAAATCGTTTGATTCTGACATTTGATCTTTGAACGATTACACAATCCTTAGTTGCTTATTTTAAAACTAAAAACGCCTCCGTTCTGTTTTCTACATTGTTTTCTACATTGTTTAGCTTATCAATATTCATGAAATCAATAAGATAAGATACCTGTTTTACATTTCGACCAATCTTGAGATTCGAGTCGAGCATCCTCGAATTTAATGCCGGCATAATGAAACATATATCTGATTGGCTCCGCGAGACCGGTTATATTAAAGTACGTCAGCTTGTAGGTCGGCATGTTGGCTGCGAAAATTGTCAGAGAAAAACGTTTGAGTGTGTTCGAACATCTTCACAATTAATAAATTGGGCTCTCTCTCTCTCTCTCTCTCTCTGCATTTAAATATTAGATTGATGCAAAAATCATTTTTGTAATTTTTTTTATTTTTTTTATTATTATTTTTTATCATTTTATGTTTGGCGTCGATTTTTCTAGTTACCTTTATCTTCTCCAGAATTCTATCTTGTAGGAATAAGCAAATTTGTTTCTCGTTAGGAGAAACGTGTTCAGATCAATGGTCTTTATTTTGAATAATAAATATAATTTTCAACTGACATATGCGTCTTTACACTCGATAAAAATCGATAAAATCTAATATATAAATTAATCTACGTAATATATATGATTCTAATTATTTTGTAATCGTTACGAATTGCACATTCGCTACAAAGTGTCACTTTCAGAAACGCCCACATTTCGTGAAGATTATTCGTTCAATCTAATGAGAGGGAGCACGAAATGAGAACGACGTGAGGGAGATGTTTAATTACTTTCTGTAGTCTGTAATTTACTGGGCGAGGCGGCGACCGAGAGAAAATGGGAGTTCTGTCGAACCGCAAACGACTGAAACGACCCAGTCACGATGATAAGCTCCGCTTGAAGATTTATCGCGAACAAACGCACATAGAGTTATCGCAGAACGTACTTGCACTCTCACTCCCACAGCGAAACGCTTATTACGCGCTATTTGCACGCGGCAGAATGCACCGACTTTGAACAACCGTCGACGCGGTGCTCCGACGCGACATTGCCGTTAACGCATCGCACTACAGTAGGCTGTACCACACGACGGTCATTTCGCGCGGTAATGAAAATAACACGTAATTTCATTCCGTCACGGCTGCACCTACCTAACTCACAAATTGCGCTCGCGTAACATGCGAACGCATCGAAGTGAAGATCACAGTCGAATGCAACAGCTAGATCACGTGACGCCTCTGACAAGCGTCTAAACAACATCTTGAAAACATCAAAGTGACGTTTGAAAAGACAAAATATCTCAAATTTTATGTTGCCCGGCGAGAGAGAGAGAGAGAGAGAGAGAGAGAGAGAGAGAGAGAGAAGCATCGTAATACATTAAAATAGGCAATTAATTAATTGATATATAATAACTGAATAAAATAGTAATAATGTACATCGAAGAAATACATACATGTTGTTACGCCCGTTCGCTCACGTTTGCGTCCGGGAGTGAAGTGAACACACTCTTATATAAAAGAAGCGTTTAATAAAAAGTCGGGCAAAATTTCTGTGTTATCATCACAATCTCTCGTGATCCGATACGCCTCACACGTTAGTCTCGGAAGTTCGTGCGAGTACGTTTCGATTGCAGTGTATCACTCAAATATAAAAATCTCCTTCAACTCATGCAGAACGCTTGACATTTAAGAAAACTTAGTTACTCGTTAATTGCGGTAATTGCGAAAAACGATATTGGAATGACGTCGACTGGCACAAAAAAATCTGATTGCCGTATGTATGTTTTATGCGAATCTCATTATTTATCTCCTTTTTCTCTTTTTTCGCTCACCTGCGACGACCAAAGATTGTGCATTTTATTTGTTATAAGTGCGTTAACAAACAACATGTGTCTTCATTTGGATAGAAGGTACATAAAGCACGCTCTGATAAAAATATCTATACACTTGTATTTTAATTATAGTATCATGGCAGCGGTATCTGCGTCTTATCGTTTTTACACTTATTAACAATGATATAGCAACTTCGTAAAATGAAACTGCGTCATGTAGCATGATGTAAGTGATAAAAAAGTTCAGATTACAGTATCTCGAATTTTGTTGTTATTTTACACATTATCTGAAGTATTTCAAATCATCTAAAGCGAATTTATTTAAGCGATTGCGAAAATAAGGCATTCTAGAGGATATACGCTTTTATCGTTTCTTTTTTGACATTTATATGCTATCTGTCTAACATTTAAAATATCTCGTTCGTCAGTTCAACGCAATTTATTTATCTAATATGTTAATTATGAAGGGAGATAATTATTGTTACTGATCTTGAAGGAGAAGGAAGACGCGATTAACGTATTATTTAAAAATAACGAATTTGCTAACTCATCATTGAGTCGTGTTATTTGGAAATAAATAGAATGGGACTGAGAGAGAGAGAGAGTGATTTAGCGGGGTTGAGTTGTACTATAACCCGAATCTTCGTTGAAGATAATGATAGCTTTATGGAATTAAAATAACGGGTCTAATTATAACGGGTCTTTAGCTAAGATTTAAACCCTAATCAAGAGTCAAGCTATTAATAGTCAAGATGTAAACCATCGATAAGTCTAATGTTACCTAAATTTGCACGAGCTATACGATTTACGTGTGCGATTTGTTATACAAAAATATATAGCAACTAATCTGTTTCAATATATTCTAACAACTCAGTTTATTTATCCAAACATATCATTGCTGGTTTATTTCCATTTTATTACGCTACATCTGTTGATAATGATGGAACGTATATTAAAAAAAGAAATCGTTGCGTAAGAAAAAATGCAAGACCGAGAAAGATCGAAAATAAAACGAAGCACTTTTATTTAATATTCAGCGTCCTTAATATATATCATGTAGCAATATTGATTGACTTGTTACCTTGCAAGTTCGTAAAATACCATACAAATAGCGAAATAACATACTCAAAATTAAAATTACAAATCGGTTTGATTTACGCTATTGTTTTGGGACGCCTCTCGAGGTAAGCCTTAATGTTGGGAAGGCCGTTTACTTTGGCCACCAGTTTCTTCAATTCCGGATGATCCTTGTTTGTATCCTGTACCAAGATCGTGCTCAGGTATCCACTGTACGCAGCAAATACGAAATCTGCCCATGACAACTGAGAACGCAGAAACATACTTTTGTATTTTCGGAAAAATAAAATTTAAAAAATGATGGAACTAAAAGGGATGAAATTAAACTTAACATCGGTAATAACAAATTAACACGAACACATTCTCTTGTATGCCGATGATCGAAAATTACTACCTTGCCACGAACGAAGTGGCCGCTATTCTTCTTAACTTGCTCCTCGAATTTGTCGAGATAGAATGGCAGTTTTTCAAAGGCGATTTTCTTAAATTTCTCTTTGAGGACGGGGTCTTGTTCCCAATAGAAAGCAGCAATTGCTGTAAAACGAATTGAGGTTGAAATTTTCAAGTTGTATGTATGTAATATAACATATAATTTTTTATATATAACCCATTATATATAAATCTTGTCTTTACACGGTGGCATGTAAAATTATATGTAAGAAAATGCTGGAGGAAAATGAAAATAAAAAAGGAAAAGAAATAGTTTCATTCCGTATCTGTTCATGGCCGACATATTTTTTCGAGCACAACACCTATATCGTAATACCGATTACTATTGATAGCGACAATAGTTGCGTGTAAAAGCATCGAACTCAAATGAATTTACGTAATTATCAATCGTAACCAACGCGCATTGTTTGTCATTGGCGAGCGACTATTGCCGCAATTATTACTCACCGTGTCTTAAGTCGTCGATAGAATCAACCGCAGTATCGATCTCCATGGCTTCAATTCCATCCGCGCCATAAAGATTGTAATGTTTAGCAAGATAACGAGAGATAGCTCTGGACTGATGATACTTCCTTCCGTCGATTTCCAAAACCGGTACTTGTCCCATGGGCATATCTATAGCGCACACGAGTACTTCCCTCAATTTTGTTTTTAAAATTAGAGATATAAAATGCACATGTTATACAAATTGAAGCAAATTTTTATCATATAACTTCATCACCATTAATTTATATATAAGAAATTGCAAATCCGTTATTCTTGACCGTTTAGTAATTGTCGGGAGGTTTAAAGACGTCCTTTTTTTTAGACAACCTTCCAACACGTGTTTAAGACGTATTCTGACTTACTTTATGACGTAGAAAACGTCTCTCAACAGGGTACTTTTATTAAAAATATCAGAAATAATCAGCGTGTTCTTTTCGAAATAATGGATAATGTTCAGATGCTTGTCGAAATTGTTTTTCTATATTCGATTGCTTCAGCAATATTCGTCAGCGAATATCAGCGCAGTAACGCACCTGCTTTTCTTTTCGGCCAGTCCTCTATTTCAATTCGTACATCCTCGAATTCGATACCGCAATGATGGAACATATATCTGATCGGCTCGCCGAGGCCGGTAATGTTGAAGTATATGAGCTTGTACGTCGGCATTTTTCTGAGGAAATCATAAAAATACATAATACAAAATACAAAACACTACAAAGATGTACGATACATTCTTGTTATCGGCTTCAAATTCAATGTAAACAACATGGTTTGTATAATAATTATTACGCGCAACATGGAGCATCTATCAATGCTCTTTCACGCTCACTCTATTTTAAACGCTATTTTTGAAAACACCTACGTTTCGTAAATATCGTTTACGTCAATCCAGAAATTTAATACGAGATTTAATACGTATCATTATTATGATATTATGATGAATTGAATTACCTTATAGCGATATGGTCTCGACGAGACCACCGAGACTACTGAGAAAGGTTGAAATAAGTCTTCCAACAAACCGTATACGACTAATAAATGTCTCACATTTAGCAGATATATAACTATGTTATATATCACATGTAACTACTACATGGTAAAAAATAAGACGGTAAGACGCAATCGAATATATATTTATACAGATGTAAGAACTTGTTCGGTTATGTAAACTTGTTGAGTTTATGTAAATGATGATATAGGTTTAGCAGAGAGAGAGAGAGAGAGAGGGAAAAATAAAGAATGGGAGGAGGGTAAGAGAGAGAGAGAGAGAGAGAGAAAGAGAGAGAGAGAGAGAGAGAGGGGGGAGGAAGAGAAAGATAAAGAAAAACCTGTTTACCGAGATTGGTGTAGATATATACGTGTGTTGCGCATAAGAAAAAAGAAACAATCGGGAATGATTAATAATATATATAACGATATAATTATATATTAAATTGAATTAGTGAAATTAACGCTGTGTTATACTAATATATAATTATGTATATTAAATTAATCAACGTAGAATTGTGGGGTATATGTAATCATGATATAATAATAATATTTAACATTGGGATATATTGTTTCATAACCCGTGTACGATCAATAATATAACCGTACCCGCATCAAAGGTGCCGCCGCAGAAAATACACTACCAGTGCTGAAAATTTATAATATACGTGACACAAACAACGTATTTTCAGTATGAACGATGAATGTCGGGAGACGGTCATAGTACACCTAGATTGCATATTCAAGAAGTAGATAGAGCTCGAAAAAAGGATGCACTCTGTTTTGCGTCTGTGCATTTTCCCTCACACATGCGAGAGAGATGGAATAAGAGCAGGCAGTTGCGATATATTATTATCTATTCTATGACGACTGCCACTCTTTATTTCCCTTTTCTCGTTTGTGCGACAGAGAACGCACAGACACAAAATAGAGTGCATCCTTTTCTACGTGAGCTCTATCCCTACTCTGGAAATTTGGGAAAACGTACAGTCTAGGTCTATGCTCTTTTTATTTACGGCCCATCCAGACAGGTTGTCTCATACAAAACGTAGATCGCAGGAATTAACCAATCACATTCGATCGTAATTTGTCAATTTCTACGTCCTACGATCTGCATTTGGCATTCTATGTAAACGACCGTTAGATATGCTGGTAGTATTATTATTAGTTTCAAAGTTTCCGCTACGAGCCGTCACTATCTTGAACGACGGATCAAGGTCGTAGTATAATTCGCGATTCAAGCCAGATATATTTTATCTTCAAAGATTGCGAGTCAGACACACGTGTCATATTTTAGTTATAAATTTTTAAGCTAATGTAATCTTTCTCTGAAATGATTGCAACCGGAAGAGATAATCTCAGACTCTTACTGAAAAAATTTCTTGTACGCTTGACATCATTTATTTCTTGCCCGCCCACTTTATCATTGCGAAAACTTTGTCAAGATCGAAATTGTCGGATTAAAAGAGACGTGTAATGAAAGTAAAGATTTATTAATATATAAAATTATATAGTGAAAACAAAAAAATACAATCGCTTCTCACATTCTACCGGGAATTCCGCTTTTCATCAGGAGTAGCCTCGATATTAAATATATCATTTCGAATATCATCGATAGATGATGATAATACTTATTGTCGTGGTTAATATGGAAATATACAACAATCAGCCTTTAGAAGTGTGTTAAAAAAATATGTATTCATAGGTGCGCGGTTCTAAATCTATCGAATAATCTCTCTTACGCATAGATATAATAAAGCATGGTGAAAGGAAATCGATTATATGATTCAAACGAAATGAACAGCGATTTTCGCTGAGGGTCATTCGAGCATTTCGGCGAGTCGCCGCATCGACGTCTTCGCTCGAGAAAAACCACGTACGATCAAAACAATGACATTATTACGCGTCGCTCTGTGGGCGTTTCTCGATCCAGCTCTTGATGGCCGGCATTTCCACAACCTTCTGCTTCAGCTGCTTCAAGTTATCGTACTTCTCGATGATGTCTCCATCTGGCTTCATCATGTAGTTCATGTAGTCGAGCAGGGCGACGAAAGTGAAATCGGCCCAGCTGAGAGCACCGCCGACGAAGTAACCGCCGTTTTTCTGCACCTGAGCGTCCAGACGTTCCAGGTAGTATGGCACTTGCTCCTCGGCCACCTTGTGCTTCGCCGCCTTGGCATTTTCGTCGCTCTCATAATGATAGGCCCCGATCTCTGCTCGAAAGAAGGGAATTGTAGAGAAAAATCTAATCTTCAAGTTGTATCAAAATTGCATCAATATTCGATTGTACAGGTAAGCGAACTCTTAATCGTTCTAATAAGCATAAGTTCCTGAGAGGATCTCGATGACTAAAGCAGTATTGTCCACTCACTTTGACGCAAATCGTGTATCGTATCGACAGTGGCGTCAATCTCCATGGCCTCCCAATCGTCCTTGCCGGCGAGTCCGCACTGCTTCGCCAAGTAGCGGCAAATAGCTACGGACTGGTTGATCTTCTTTCCGTCTACTTCGAGAACGGGTACTTGGCCAAACGGCATATCTGAAGGGCAATAATACGACATGCGAAAATAAGGCATTATTATAATTATATTCGCAACAAGGAGACGTCTGTCTGCCCTTCTTACTGCGGCGAATATTACATCAACGTACTTTCTTTCACTTTTTATTGTATGAGAATTTTCTTACTCGTTCATTACTGTATCAAGCTTGTACATCAAAGGGATCAGACCCGTATATTATTAATAAATAAGAATAAATAAATCAAATATACAATGACACCCGATAATTAGCGCGTCCTGAACGATCGAGTCTGAATTTTAAATCTCAATTTAAACTTCACGATGTAGCTGGAAGATAAAACGCTCGCGAAATCAGTCGGAACGGTGCGTTATTTTTGCGTTCGAGTCGACGACACCAAACGCGACTCGGTTCTTAATTACGACATTATCGCGGCCTATCGGTGCGCTTTATCGAGCTCGAATTACACGACGGTGTTTCCCCAGCATGAATACGCCCATTTGTTCGTGGAAATCGCGCATCGAACACCGGGCGTGTTGTTGTTCATTTAACGGTTCAATGCGGCGCATTGTATCTGCGCGACAATGCCGATTGACCCGTTAGTCGGAGCCATGACGATTGTCACGCAGTAAGAAGCACAGAAAGCTCCATTGTCATTCAAAGCAACATCCACTTCCGCTCCTCCGATTTACCAGAGCGGACTCCCCGCTGAAACGGTAAATATCCCATTGAGAGAACCGGCCTAAGCTGCGACAGTTTGAATCAAAATAACTCATCGCATAATCGCGTTTATTATTAACCGCGACCAATGTCTCGCTCGCATCGCACGCGTTCCTGTATTCTCGACTAAAGGCCGGTAGTTCCAACTTCTTGGTAAGTTACGCTCTTGATAGCTAAATCATACGTTAATCCTTGTTTTGCCTTCAATTTAAACATATTCAAGATAAACATATGATTTGGTTATCAGTTAACTTACCAACAAGTTGGAACCAGCTCTTAAGAGGTTTCAACATAACATCCGGCATAACATCAACATAACATTCAACGACTCAGCAATTTCTCGCGAGTGGACATGATGTTTTTGCGATCAGTATTTGTGCGCGCAGGTGCTCGTCGACTGAGCGACTCTCGAAGAGGATTATCGAGGTGGGATTATGCGTAAAAAAACAGGTGAATTAAATGTTAAATATAGAACGTGTCAATAGCGATTGTCTGGCGGCGCCAGATACACATACTCGGCTTAATCTTCGGCCAATCATCACGGTTGAAACGGTCGTCCTCGAACTCGATGTCGGCGTAACTGAAAAGGAAGCGAATCGGCTCGGCCAGCGCCTTAACGGAAAAGTAAGTCAGCTTGTAGGAAGGCATGTTGCACTGAAAGCAGAAGAGAGGCTCGATTATCCGCCGGTCGTTTTGATACTACGAGTGGGCAACTCGTGGCAAAGTTTGGCGATCTCGAAGACTCCGCTGCGTTAATTCGAAGGATTCGAATAAGTAAATAAATAAATTCTCGTTCGCTTCGGATAGCGTGATTTATCATCCGCTCGAAACAACGAGACTCGAAATTTACTCAAAACGACACAATTCCACTTACTCAAGATGACGCAATTCAATTATCTAATTATCTTCGCGTCTTCGTGCACGACTGAGATATTCAGTCTCGAGTCGATGCAAGTCCGAACTTTCAAGTGGAACTTTCCCGATCGGCCTTCGGCTTTAATCGTCACGATCCAGTTTTTGCTCTTCTTTCTGCATACGTTCAGTCGTTTGAAGAGCTTTTGAAACTCGTCGCGATTCATCGGCTGCGTGACTTCGCGATTAGCGGCGCATACGAATGATAACGATTCGTTAGAAGTCTTTATCAAATGATCTTATCAAACGACGTGTGCGATTAATTTTTTGCATAAGACTGCTTCGTGTGACGAACGATACCCAGAGTATCCATTTCGCTATCTAATTTGTTTCTATTGCCGGCTACTCGATCTATTCGCGGCCAATAAGTCTCGCGCGAGATTTTCGCGTTTGCGCGACGTGTGTCGTCCTCCTCTTCGAGCGACGAGATTTTCTCGATCGCGCTCAAAATTCGCAAACTTCTCTCACGCATTTCCGATCCCGTAGGGACGCCATTAGATGAGCGTTTCTCTCATGGTCGCCATGTATCGTCGCGAGACCGGCACGAACAATCTCTGACCGTGGGTTTATCTCGTCGCAATGACAGGAGAACGTCGGCGCTTCTCGTCGAATTCGGCCGGCTAAGCGGCCGGTTTTTGTAAGAACTCAAGGCTGCTCGAAGTGCTGATTGCCAATATACGGCATGACCGGCGAGAATATCGCTTTTGATTTCTGCCGCTTCCACAGCCGCGATAATCACTGTACTTCGAGCGGCTGCCTTAATCGCCGATTCATCGCGACAAAGCGATTAATTAAACATGCCGGGCCTCAACAATTAGATGACTACGCCGGCGACCTCGATACATCTTTGAGCGAAGCACCTCGCGACGTGCGTCCTCAAATTGTCGCGATAATTGACGATCAGAATTTTCGCCGGCCGGAAACCGCGACTCCTCGATCTCGAAATCAGAATAAGGAGAAGAAAGTACTTACAGTTTCTCGTGCGAATCTCTACGGTCGGAGAAGATGCTGGTCCTTTTCGCAGCGTCCTTCAACGTTAGTCACCGGCAGCAATGTCGGATAATATTCACGGATATTCAGCCAGAGGAGTGGCTATTAAATTACCGGTCCCCTGCCACCTCGGTCATCCCTCCAGGTTCCTTCGTTCCGTGACTTCGCGAATGAGTGTTGGATTGTAGAGAAAGTAACTAGATCAGCGACTTGAAGCTTTGGACATTTCAATTGGAAGGATCCAGAAGCATCAGCCAATCATTCACGAGCTCTCATGGAGGTCGCTGCACAAAACACACCCCTGAATTATTTTCTAGGGTGGTATTCTGGACTTGAGATTTTTCTCATTCTCAAGTTGAGACACTGCAGCAATGTGACGCTGGTACGAACGGAAAACGGAACGTGGAACTAATGGCCGATGCTATTTTTCTCTCTCTCTCTCTCCTCGAAGAGAAAAGGTTGCAAACATCATAAATGTGGGGTCTGTTCTTCTTCGAAGGATGCAATAAGTTAGAATGAAAGAAAATATATATCTGTTTCATTCTAACTATTGCATTAGTTCACAAATTTAAAAAAAAAAAAATAGACCTATAATATTTCCGGACTGCGCATCTTCCCAAATTTCAGGAATGAACGTAGAGCTTACATAGAAAAGGGTGCATTTTGTTTTGTGTCTATGCGCTCTCTCTCTCTCTCTCTCTCTCTCTCTCTCTCTCTCTCTCTCTCTCTCTCTCTCTCTCTCGTAAATCTAACAGAGGGGGAATAAGGGGAGGCAGTTGCAATATTTAAGTATGTGGCAAACACCTAGTTGCAAAATGCAAAGACGGCGACTACTAGTTACAAAGTGCTACTTCCGGTTGCGGAATTAATAGCTGCCATCCTTCGCAACTAGCGCTTGCAAACTATTCGGGAACTATTCGGGATAAAAGAGCGCACTTGCATAAAATATGAACCTACTTCTGAGAACAGCGGTTACTCAGTATGCTTTTTTCCTTCGGTTATCTTATTTGTAACGCTACCGTATTGTTATCGTCATCAAAGAATACTTTCTTGATAAGTCTTACATATAAGTGATACAGAGGATGCATTTTTGAAATGTATATATTGCAAATTTTAAACCTTATCGGAATTTATCCGCTTTTCAAGAATATTCCGCAAACCAAACAATTTTCTTTCACTATTCTTGTTTTAATTCGATATTCTTGAAGTGCTAAATAACTTATCAAAATTCAGAACATATTTGGAGCAGATTTGTGATAAATTTGTCATAGATTTTTGCGGGCGTACAAACCGATGAAATATTTGAGGCGATTAATATTTACTTGAAGAATGCATTCTTCTGCGTATAACGTTCGCTGTGCGTTTAGACTGGAACTCCAGAAACCTTGGAAACGTTTATAACAAGGAATTGTTAATTATCTGTCGTTAAAAAAAATTTCGGTAGGTTTCACCAACTACCGGACACATGCTGAATTCATCAAATGCAATTTGTACCGCTAAAAAATGGCACACGTGATAATTAACCCTCCATTGCCCTCGTATAAGGCAAACGCTCAGTTTACATTTCTTTTTTCTTTAATTACTTAGATGTGGCATAAAAGTTGACTCTGAAACTTTCTGACTTTTTACTTATAACCATTTTGATTATATCTGTATAGTTATTTTCTAAATTATGTTAATACAATTTGTTTAATACGAGAAAACTAAAATTCGTTTTTTTAAACGAGGGCAATGGAGGGTTAAAAGACCAGGGCGAAGGTTCGGAGACATCAACTTCATCTTTGCAGATCGATTAACGATTATGATAATTTCTCTCTATAAATATTTCTAGGTCTAGATATGCTTTGACTAATTGGCGTTTAAAATACAATCGCAAATTCATAGAGTCGCCGATCTCCCGGCATGCGAACAAGTCGTACGAGTGCAAAACTGATTTATTCAATAAAGTTGCATACACGAGTCACTCCCAGTCTAGTCAGATAAGTATGTTACGTGTATTCGTAGAGAGAAAACGAAGGAGTGTAAATTATCCTCGTTGTTAACGCGGGACGCGTATCCCCATGCGGGAGTTTAATTTAACGTTACACGACTGCCGTAACGTTACTTTTATTAGACAGATAAGCTATCTATTTGTCGATTACACGATTATATATATGTACAGCGATAACAAACAATTAAAAAGATTCTGCTGGTAAAAATCCTATTCATTCTCTAGAACTCCTTTCTCTCTCCTATATAAAGTAATCGTAAAATATAAATATACCTCTCTCTTTCTCTCTTTCTCTCTCTCTCTCTCTCTCTCTCTCTCTCTCTCTCTCTCATTCTCATACACCCATTTTCCCCCATATGTGCGATAATATATGTTACAAAACGTACCGTGACGATGATTATGAAGAGAAGGAAAGGAAAAAAGCGACGTTTCGCAACGTTTCAAAGAGCAGAGACAGATATGTGTTGTGTGTATGTGTGTGTGTGCGTATGTATGTGTATGTGTATCACAGTAAAAGTCTCGCGCGTCTCCTCGCGTTCCCGGGCTAGTCCCGTGCGCATTCCCTACGAGTGAAACATCTGACCGATGATGGCGAAGTTCCGCACGGTCGAGTTCATCTCGGCGATGTCGCCGGCGTTGGAGTGCGCGTGCAGACCAGACGAGACGACCGTGGCGGTGTTCATCCGCTGGACATTGTCCGCCACGTAGCTCTTGCCGGTCTGCGCGCTCAGCGTGCTGTTGATGACGTTGAGGTGAGCCTGCGGTAAGCCGCCGATGATGGGGGCGATGACGGTGGGGGAAGACGCGACCGAGATACCGGCGACCTGCACGACGTTCTGCGAGGCCTGGGGACTGTTGTTGTACGGGGGTGCGGCCGGGGGTTGCTGCACGTTCTGCGCCGGCTGGTGATGATAGCTGTTGTACTGCGCCTTGCACTTCTTCTCGTGCACGAATAGGCTGCCGGAGTGGCTGTAGGCGGTGCCGCAGATCTTGCAGGCGTACGGCTTCTCGCCAGTGTGCGTGAACCGGTGCTCCTTGAGGTACTTGAGGCGGCGGAAGGACTTGCCGCAGGTCTTGCAGTGATAGTTGGCCTCGCCGGTGTGGGTGGTGATGTGGGCCTTGAGCGTGCACGACTTGGCGAAGGCGGCGCTGCAGAAGTGGCAGACGAACGGCCGGTCGCCGGTGTGCGTCCTCTCGTGGTTGATGCAGTTCGAGTTGGAGGTGAAACCGCGGCCGCAGTACTTGCATACGTGTGGCTTGTAGCCGGTATGCGTGCGCATGTGGAACATTAGCCCGGTGTTCTGGCGGAAGGTCTTGCTGCAGATGTGGCAGAGGAATCGCTTGAAGTTCACGTCCTGCTGCTCCTTGGCGCGCTCGTGGATCCGCAGGTGCTTCTGCAGTTTGATCTCTTTCTCGAAGGACTTGTGGCACTCCTCGCACGTGTATGGCTTCGACTTGCCGTCGTTGTTGCTCTTCTCCGGGTTCTCCTTGCAGCGCTCAGCGCAGCTGCACACGTTACCGCCGCAGCTCGGGCAGCATTCCTCCTGGCTGGCGTGTGTGTTCGCTTGGTGCTTGGACAAAGACTTCTTCGTGTCGTACGATTTGCCGCAGATCTTGCAGGGGAAACCTTTACCTTCGTTATCGGAGTCCAGCTCCTCCCGAATCCAGCTGTTGATCAGCTTGATGGCCGACTTGTCGTCTGGCGGCCTCTGCGGTTCCGTGCGCGCTTTTGTCTCGTCGTGGCCGTATCGGTCCACGTGACTCTTCAGTCGGTCTTGCCGGTAGAACTTCATATTGCACACGCTGCAGACGAATTTCTTCTCGTCGTGTATCAACAGGTGACGTTGGAGGGATCTCTCGGTGGAGTAGCGTTTGTTGCAGTGTTTGCAATGGTGCAACAATGTTTCGTCCACGTGGTACTCGGGCCTGTCGTTGCTAGAGTCACTGTTCAGCACATCTGAGTCTCTCTGCTCCGTCCGGACGCTGCGTCTCCTCAGCGACTTCGTCGTGCTGCCCTCGCTCTCGCTCTGCGATCTCTCATTCCGCGCTGTTTCCTCGTCCACGTTCGGCGGACACGTTTCTGAGGACTTCGGGCTGTTCTCCAATTTCCTGCGATCGCGTATCTCCTTGAGTATGGAGAACACCTCCTTGGGATTGGCTCTCTTGTGAGCGTTCAGATGTCTCACCATGGTGTCGGTCTTTCTGAAGCTCTTGTTACAGATTCGGCACAGCACCGGCTGCGGCTTTTCCTTCGTTTTGTGCAGATCCACATGCTTGAGCAGCTTGTCCAGGCAGAAAAATTGTTTATCACAGCTTTCGCATTTGAACTTTTTGTCGTTATGAGTCAACGTGTGTCTATCTAGGGACTTCTTACTGGAATAAAATCTATCACATGTCAAACATTTATACGAATCGAATTCAGACGTTCTGTCCACTCTACCATGCAGGTTCCTTCTGATCTTTGTCTGATGCTCGTAATCGCTACCGTCGCGTTTCACGCTCACACTTTTCTTGATGTATCTTCTCTGTCTCTCCTTGTGATTCTTCAGATTCTCCATAGACGTGACCCTCTTAAACATGGTCAACCTTCTTGTTCTGTAAGCTTCTCTCTTAGCAATCTTCTCGTATCCTACTTCTTTAGATTTGTTAACACAGTCTGGATCTGGTTCATTATCTACCAGTATGTCCTCCGCACAATTGATTTGATTAAATGCATCCATGATTTGTTCATGTTTCATGATAGTCTTTGATGCCGCAAGGAGACTCTTCTCTGTATTAATTACATTGCCCATGCTTGGTTCTGCGTCTTCCAATTTGATTGTATGAGAGATATAAAATTGTTCAGTCTGACAACTCTGGTCCTGCGAAAGAAAACAGATGCGATGAACACAGGATTCAACAATGCAGGAATTAGTATTTAATCGCGGGATACCTTTGTAGAAATGCAGTTACCAGCGACACTCCTCCTCAAGGCTTTACCATAGAGCTTCCTGAGCTTCATGTCAGCCTTTTGACACTGCTCTCTCAGCTCGTAGGCGACGTTGACTTTCGTCATACACTCGAGACAGATGCTGGTGGGCAAGCCATCGTCCTCCAGCACCTGGGTGTACAAAAATCGTCTCGTCACCAATGCATGAAGCAACTAAAGCCGAGACCTTCGACAGTTGAACACGCAAACAAACCTCCACACCGCCGCATAAGCGCAACTTCGTCGACAGTTCGGAGACGCTCGGGCTGTTCGGGTCGTCCCAGCTCTCGCGAAAGATGCATCGATTGTTGTGATCCGCGATCAGACAGACACGGCAGAGACTGGTGTCCTGCTGACTCAGTCGCGTCAACATCTCGCTGTCAACCTCCATCGGGCCGCGCGACGGAGAAGTGAACGCCAAATTCGCGATGATGTTTTCACGGGATCGGCGAGTCCCGGAGCAATATCATCGTCGAGACTCGGAACGCTGGTACAACGTCATGTTCTGGCCTTCGGATCCGTGTATGTCCACAATAACGAACGAGGTTAGGAAGTCATCAGGGATGCTTTTCATTCGTATTAACTAGTACATGAAAACTGTACCAGAAGAATGCACTAAACTCGTTCATTGGCTACGGACTATTTTACAACGTAACCAATGGCTGCATCCAGCAGACTCAACAGTTGGACAACATTACTAGATTTTCCACTGAATCTCGCTCCTGATTGGTAAATACTTCAGGGTCTATGAAGAATCTAAAAGAATGCTCCAATCACAGACAATAATCACTAAGCGCTCTCTGAAAAATCTATATTTGTCTCACTTTAACTTATTGCACCAGTTCAACAGTGCAGCTACAAAGAACAAAAGTGAGACAAATATAGATTTTCTCACTCTAGCTTATTGCACCAGTTCAGCAATGCAGCTACAAAGAACGGACCATTCTGTACTCGGTTCGACGACTAAATTGGATTGTATTTCCATATAGTAGCATGTGCTGTACGAAATACAAACATTGATTCCAAAAAGTCAAACATGAAGGAACAATATAAAGAAACTGATGTTACCCGCAGGATGTACGTATAAATTCATTTTTATAGCAATCAATAAAAGGTAAAATGTTGAATTATACAAAAATAGGGCCGAGCTCATTAATTTCAAGTGTCAAAATATGTTGTTAATCACAATCCTACAAAGCCTTGAAGTTTTAGCTGTTACTCTTTCTTTATCAACAAATTATTATGTATTTTCTATACATCTTTTTATACATTCTTCATATGTAGTTCCAATGTATCTTTTGGAGTGGACAGCAGACACAACATGGCACAACAAGCCCATATACATGTTGTTGCTAAAAACTTGTATAATCAAGATAGCAACCACACTCCAGTTCCTTATGGTGCACTTGATGATCGCATGGTATTCAAAGATTTTTATATTTTCTTTCTATTAAAGGAAATAGAAAGTCTGAAGCTAATATTTCTATTTATAGGGAACATGTTCCAATACAAAAAAATGTGGCACATGTGAAGGCAAACTAAATGATTGTGCAGGACATTTTGGTTATATAGATTTAGAACTACCAGTCTTTCATGTTGGTTACTTTAGAGCTATCATCAGTATATTACAAACAATCTGCAAGGTAATATCAAATATAACCTGACTGAGATATATAAGCTTCATTAATAATAATGAATTTGCAGAAATGTGCTCATGTCATGTTATCACCTGAAGATAAGAATTATTATTTGCTAAAAGTTTTAAACCCAAATTTGGGATATTTGGCACGTAAAGCACTGCGTAAGCAGATTTTAGAAAAGGCAAAGAAGACAACAATATGCCAGAATTGTAAGGAAATCAATGGTACTGTTAAGAAAGCTGGAATGTTGAAAATTGTACATGAAAAGTATAAAAACAAAAAGAAACAGGAAAATATCATTGAAGAAAAATTGTTATCGGATTACCGTTATGTAGTTGAACATAACAAAGAGATAAAAAGTATACTGCAAAGCAGTGGATTGGTTTTCACTCTAAATCCAATACTAGTAAGATTTAAACATTTCAAATTTTAGAATTTAAGCTATTTATTTTAAATTATTTACTTTTTAAGCTATTTATTTTATACTTTAAATGTTTTTCAGTACCGTATATGTAACATTGTACATTATTTTAAACTTGACAAAAATTTTGTTTAAGGTACTAGAACTATTTGAGAGAATTCCAGTATGTGATATCCCACTGTTGCTAATGAATCGAGAACATACATTACCTCAGGATCTGATACTGACCAGAATCCCTGTTCCACCTATTTGCATCAGACCTAGTGTTGCATCCGATCTGAAGTCTGGCACCAACGAAGATCCTTTAACAATGAAATTGTCAGAAATCATTTTTATCAATAATGTTATTCAGAAGCATATGCAGTCTGGTGTTAAGGTGCAGATGTATCACGAAGACTGGGAATTTCTCCAATTGCATTGTGCATTGTATATTAATAGTGAAATGTCTGGAATACCTCTTAATATGCAGGTAAATAAAATCCAGTTTTTCATTAGTTTTCATTAATTATCTTGTCATACTTTTCTTAACGAATATCCAAAGGCTGGGTTTTTCTTTTTCTTTTTAATAATTTTCCATGACTTGTAGCCTAAAAAATCAGGCAGAGGTTTAGTGCAAAGGTTAAAGGGAAAACAAGGTCGTTTCCGAGGTAACTTGTCAGGAAAACGCGTCGACTTTTCTGCTCGTACGGTCATCTCACCCGATCCGAATCTTAAAATTGAGCAAGTAGGTATCGCGAAAATCCATTGAAATTATATCTCACATATAAACGGACTCATTCGATTAATTATTATTTATGCAAGGTTGGCGTACCTTTGTACATTGCAAAGATTTTAACATACCCCGAGAGAGTCAATCCGGCGAACATGGACTTAATGCGCCAATTAATTCGCAATGGTGCGGATGTACATCCCGGGGCGAACTTTGTACTACATCAGAAAACGCAGAGGAGAATGTACCTTCCATATAGTAATCGGAACAAAGTTATCCGAGAGTTACAGGTAACACATTATCAATTTTATCGCGAATTAAAAAGTTAATTTTAAACTAAACTAAACACTAATTGAAAATGCTAGATTTAAGAGATAAGCTCTAGCTTGAGACTAGATTTAACGAATGTTTTCTTCGAATCGCTTTATTATACTCTTCATTTTGCACAGTATGGCGATATCGTCGAGAGGCATCTCAGAGACGACGACATAGTGTTGTTCAATCGGCAACCGTCTCTGCATAAATTGAGCATTATGGCGCACAGAGCTAAAATATTGAATCACCGAACGTTCCGATTTAATGAATGTGTCTGCAACCCTTACAACGCGGACTTTGACGGCGACGAGATGAATCTTCATCTACCTCAAACCGAGGAAGCGCGGGCGGAAGCGTTAGTGTTGATGGGGGTGAGTTGTACTCAGCCTGAAACACAACTGAATGTGATAAGCTTCTTATTCTAAGCTCGAAACTGTAACGCATTTCTGGCAAAAAATATATCTCGTCGAGAATCATGATAACATTTAAAGTTTAAGAATTACGTACAATAATGTAAGAAATGCCTGAAATTATGTTACACTTTTAGGCTTAGAGCAAAAAGCTGGAGACTTACATCCATTGTGTTTCGACCCTAATTAACACATTGGTTGCCTGATTTCCAATAATTAGTTCAATGCTTCAGTTCAAGACAACAAAGATATGATAAATAAATGCGATTGATGATGCATATGTTCATTAATTGGTCCCATTGGCTCTCCATCGGCTGTCTATTCAATTTATTACATGCAGCTGGTTACTAGATTTTACGCGTAAATTTATAGCTAGTCACAGGTGACCACTACAACACGTGGCAGTCCACGTGTTAATCGAATAACATATGTAATGATACAAAATTATATTCTAAAGAAAAGCATCATTTCATGTCGTAGAACAAATCCAACTTAGTCACACCTCGCAACGGCGAGTTACTAATAGCGGCAACTCAGGACTTCATCACTAGCAGTTATCTCTTAACGAGGAAAAACACGTTCCTTACGGAGGCCCAGGCTGTTTTATTGGCTAATTGCTTGATGAATGACGCTGATAATCTCGTGTCTGTAACTCTGCCTCCGCCTGCGATAATAAAACCGATCAAAGCATGGACTGGCAAACAGATATTCGGTCTGATAATGCGACCGAATGAAGAATGCCCGGTTAAAGCGAATCTAAGGACAAAGGGCAAGGCGTACACCAATGGCGAAGAAATGTGCATTGAGGATTCTTGTGAGTAACGTCATGGTGGCTCTCTCATTGCGATTGTCATACTCCTTGATCTAATAAAATCTACTTTCCCCCACGCAGTTTTATTTTGTTTTGATTCTTGTAGACTGTCCATTTTGATAATTTGATTGAATATCATAGCAGAAAGTCTTTATTATTCTAATTAATAATCATTATTGTTATTGATAATTTCTCTCTCTCTCTCTCTCTCTCTTAAGAAATAACTTTATTGATATAATTAACCGGATTTTATTATTGATATAATAAACATTAAAATAAATATAATTAAATCCACAGATGTCCTCATTCGCAATTCCGAACTATTAGCTGGTTCAATGGATAAGGTTACATTGGGCTCGGGAACGAAGCAAAGTATATTTTACATTTTGCTGTGTGACTGGGGCGAAGATGTCGCGACTTTAGCTATGTGGCGTTTAGCGAGGCTAGCGAGCTGTTATATCACAAACGCAGGATTCTCCATCGGTATATCTGACGTCACGCCCGGTCATGGTCTGCTTCAGGCCAAGGAAGAACTATTGAAGAACGGGTAAGAGCGTTGTGATCTTGCATTGACATCTCCGCAGATTACTTAAGTTGCACAAATGATCAAAATTGTGTGATAATTTAGTTATGACAAGTGCACCAATTACATTCGGCAAATGGAGGAAGGAAATCTAGTCTGCCAACCTGGATGCACAAAAGAGGAGACGATGGAAGTGAAGATACTGAAGGAACTTTCGGCAATTCGTGATCACGGTGGCAAGGTGTGTTTGAAGGAACTCGCGCCCGGCAACAGTCCTTTGATCATGGCAATTTCCGGGAGTAAAGGCAGTTTCATTAATATCTCCCAAATGATCAGTACGTTCAATGAATAATAATATTAAATATGATTTATTAAATATAATAAATATTAAGTATGATTATAATGAGCACTCAAATGATCATTAAGTAAAATAAAAGTCAACACAGGATGACAGGTTGTGAAATTTGTTTGACAACTTGTCGAGAGCCATGCAAATCTTAAGTTTTAAATTTGCTCTTGACAATTATTAAATAACTCTCTCAACTGCGATCCTGTGATGGCTCTTATTTTACTTAACGATTAATAATAATGATAATAGGATGAATACAATAATCTCCATAGTTCTAATATATCTAACGACACCACCGTGCCTATCAGCCTGCGTAGGTCAGCAAGCCGTCAGTGGTAAAAGAGTGCCGGACGGATTCAACATTCGTTCATTACCTCATTACGCGAGAGGTTTAAAAACACCGTCTGCCAAAGGCTTTGTAGAGAATTCATTTTACTCCGGGATGGTTGGCCCAGAATTCTTCTTCCACACTACTGGCGGTAGGGAAGGTCTTGTAGATACCGCCGTGAAGACTGCTGAGACCGGATACATGCAGAGAAGACTGGTGAAAAGTCTGGAGGACTTATGCTTTCAGTACGACATGACCGTGCGTAACTCAATGGGTGACATCGTGCAGCTCAAGTACGGCGGAGATGGGATGGATCCGACGTACATGGAAGGTACGTAAGAGTTTGATCAGTTATTACACTAACGTTCGATTCTTATTTACCCGATTGATCCTTTACATTTATTCTCAGCGACTGCATGTCGCTAGGACTACTTCTCTTAATTCTTTTATTACGAACCGACTTTATTACATGCTCACAGATAAAGATTGGCCACTGGACTATCAAAGAGTGTTGGAGCATGTGAAAGCGAAATCACCGCACAAGGAGGAGATACCTCTGGACGGCGCTGATATAACCGACACCGCATTCCAATGGTTCGCTGACTCAGAACGGTTTAGCAGTGTCGAGGAGGAGTTGAAGGACGATTTGCTGTGAGTGCGAGCGGCGTGATTGCATTGATTGTTTCAAGCAAATCACGGAATTTGCGAATTGAACGATTCTCTTTTCAGCGTGTTTTTAGAATGGGTAGGAGACAGGATAACGCATTACCGCCAAAACATACTATGTCACTCGCCAGTGGCACTGCAACCCGGGCGTTTCACTATCTCACAGCTGGAGGAATTCATTCACACGTGCAACGAGAAGTACATGAGAGCGCGGATAGAACCGGGCACTGCCGTAGGTGCACTCGCCGCGCAGAGCATCGGAGAACCGGGCACCCAGATGACCCTGAAGACCTTCCACTTTGCTGGTGTCGCGTCTATGAACATCACGCAGGGTGTACCGCGCATCAAGGAGATTATCAACGCTAGCTTAAAAATCAGCACTCCTGTTATAACGGCACCGTTGGTGAGTGAAGATTTTTTCTTAATTGAATTGATTCTTAACTGAATTGGAATTGAAAACTAGTATTGAACCTAAAAGATTCAAGTGCAGCATTGATTCAGCTAAAAAGAACAGGTCTTTGGCGCAGAGCGCGGAGAACGTGTACGTTCATTTGCAGAACGTTGGATGGTTAGATGACATTTTTCTCGACATACTTTGGGTCGCAGTCGATGTCCAATGGGAGAATTAATTTTTGAATAACTTTCATAAGAGAAGGTTCTCTCATCGGACGTGGAATGCATCTCGAGAGTCGTTCAGAAGTGCAAATGAGTATATATATGAGTATATATATACGTGAATATTTTGAACGCTGACTAGTCTTTCTTTTCTCTTCTGCAGATGAACGATACGAGTTTCGAAATTGCCATGCGAGTGAAAGGGCGAATCGAGAAGACTACCTTAAAAGACGTGGTGGAATACATCGAGGAAGTGTGCCTGTTCGACGATCACTTCCTTCTGATAAAATTGGATACCGACTTGATCAAATCGTTGAAGTTGGAAGTGGACGTTAACTCTATATGTTATTCGTAAGTATTCTTGCAGATCAACGAGGTTGACACCTCGAATTAGAAGATCGTTTCTCATGTAAACGCAATAATTGCTGAACAACAATCAAGAATTTGTAACTTCGCAGAATCTGCACGTCGAAATTACACCTTACCGCAAAAAATGTATTGGCGAAGGGTGATTCTATCATCACTATCCAGCCGAGTAAGCAGAAATCAAACAATGAGCTTACGCAACTGAAAGAGAACCTGCCGAATGTTATAATAAAGGTACGAAATAACATTAATATGACGAGATACATATCAGAGGCTTTATTCTGAACGCATAACGAACGATATAGCAGTATTCATAGTCAGTCTTTGTATTTAAGATCGTTAAAGTTTGAGTTCATTGTCAAATCTGTACGAATCGTTTAATTCCATATATTCATAACATTTATATTTTTTAATTTATAGGGATTGCCATCGGTTGCTCGAGTGGTTATAGACAGTCACGAGGACACCGATGGCAAAATGAAATACAAGTTATTCGTCGAAGGAGATAACTTGCGGGAAGTTATGGCGACGACTGGCATTCTCAGCAAGAAGACAACGTCGAACAACACTATGGAGGTAAGAGGAACCTTGTTTCGACAAACCTCAGATGACATGATGATGCTCATCGATCTACTGCGTTAGGTTTACAAGGCACTCGGAATAGAAGCAGCGAGAACAACCATCATGACGGAAATCGAATCGGTAATGGAGAATCATGCGATAAGTATCGATCATCGGCATCTAATGCTCGTAGCGGATTTAATGACTAGCAGGGGAGAGGTACTCGGTATTACCAGACAAGGTTTGGCGAAGATGAAAGAGTCTGTCTTGAACCTGGCATCGGTGAGATTCTCAGTTTTTCGTTAACATATTCGTTACCGGCGTTACATCACATGATGCCTCACTTCAAGTTCATCTTTACTTAAATTTTTTTAATTTTTTATACGTAAATTTTTACTTAAAAATGTTTTTACTTGAAAATCTAGGCTTAAACATTTACTTAAATTTTTTTTTTATTTTGCTTAATATGCTTCACTTTTACTTAAACTTTTTAATTCTGCTTTATATGTCCGTCGCGAACGTTACATACAAATGACAGCGATTATTTTTTTTCCTCGATTGAGCTTAGCTTTGGTTTATTGAAAATAATAAAAAACATTTCTCTCTGGAACGTATTGTTTGTTGCAGTTTGAAAAAACGGCGGATCACCTATTTGACGCAGCTTATTACGGTCAAAGCGACACCATATGCGGCGTGTCAGAATCGATTATAATGGGTATCCCAATACCAGTGGGCACAGGACTCTTCACACTACTTCACAAATATCCTTTTCGTATTATATTTATAACGCAATGAATTTGCTATTATTATTTAAAGTCCCCCTGGTCCCTCGCTGTGGAACTTCTTTTGGATGATGATGTCAAAAGCGAGAAAATCCATACCGAAAATTTCTATTAAATGCTTTTACTATTATTAATAAACAGTATTTTCCTTAATAATTAAATACAGCGGACAAGGACGAACCGCAGAAGAGGACACCTTTATTTGACGATCCACAGTTCCATAAGAAGACTACAAAGGTTACCACAGGAAGTTAACTACAATAATCGTAATGTAAATAAAATTTATAATAAAATATTTAATATTTCCAAGTCTGTTAGATTTTTAACATTTTAAAAAGAAAACATCGAGATTCTGATGAAAAAAAAAATATCTTTACCATATAACATCGGTGTGCACTGCAAGTTTTATAATAATCACTTTTATAATGTAATGATTTAAGTTTTAATTGTATAACGTACAATAATCTTTTATACAAATGGAATGCTGTAGAGTAGAGTATATGCCAGTGGATACATTCGGTTGCTTGGAAACCGATTGTGTTGTTTGATCTAAATCTGTCTCATACCCGTATAATACTCTCTCGTAATATCCAAAGAAAAATGTTTAATAACGTGTGACGTATCGAATTGAAAATATCGGGAGGGAAGAAGAGTATCAAGATGGTGAACGAGAAGGAATTTTGGACAGAGATTCGAAAAGACATAGCGCGATACAAGAAGAGGAAACCACGCGTTGTTCCTGCCTTCACTATTCAGGCTCTGCAGGTGACGCATTAAGCTATACGATGACAGATTTTCTTCGTCAAATTTCTTTTAAATAGAAATATTTAGATAAAATGTGACGGATATTATGATTATTCCAATACAAAAGCGTTGAAAGATATTTCAACCTTGACACCCAGGAGAACACGATCGTTGCGAAACCGCCGCGATGCAAGCCATACAAGCCTCGTCCACCGAAACCGTCGACCTTTCGAAAGTTCTACAAACGCGGCGCGCTGCCCATCTCCTTGGAGAACGACGGTTACGATCAGAAGATCAATTGGAAAGTGGACATAGAGGACTTGGACTTTCATCATTATCTGCCGATGTTCTTCGACGGATTAACGGAAACGGAGCAACCGTACAAGTTCCTGGCGGAGCAGGGGATATCGGACATGCTAGAACACGGTGGACCTAAGATCTTACCAGTTATTCCTCAACTGATTATTCCTATTAAGAGTATGTTCCAAGATTCAACCCGAGACATATACACATGCAGAAGACAATGCAATAATGAAGGACCAAGAACCAATCACAGGTCCAAAGAAACCAGTTTTTATTAGCATGTACAGTAGATTTAAGAGGAATGCAAATTACACTTCTACAATCGGCTATTATCGTCCTTCATTATCGCATTGTTTGATTTTAACAAAGTTAGGAAACTGTAAGTACTCTTGAAAAGTAACAAGTCACTTCCCAATCCTGGACTTAATCGAAGAGCCTTACAATCGTTTTTACTTGACGTGTAGAAATACCTATGCTATATATTGAAAATATTTTCGTCAGACGCTTTGAACACAAGAATGCCCGAAATAATCTGCACTACGATGAAGGTCCTCCAACGTCTAGTACGTTCGGCCGATTGCATCGGTGAAGCCCTAGTCCCGTATTTCCGGCAAATCCTACCCATCCCTAATTTACTCAAAGACAGAAACGGTAAGCACGCCGAGAGACTTAATTTCTCCTGCAAAACCATGATATTCCCGAAGAAGAATAAGACACTCGTAATTCCAGTTAATCTCGGGGAGGGCATCGATTATTCACAGCAAAGGGGGGAGAACGCGGCGGACCTTATACAAGAAACGCTGGAGATACTGGAAAGATACGGCGGTGAAGATGCGTTTATAAATATTAAATATATGGTTCCCACCTATGAGTCTTGTATGATGAATTAACAGGCGGCAAATAACACATCACAATCCGGGATGAGAGATCTACTCATTATTCTTTGAAGGCAATGGACATTGTCGCACAAGATCAAAATACATGTAACTCATATAAAAAGGATAAAAACGGTATCATATTAAACATTTAACTAGATTGAGTTATCTCTCAGTAACAGCAATGCCCAGGACGAATCTAGAATTATTAGGTTATTTTACCGTTAATATTATATAGTAACGATTTCCTTTTGTAGCTGGAGTTCTCTCCAACTCCCATTATCTCGATGAAACTCAAGGTTATTGGTCCACATCGTAGATTCAGCGATTCAATAATTTATTAAATATGCCGAAGAACACTTATTCCCTGACACATTATCGGACACATTTTCATCTTGCGTGTTATAAAAATCATAGCAAAAGTGGCATATATCATCCACGATATAAGATTCTTTGTGAGAACACTTACACCTTCCCTGCATCTTCCTTCAATGTCACGGTGCGGTTGAAAACGAGCTGAAATAAAACCGGAGATAAGAATGCAATGCGTACGCGCGTCAATAATCTCATACCTTACCTTGCCGGGTCTGGTGTCAGGATCGACGGAAAAGAAGCCTATACGCTCGAATTGGAATTTGTCGTATACTTTCGCCGTACCAACTAAACTCGCGTCCACGTACGCTACGACTTCCTTCTTGCTGGCTGGGTTGATGTCGCTTAAGAATCCATTCGGCACTTCGTTCGTATCTTCCGGATTTTTGTGTTTAAATCTGGAGAATCAAACATGTATTGCCAATCGTCGTATTGCTAATATAAAAATCATTCACTAATGTTGTCTAACCGATAATTTGGGGGAATTTATAGTCACAACTCACAAACGCTCGTATAGTCTGACTGATGCCAACGCTGGATGAGACACCCAGTGTATGAACGCCTTTGGTTTATTGCTTTCCGAGACAGGTTCCTGCTTGACGGTTACATTTGTAATGTTGCCACTGGCATCTTTCTCGATACTTTGGAACGTCAATACAACACCCGCGTGCTTTAAGCCCACAGGCTGTTTCGGTGTTAATCGTCTGAAACCCTTCTCTTCAACCTGAGTGAGCGCATATATGTAATAGAAAATTTCTTTCCTCATATAGAAACAATAAACTAAACATGGGAATCCGGTGGTACCTCTTTAAAGTCTGAAGCCTCTATGTATACGATTTCGTCAAACGTAATTTCGTGATGTCCTCTCTGTGGTTCGTTAGGGAAATCCGGCACGCTAAGCTTGATGGGTTTTTCTTGAGGGAAATTATTTATGGTCAATTTAATAGGCTCTAGGACGACCATGGATCTAGTAGCGATAAGATTCAGAACATCCCTCACAGCCGCCTCCAATGCTGCTGGGTCGACTGTCACCTGTGCACCGGTTACGCCCATTTGAGCGCAAAAGTTATTTATAGCTTCTGGCGGGAAACCACGTCTACGTAAGGCAGTTAATGTGAACAGTCTGCAAGAAAAAGGAAAATTCCAACATAAAAATAAAAAGAAGTGCAACATGTGATATTATATCGTTTTATAAATTAAACATAAATATAAAGCACAATGTTGTACTTCTCACCTAGGATCGTCCCAGTCGGAAACGATTCCCTCTTGTATCAATTTAGCGATTTTCCTCTTGGAAACTACGGTATAACTAACATTCAGTCGACCATACTCCCATTGGACGGGACAATAGACATCTAAAGTGTTGCAGAGCCAGTAGTAGGATGATCTTCGCGACTGAAATTCCTTCGTGCAAAGGGAATGAGTGATGTTCTCAATGCTGTCGCACAAGCAATGAGTGTAATCATAAGTGGGATAGATGCACCAATGGTCGCCGGTCCGATGATGCGGCGAGTACTTTATTCTGTACGCGACAGGATCCTGCTTGCCTTCTTCCAGAGTCACTTTCATACGTAAGGTCGCTTCTCCTTCTTCCAATAAACCGTCCTTCATATCCTATTTTCAACAAAAAGGATGTATACAAGTTTACTTGAATATAATTATAAAAACAATATGTTCAAATATAAAGCGTTTCATTACATTGAATAACTGCAAGCTTTCCTGGATTGGCCTGTCACGCCAAGGACTTGGCGGAGGATTGAAACCTTTGATGTCTTCATTAGATTGATGGCAGACGTAGGCCAGACCTTTCTTTATCAATACTATGGCCCAATCGTACAGTTGCTGAAAGTAATCCGAAGAGTGAGTGATCTCGGCGGGTTTGTAGCCGAGCCACTCCACCATATCCCGTATCCCAACAAAGAATTTCTCCTCTTCTTTTTCAGGGTTTGTATCGTCGTATCGTAAATAGCATATGCCATCGTGAGCTGCGGCATATCTGTAGGATTCATTTATTTTACAACATATGTAACTTGAAAAACCTAATGAGATACATACCCAAAATTGATATTGATAGCTTTCGCATGGCCAATATGCAAAATTCCATTTGGTTCGGGTGGAAATCTGGTTCTTACTTTGCCACCTGTAATTTTCAGATGTTGTTGTAGCAGACAATGTGTATTCGGCGTTACAACGTATCCTTCGGTTTTATAATTTTCTCCAGGCTTATGGAAGTTAACTTTGGTTTTCATAAGTTCGCTTACAGTTTGTATCTCTGCCTTTTCGCCGTTTAATATTTCTTTTTGTTCTGAAAATTTGTCAATTTTTTATTATTACTACATATCCAATACATCTCAACATATAAACACTATATATCTCACCATTCTTTACTTCAGATTTCTTTACTTTTGTTTGCTTGTCCTTTGGCTGCTTCACCTGTTTAGGTACCGGTGCAAAATCAGCATCAGTTTTTGGACCCAATAAATCAAGAAACTGGATGTCAAATTCATTTTTTACCGCTTTACCATCTGCCCATTTTAGAGTATTACGTACTTGCTGCATCAATGGGCCAGAATTAAAGCGATATCTGTTTTTAGATCCAACCAATTTTAATATCATAAAGAAAAATACTACTTCTTTCATATATGAATAAACATTTTCTTCATAAACATATATTAAATATCAAAATATATCAACATTATAGAAAGATTAATTTTTAAGTAATCCAAGTTTTATTTACCTCTTTTCTAATATCTCATTTTTGTACACTTTTACAACTTTCTCTACTTCTGCTTCTATCTGCTCCGGTAAAACTATCACTCCTACACCACAAAATTCCTCAAAATCTGCTACATTGATATCATTGTTTATATTAGCTAACAGATAAGTCAACGCAGCATCTATCCTTTGTACAGTATCTAATTTCTTTTCAATTATGTAATTAGTAACAAATGGTATCTTATCCACAATCTGATTCTTAATCTTTGAAGCTAGATGATACAACAAGATACCAACATCTTGTATAATAGGACCATGTTTAGCAGCCTACAAATAACACCTTTATATCAACAACAATCTTTTAAACATCTTATCAATTAATAATAAACTCCTTAACAAGGCATAATCATTGTTTAAATTGTTTGCACGTGGAAACATTTATTCTAAATTGTACAGATAAAGATATGATATAAGTGTGAGATAAAAAATAACGTTATGGCATGATTTTCACCTCAGTTTTTGCATTAAGATTATCATTAACGATGAAAACCAATTTAACGTGAAATATAAAATTTTGCACATAACGTTTGATATTACGAGATATTAAATTCGCCGGCAATCACTGGAGCAGGTGACTAACCTCGTTTATAGCAAGCTTGAGATTCTTCGTGACATTAACATTTTTTAGAGTCTCCTTGGCCTTTTGCTCACTCAGGCCGATCGTTTGGAACAGTCTCACGTCGTTTTCGTTTTCCATTAGCATTTTCTTTTCTCTTATTCAAAATAAAATATGCACGAAATTACTTCGCTCAACAACCACATGGAGCATGTTTCACCATATGGGGATGATACGCTCCAATCAGGGTATGTAACTTTAGATTTTCTTGTAAAATGACGCGTTTCAATAAAATATAGCAAACTATCACTAAACTTGTGCAATTCGGATTGGTCTAGGGTTCGTTCAGAACAGCTGATCTGCTAGTCGCGAGGAAGTCGGCATGTTGATACCGGCTGATTTTCATTGGCCTTGATAACCGCGAGATGCAACGCATCATTCGTCTCGAAATAAGACATATGCATGTGATTAACGAATAATTAATTTACTAGAGCGATTAGCAGTAGTGGTAATTTCGGTGGTAATTATCCGGATCTTGGGAATCAATCGATTCGTCGATTGATATACTACGATTATTTTTATCTCTTGGGCTCGATCTCCGCAGATAGATCACTTGTATACATCCTAGTTGAGTTATTATTTAAATGATGAGCGATAGCGATGATGATCGACCACGTTTAAGTTTAGACACGCTTGCCGCATTGGCAGAATTTCTGGAGGAGAAAGAGGAACAGGGGGGTTTTTTGACACCTATATCCGAGGAAAATCAGATAACAAGTTTTATCTTTGATGAAGATTGGGTGAGTCAGTGATAATATAAACACGTTAACGCAACGTGGAAATTTCGCACATTATGAAGAAAAAAATTTGTAATTAATGTTGTAGCAATTGAGCCAATTTTGGTATGATGACAGGACGATAGAGGCATTTGTCAAAGGTGCCTTAGATTTGACACCAAAGAATGGAAAAATTGCTTTGATTTCGTGTCCAACACTCTATAGTAAACTAAAGGAGGAATCTGATGAAAGGGAAGGTATGACTATAATATTTGTACAATATACTTGAATTTTAAAGTCTAGATACTGACTAATTTTGTTTCTTGCAATAAATATATAATTGCTGCTTGATTACAGTTAAACTATTCGAATATGACAGTCGTTTTAAGATATTCGGCACAGATTTCATATGGTATGACTACAAATTTCCTTTGGATATACCCAGGGACATGTCTAGTCAGTTTGACTTGGTCATAGCAGATCCACCATTTCTTTCAGATGAGTGTTTGACTAAGACAGCAGTAACAATAAAGTTTTTGACAAAGGGAAACATTGTGCTGTGCACAGGTATATGTAAAATTATATTTTTACAATAATTTTTCTGTGTATTTACTAATTGTTTGTTAACATAAAAATTAATGTTTTCTATGCAGGAGCTATTATGGCAAAGTTAGCAGAGAGATTGTTAAATGTCAAAAAATGTGATTTTATACCAGGTCACAGAAACAATCTGGCAAACGAATTTTATTGTTATTCAAACTTTGATTTTGATAAAGCTCTGGAGTAAGCAAATAATATTTTAAATCATATCTAACAAAGATATATTTTTGTGTCTATCCACATAGCACCAAGTCGACTATTAGTTGACTGTCAGTCGGCAGAAGAAGTCTAAAGTTGACTTTAAAGTCAGACTGAATGCCAATTTGTAGTCGACAAATAGTCAACAAATGACTCGACTGTAGTCGGCCATAAGTCAACCAATAAGTCGACTTAGAAGTCGACTTTTAGGCGACTATAAGTCAACGTTCAGTCAATGTTATGGCGATTATAAGTCAACTTTTAGTCAGTTTGACTAAAGTCATCTATATTACTACTAAATTTTAATTTTAGTTGTGATATTTCTCAAGACTACCAATTTAATTTTTAATTTAATTACACCTTAATTGCATAATATTGTTATATATATATATATATAATGCATTTAAAGAATGATAAATTAAGTTGATTAAATCTTCTGAAATATCACATTTAATTTGAATAATTATAAGAGATATATAATAATAAAACAATTTACAGGATACAGTATATTTATTTTTTTAATAAAGCTCTCATCCTGTCACCAGACCGTCGCAACCATTCTTGCATATTTCTACATCGTTGATTTATGCATCACACACTATATTGTTGTATTATGCATCTTTAAAATAATAGTTACAAAGATAATAACATAGTCTATATACAAATATTTTATGACATGAAATTAATCTTTTACATCTAAATTAATAGCAGAAAACAGAATAAGTTTACACGACAGTCTAAAGCCGGTTAAATAACAACCGTAGTTAATGAATTTTTGCATTTAATTGGAAAGTATTTTTAGATCTACAAGAATTATACCAATTAGATAGAAAATTTGCAAATTACGATTGATACTAAACCAGCTTTAAGTTGCCATGTAAACGTACTCGTAGTTCCCGAAACAATCTGAATATATTATAGAAAAATTGGTCTTTCTCCTATAATATTTTGATATTATATACATTCGGTACATTACATACATATGTTACATACATAGGTTTGTTCTTTGTAGCTAAACTAGTAATCGTTACATTTGAAATGAAATAGAGATATATTTGAAATTTATCGAGCGAGAAAGAAAATTTCATAAAATGCTTATCAAAATTTTATAAAACAAACTCCATAAAAATTTACAGATTTCTCAGGTATTTCCTCTTTTTATTTACAAAAGAGGAAACAGTTCGAGCATTCATTAACATATTTTCAAAAAATATCACTAGAGCGGACTTTGTCACTTAAGAGCAACAGTCCTAACACCCTCTGGTGCAGCCAGGGTAAACTGAATTTTCAAAAGAAAATCTTTTAGAAATTCAGCTTCCTACATTTTTGCAGGTAGTAAACGTCCTGTTCTAAGCTCCTACCTACAGGACGCGGCAACGCTTGCCGCGCGGCGAAAGTTCGTGTGATAGCTAATCAACGTGCCGCTTTTCCGTAAGACCTAGAAAGTTATTACGGAAAGTAGCATATTGTTTGACTATCGCACGAACTTCCGCCGCGCGACAGTGTGTTATCGTGTCCTGTGAGCAGGAGCCATTAGTACAGTTCTACGACAAAGAACATAATGGCAAAAAGTTCCAGACAGCACAATGTCCGAAACTGGGACATAAAACGTTTTTAAAATGTCTTTTAGACATCTTAAAAACGTCTTATGTCCCGCTTTTGGACATTGGTGCTGTCTGATAATATTGAATAACATTTAATACCAATTATTGACTCCGAAAGTTTTGATTTTTTTAAAGATAACTTTGTTTTTATCCTATCCACGTATATGTCTGCGCAACTTCGTAGCCAATAGTTTGCGACATTATATGTCTTACATTTTTGGCTACAGTTTCTCCGCCTATTTGTGACATTTTCTCAATCTGTAACAAATATATTTCAAATCATATATATTCATATATATTCAAATGTCCATATATATTCAAATGTTCATATATATTCAAAATCATATATTCAAATGATATATATTCAAAAGCTTTCACTTCATGTACAGCATATTATTATTACATATTATTGTTATTAATTATTAATTATAATGCATTATTAATTATAATGCATATTCGTGTTAATAATTAGCAAATAACTGATATACGTACAAATTGTCGCCGAACGTTATCATCTTTCAAAAGGTTATTGAAATTTTCTACTTCTTCCACCATGAGTGAGTGAGAGGAAAATTCGGTAATAAAGAGAATCTGTCGTTGTACATTATGTTGTACTTCTTTTGAATTTTCCAGTAAATGAATAATCCGGTTAAGTTTACGTTCAAGTGTCATAAATTTTGAAAAATATCCTCGCCGACATTTTTCCAAACAACAGAGATAAAAAATCAAGCCATTAACATTAATGAATTAAACTATTACAGTAATTCAAATAATAATCTTTTGTTCTGCATTATATTTACTACTGATGTAAATAAAATAAAATTTACCACAACAAAATATGTGCTCCGAATCTATCGATTGCTTTTCTAAATTTTCTTTATTGTTTATATTATTTTCTAGTGAATTTAGTCCACGCATGCCGTGTACTTCTCGAATTGAAGTGCTTGTAGAAGGGTAATTTATCGTATCTAAAAATAATGTTAACTGAGCTGTTAAATCTTCTGTGCAATTTTGGAAATATATTATTTATATTGCCATTAGTCAATTATTATATTATGAATATGAAATGAATGAAAGAAAAATAAATTTCAAGCATACCATGTAATACAAATATAGAATGCTCTATATATATATATAAAATGTTATTTAGGCTTTAAAATCATTACATTTAAGTGTTTATCATTATATTTCTGAACTGATTAAAAATGTTATACTAATATTTCTATATATATTTTTCAATCAGTTCAAAAATATTATTGTAAACACTCAGATGTAATGTAATTTCAAGAGTCTGACTAGCGCTAATAATTTCATATTTGTATCAAACATTTCGTATCTGTATGAAACATATTCATATGATTCAGGTAGCACCATGATGTTCTATTGGTTAAAATGAATGTCCTTAAAACATCATTTGATGTCACCTTGCTATCTGGGTGTTATTCTATCTTTTATTTTGTTGTCATTCACATTCTTACACTGTGAGTAAAATACATATAGCATGTTTGATACAGATATGGAATTATTCATGCTAGTCAGACCTTTGAAATTACTTTTGAAAGCAGGGTAAAACCCAAATAGCTAAACTTGCAAAAGCAGATTTTGCACAGAGTTGTTAGCAAACTGTCGACAGAAAGGTAACAGCAGTCTGGGGACGCAGATGTCTATGAATCTATCGACAGGTCCTGCGTCAATTTCACAGATCCTGTTGCTAATCTGACGTCAGTCTGCGCAAAAATTGTTTACTGGGAATACAAATATCTGATTGATTTTTTATTTACTTTGCTCTGTGTTCTGGAAGTGGACAAAGGAACTGTAGCTCCAGGACCAAACCTTAACTGAGCAACTTTGCTCTGTATCCTCTTTGTACACAGTTCCGCTCTTCTTATATCACTGTAAAAAAACAAGAATTACAATAAAAATAACAACACTTTACATGTATAAAATATAAAGCATTCACATTAAAATAGAATAGAAATATCACAATATCAGAATAGAAAAATGAGCAATTTTGAGGTTAACATTACATTAGAAATACAAGTTTTATCCGTTTGCTAAATTGATGATGAACCGAAATGAATGTGCATGTTTTAAAATGGTGGAATTGAGAATTAAAAATGTTTTTACATTTTTTGTGCAATTATCTAAGAATATATCCTCAAAGTCTATGAGCTATATTCATAGTCGGATCTTATATTTAAGACCGTCTTGAGTTCACGTTCAGATATTCTGTAGCCAATGAAATGATCTATACAGCATCTGAAGATGAACTTAAGACGATCTTAAATATAAGACCGAACTATGAATACGGCCCTATGACGTGTTTTTGTGACAATTATTTGACACATATAAAAAAACTATTAAAAACATCTATCAAACAATCTTAAATCTTATTTAATACAATATATAGGAAATATGATATAATATAGGAAAGGAAAAGAAAAATTACATTTGAAAAATAATCCGGTAAAGCATGTGCGACATATACAGATATCCAGTGTTCTGATATTAGCTGCGTTCAGTAAAACAAAATGATCAGTGAGCGCCTAATGATTATTGTCTGTGACTGGAGCATTCTTTTAGATTCTACATAGACTCAGAAGTATTTGCCAATCAGGAGCGAGAATCACTAAGCGCTCACTGATCATTTTGTTCTTCTGAACGCAGCCTTATACTTTTTTAACCAGATTTATATGGATACTTCTTGATAACTATACAAATTGTTAACTTAAAGTTTTATTTTGTATCGCAAAACTATGTACGCAGTTAAATAATACAAGAAAGAAGAGTCAATATATATCGAATTGTGAAAATTTTAAAATCTCCCAGTGATATTTTTTCCAATCACGATGTCCTTAAATATTAGTTAATTTCCATTGAAAAGAATTATAAAAAGCTGACATACAAATAAATATAGATGGTGGAATTATTTTAATCAATTTATCTGGCAGAACGGGACGAAAAGTTCCTTGAAATTGAATATTCGCGGTTTCTCAGATCGATCGCAAACAGAAACAGAATTCGCGGGACGAAAGTCTCCAGATTGCAGGCAAGGAAAGTCCCTATATGATGTCGCATCCGCGAAAAGGAGACACGCGATGGAAAGCGTAAATATTTACATCTCTTGAGTGTACGCTGGAGCATTTTTTATTTGTAATCATGATAGACGGGAACATCTCGATGGAAGAGGACACGGAATTACGGGACCTGGTGGTGCAAACCCTGGAGAACAACGGTGTCCTCGCTAAAGTACGGGTGCGTCATGGGGATAAGTCGCAAAAAAAGAAAACGATGCGAGTCTTTACCCTCGTAGGTTAGATGTGTTTTCGGGGAACAGTTGAAAAACGGGTACAAATAAATTCGCGGGCTTTCGTTCTCACACGCTTTCTCAGAGCTCTCTTGTCTGATGTTCGCAGGCGGAACTCAGGGCGAGCGTGTTCCTGGCTCTCGAAGAACAAGATTCAGTGATGGTAGGTCGTTTAAGCCGCTCAAGCGTGCCGCAATAAAGCACAAAAAGAAAACCTCTTGTTTACAATTCTTTGTGTTCAACCAGTTGTATCGGCTCCTCATGCATATAAAATTAACGCTGGTCTCTTTATATAAGTAAGGCGAGCTCTCTCTACTGTACTGTACATGGTACTTATTTCACAAAGAAGTTATAAAACAGTGTTATTCTTTTTCACCCCCTTTTTTTAATATTGTATGTTCAACACAACTTTGTGAGGAGAGATTAATGCAAATTGTGTTCAAGAATTTTCTCTGTATAAAATTAGAGAACACAGATCTGTACAAGGCTGTAATATGTAATTTTATAATTTCAAAATGAATGTTTCAGAATCCTGAACCGCTTCTAAACAAAACTGTAAAGCAGTACCTGTCCAATTCAGAAGGAAAATTATTGTTTTGCTTGGTTAGGGAGTTCCTAGAATATTTTGGTCTCGACTGTACTATATCTGTATATGATCCTGAGACATACTTTGGGAAGGAATACAATTATGTAGGGAGAAATAAGCTGTGCGAAGAGTTAGGTATCGATTCAACCGAGCCATTACTTGGAGAGATTCTCAAGAACAGCATCAATGGTGCCTTCAATAGTACACAGAAGGTATTGACTTAAATTATGGATAGATTAAGGGCACAGTTTGTAAATATTTTATTTCATCAAATATTTTCTCCTTTCAGAGTAAAAGTAGTAACAGACACGATGACACAGACGACGCCTCGACAAACTTTGCGAACGCGACATTTGAGGTATCCGTGCCCAAAATAATACACAATGAGTCCGTATCATCATCCAATGACAATGACTCCACCGAGAAGTTGGAGAGCATTTCCGAGCAGAGCCCGAAAGTTCCAATAAATGTGACAATAACAGACAAGAAGTGCAAAGATCCACCAACTAGCGATATTATAACGGACATGTCAGATTGTGATAAGCAGCAATCCTTTCTCAGGGAGAACACAATGGACAATGACGGAATTGAAAGTAACAGAAACAATAATGTGAATTTTGATAAAACTTCTACATGCACGACGACGAAGGCGCAGGAGATCAACACAGTCACTACGTCCAATCAATCGAGTCCGTTAAACAAATCCGAGTCCCTAATTAAGTTCGACGATTCCATAGTGATGGGCGCGCAAACAAATCAAAGCAAAGATATAAGTAAGCAAAACAGTATAAATAGTTTGGAGTTAAGTATAGGCAATAATGTACACACACACGCGCAAAACAAGAAGCCAGTCAATGCAGGAGACAACTTTGGAAAGACTATATATTTCGACGAGATCATCGTCGACGGCGAGCGGAAGAATGTTAGTACAATGAACAAAGCCGAGACTTTTTTAAAAGACCTGCCAGCTATAAATCAAAAGGCTAGCTCTATATTCGGTGACTTGCCTCCGTTGAATGGAAAAAAAGCCAACATTAACGATCTGAAGGAGTTAATGGATATCGGTCTTGGTAAGTATTGCCAGAATATTTTATACAACATATGTGTGATGTATGATAATATATTTTGTAATAATAATATCTACACGCTTATTTTTCACGATACCTCGTGGCATTTACAAATTCCGTAGGAGCATTAAAGTGAGTCTTTAAAGATAGAACACTAAAACGAAGTCTTTACAGCTACGGACGGTATAGACAACTACGAAGAAGACTTTGTGTCATCTGCGTCCGGCAGCGCGAATGAACAGAGCCCCTCGAAGGAGCCGGACAAGATGGACAGCTCTGTCAATCCGCGAACGAAGAAGGAGGACAAGACTCAAAGTGCCCGTACCGAGGATCTGAGCGAAGAGATCGAGGAGATGGACGAGATCTTGAGTAGTACCTCCTGTGTAAGTAAGCCGACCTTAAATTAACGCGAAACTGCGGCACTGTTACTACTTGCAATTGCACATATTTTTCTCCTGTATGAGTTATATACGTAATTATATTGCATATAGAACCGTTATATATTTTAGCTCGAAGATATGAATACAGATAAGAATATATCAAACTTTACGACGGGTATTACCGCGGATTATATAGAAGAGATGTAATTTTTAATCTCGTGTCACTACGCAGATCCTATCTGTAAGAACTCTAAGGAGATTGTTTTCTCATGTAATCCTCGGCGAGATTAATATCCTGTCAATTAGAGCTCGCGTCTCGCGTATGTCTGTATGCTGTATAATTATTGTGAGGAGTTCAGGAACTCTCAGAATATTGATAAACATGGTTTCTGATAAAGGCACTGCCAGCTCTGTGGCTCAATACTTATAAGTTGCGCTGCAAAATGAAAAAAAAAAAGATAACAAGAAATAAGAAAAAGAAACGTAGAAGGTAAATGTTTGAATGCATACTTCAACAATAGACGATATTTTTCTACAGTTTGTAAAAATAAGCAACGCACCCAAGTGATCAAAGTTCACGATAATAAGAATACGTATCTATGTTCGACTAAACGTTCATACGAACTCGATTTAACACTAAAAGATACGCCACTGTGACCCAAGAGGCCATTATGTGCGTAAATCTTTGTCCTAGATATTCAGAAATATTACAAACAATTGAAGAAAGCAATATATGACTAATCAACATTTGCTATTGCATCGCGACATTTGATTTCATAAGGAAAATATATTTGTCAAACATTTCCTTCTTCACGAGTCATGCAAAAGGTACTTCTCCCTTCGCCGTTCATCACAATATTTATAATAACAAAAATTGAACGGTGAATACAAATCATACAGAATTGCATGTTACATTGTTCTATTGTTCAATTATAAAATGTGCAGTATTTTCAAAAAATTTTTATCTACATCTCGGTGGAAATATCATTATGGGATAATGATGATTGAATTGAATCTTTTATCTTATTCGACTTCAGACAGGCTATATACCTTCTACGTTATGTAAAAAAGTATGCTTAGTATTATTATTCTTACAAACGTAAAGATTACACCAGTGTTGCGATAATTTAAATATTAGAGAGAGGTGTCACATAAACGAGATACTGCTTGTTAGTAACTTGGTTACACACATTTCTCTTCTTTCTTTTTCTCTCTCTCTATTTTTTCTTTATTTGTAGACGATCTATTAGCATTCTATTGTGTTTATCGAAATACTTCTGTTCTTAATTTTATGACTGAACATTGTCCATTACCTCATTTACACAAAGTTACTGATATGATATTGTAATATCAGGAAATCGTCCGTCTAGAAATGGATTGCCTAAAAAATCCATCAAATTATTTTTTCGAACATAATGGTGCTAAGTGTTTGAAGCTAAAGTTATTTATGAGAGTTAACGTTGTCTATGAAAGAAGAAAAAAAAGATTAGGTGCTTATATATTTTCTTGCATCCATGATTCGCAGGAAATTATGATTGTGTAGTGAATGAAAGCCGTAGTAGGAACTAGGATATTACTTTTTGGGTAATCCAACTTTTTTCGCGATCGAAAAGAAAAAGTAGAAGAAAAGGTTCAAATAATATGGATATTTTGTGCCCTGTATAAGATGCAATAACTAAGTACAACTCAAGGTGGATCAACTAGACGCTTGACAAATCAAAATCCTTTTGTAAAAAGAACAAGAGAGAACTGTATAGCCAGCCATCTTTACAAAAGAATTTTCAGCAAACGGGTAGAGAAAGACTACGTTGTAATATTACCGATATTAGAAACTATGGTTCGAACGAAGGAATTCCGTCACTAAGTAATACTATATTACTGGCGATTTACTGAGTGCTGCATGAGAAAATAGCAAAACTAAAAAAAAAAAACAGAGAGAAAGGACGAAAACAAAAGAATCTGTCTACTTTCTATGCTCAAACCGCGGCGTTTTGTACTATTACTACACACTACTTCGCCGACTCTGCATTTAGTTACTATATCGTTCTATCGCACACACGAATTCGCAGATTCACAATTTGACGTCGTAAATATTACGAAATATAAATGAAACTTATTTTGATACTAATATACGCGTACGCACGCATCGTAGTAATGGAATCGCTTAGTTCGGACCGCACGCGCCGTTTGTCCCGAGATATACATTAAAAGAAAATGAAACAGGTGTGTTCCTGGCCAATCAGCGTGGTTACATTTATTATCGATACAGTGCGCATACGTTTTATTGTAAACAACGGGATTCAGGACTGCATTGAACATTCCTACGCTCTGTAGAATCTAGAGGATAGCGCATACATTCCATTGTTACTAAGGTAGTCGTAACTTTCGTTGCATTGTTACCATTAGCAGGCACATATTAACGGGATAAGTATTTCTCTCATCATATAGGTTGTAAAGGGATAATTTAAGGTGCGTCTCTTAATCTGTAATTGCCGTAGAAATGGCTACGTGTCCTTTTCTTTTTTTATCAATTTGAATTTTCGGAGCGACAGGAAGCCCGTCTGAAACCGAAAGCCTCCGAAATGAAATTTTAGAAACTCTGTGAAACGAAGGGAATTGTTGAAGAGTTGCTTGTGTGTCTCTTCCTTCTTCTGTTCTTCAAAGGGTGCTGACTAGCATCGCGATTTCTCCGCGTATATTTGTAACGTAGATATATCTAAAAGATATCTAGGATCATTCTTGGAAGATACTGCTCGAAACGAAACGTAATTTTTGTCTGGTTAGTTTGTCTGGTTCTTCTGTTATTTTACACATTGTCGTTTGACGCAACTTCCTCGTTTTTCTTTCTTTCTTTCTTTGCAAGAAGAGAGCATATCTGATGCAAGTAACATATTGCAATCAAATAATTTTATTGTGAAAAAACGTATGTACATATAACAGTGGTTTTTAATGCACATTTCATGGAGTGACAACCTCGACATTTTCTCAATATAGGTAACCATCACATATATAATCATAGTTTTGTAGCTACTCATAATAATCTACAGTTTGAAGTCTCACGGACAAAGTATTAATACCCGCTTTACGGTATTCCTTCGATATTCACGATCGCAGATAATTATTTTGTAACCACGTTGAAACATTGGTAGCTATACCGTGCCTTTTAGTGTGTATGAAATAATTATAAATAATGCAAATAAAAGTACTGTGGAATTGTGGGTTTTACAACAAAAAAACACCTATGTTACTTATTTATGATTTTCAAGTATGATGTAATAATATGTATTCATGTATATGTTATTTATTTTATAAAGATTTTTCTCTTTTGCACTCATCGTCTATGTTCTTTCATTACCTTACATTCCTATATGATGTTTATTCTTGTTCTAGTTCTTGTTCTAGTATCATATATATATATATATATATTCTCTGTATCATTTGAATACTTTTGCAAATATCAATAAGAATCATGTATGCACATGTTTTATTACATGAATGATAACGTTTGCATATTTAATTGCAGACAAATGACATATATTACAATTTAGTTGCGTTATACAATTATATGTATATATATACATACGTATACATAATGTGTACAAATTTGAAAAGGTATATGTGAACACATGTATACACGTATGATACAATTGTGCAGTAATTTTTTTACTATGTGATGTATTAAAATTCCCGAATGTCAATGTGTAGATGTTCGTTCTTTATTCTAAACGATGATGACATACCTTTGTTGCTTTTACAAAAGTAAATGCATATGTACAATATACTATAGTATCCTTTGATAATGGTGCTAAAGTTACGCTGTTTGTAACAAGTGACAGCGTAGTTCCCTCGAACTTTCCTATCTATAACCTGTTGCGCTCTCTTTGGATTCGCTCACCATACGCTCTCGACACAAGATTGAAAGAGTCAATGTACCGGTCCATGCACATTGCTAAGCATTTCTGCAAAGAAATCGTTGTCAGTTGTTAAAGCAGATCGAAGCGCGATCAAAATTATAAATTCGTACTGTCTTTATCTACAAGAGCTACACATCATGACCAATCATAATTCTCTCTGGCATACGACGGATAGAGGCTCAAGATTGTAATTATATTTGGTGACAAAACATTCACCTGTTCCGTGCTATCCAGTGATGTGCCCGGCTTGACTATGCATTTTTTGAAGCACTTTTCCGTCATTTTCTGCAAGAACGCATAGAAATATGTAACATTCAGTCAAACGGGAGTCGAACGACTGAAGAGGACAAAGTTGTGTAACAATACCACTAGCAGCTCCTGGGTATTAGCGACAGCTATTTGTTGCTTCAGGTTCTGCATCAGCTGCTCTCTCTCCGAGTCACTTAAATTTGCCGCAGAAGTTCCTTCCATATTTCCAGAGGGGCGTTTTTCAGCGGCGATAATGTTAAAATATAAAGAACTGCTATCCGTGATTAGTAAGTATGAGATACACCTAACCTATGACCTAACCTAACCAAACCTCATCGCCGGCTGCACGAGTAACACGTGAGGTTGTCGTAAATCTCGTTTTCAAAAGGTCGATGCCGCCGCCATTCTATAATGATGAGTGCATATTGGCTGTGTTCCAAAATTCATTGCCACTACTGAAAATACATAGTTTGTGTCACGTATATTATAGATTTTCAGTGCTGGCAGCGAATATTGGAACACAGCCATTGTAAGCCTGTTCTGAAATCAGAAACTTTGGTTTTAGTTATAATAAGATTAAAGCCAGCGGCACACGATGCTTGTTTTCGTGCTGGATTGCTTGCTGGATGAAAATACGGCGTTCTGATTGGTGCATTTCCATCCATCTTCGGAAATGTACCAATCAGAACGCAGTATTTTCATCCAGCAAGCAATCAAGAACCAGCCAGCACGAAAACAAGCACCGTGTGCCGCTGGCTTAAAGGCTCGTCTACATTAGCTGTAAGAGTAAGGCTGTAAGGTTGCAAGACACGAAATGAAATATTTTCATTCGCTGACAGCTTACGTTACAGCCTTACAGCCTTACTCTTACAGCTATTGTAGACGAGCCTTAAGGTAAGCCTTATAACTAAAAACAATATTTCTAAAACCGATTTCAGAACAGGCCTTTGGATTGCTTGAACTTATTAGGTCTGTTTTTTTATCGTTGAACTAGTGTACATACACTCAGGGAACACAAAAGAACAAAAAGAAATAGATATACATGTAGGAGTTAGTGAAAGGGAGAGAAGAAGAGAATAAGTGCAAGTTAGTGCAGCCAGTTCAGCAATAGAAAACAAACCTAATAACTCCGGTTTTATTTTTCAATTAATTTTTCTCTAAAGACTCCCAGAGGTAAAGACAAAATTTTCCGATATAAATCGAGTGCTGAATACTTAATTATTTTATTGCCAGAAGCACAATTAGCTCCCCCCTCCCCTATCGCTCTGCAGTAGGCATAGAATAAATACTATATATGTGTATGTACAAATAATAACAATAAAATTATTGCCCATGCTGACAGACACGGCAGATATTTAATTAGACTCCTTGAAGCATCTTGTGATAATTAACACGTATCTTCTTTCTCTGATATGCTAAATCCTGTAAGACGGTCTTTATTAGTACTTCGTCGGTTGTATAACTAAAAGTCGGTATTGTCATCGCTCTTAAATTACCTCCAGGCCCCTCGGGACTCTTTGCCGGTACGAAAATTTACTCAGGGCTGACAGTCTTTGGATATGAATCCATTAGACGTTCGAGAGAGTGGCGTCAGAGCAGTACCTAACTTGCCCAGAGCCATCTATTGAATTGAATTGAGATGTTGCAAATGCTTTGAAGCACTAAAAGAAAAGCCGTGATTGGTTTACACGATGCTTGAAAGTATTTGCAGCGTCTAATGGACGCATACGCTTTAGTGTTGGCTGCGTTCAGAAAACACGACGGTTAATTCGTCAACATTATTGGTCTGAATGTAAGGATCTAACTGTAAGAACCAATAATCACTAATCGCTCAATGAGCATTCGTCATTTTCAAATTCTGTGCCCGTTGGATATTCATTATGGAAGCTACTTGCCTGTTTATCCTAGATAGAAAACGACAATACCCGTTTTTTAGCTGAATACGGAGACGAGAGGAATCCGTTGAGTATCGGAAATATTAATATATCATTGCAGTCGAGGTTGCAATACGTTTTGCGAATCAGCAACAAGTAGATTAAGGGAAATGGGGAAGAGACGCGCTACATCGCGAGCTAACAAGGTAACGGTAAGCGTATTCGTAACCTTGATGTTGAGCACAGCATTAGCTAAACGATTATATTGTTACTTTTAAAGAAATCTCGAGACTCGGAGTATCAGACTCGCGAGAAAGAAAGGCAGAATATTGTTCAGGTTCTGCAACAGGTGATAAACTTCGACGGTGGTACTCGCGACTCGAATGACGCAGGTAGGTTTCCAGGTAAACCGGAAGATCAAGATGACGTCAAAATGGCGAAAAATTGGCTGTAGAAACTCACTTTTCATCGATCATGATTCGATCATCAAGCTTCTGCTTTTTTGTTAAGCTGCGAAATTAACATTTTCGAAATTTGAAAATAAACAGGTGTACAATAGAGATATGTTGAAAAAAGAGAAATAGAGAATTAGCGCAGCTACTTCGGCAATAGCAAACAAACCTATTATCTCGTCATTTGAACGTTGTGATTTTCTGTTCTAAAAGTTTGAAAAGTAGCAAGCGCGGAAGATACTTAGAATAAAAAGACTCTTCTTATTCAATATCATGTTGCTCGCATGGAAAGCGGAACGATGTACTTTTAGTTGTACCTCGTTTCTTCTAGAGTCTTCGCTGCTTCACACGAGAAGCACGATGCAAATGTCCCCAAAGGAAAACTGCACGTTCGCCCGAGCGGACGCGAGCAAACGCAGCGTCGCTGATGCGCCCGTCAACGAATGCTACCGTTGTCAGCATTTCTTAAACGTCCCATCGAATTTGCCTCAACCGTCCTGCGAAAGAACCACCGGCCTTATAGGACAGTGCGAAGTCGACATAAGTTTCGTGCAGGCGATTGTTTGGCTGAAATCAGTCACCACCTGCGTCTCTCAGTTGTCAGTTGAACAACTGCAACGAGTGTTCGACCGGCAATGGAACAGACAGGACAATCGTCCGAGAAATAAAAGCAAGGACAACGTCCGACGTGCGAAGCGACTAAAACGTCACATTGAAAAACCGTCGGTAGCCGAGGGAACCGACACTCAGGACGCTTTCTCGATGTTAACTTCATGTGACGTACCTAATCAGCCAGATAGTTCTGCATTTCCTGATCTGATTGCAGTTGGTTCATCTGTCACTTGCAAGAAGAAGAAAATCGATACTCTGAACTTCGTTTCGACGAGCGACATGCATATTTCTTCGGCGCAAGAGAAATGCACTGATTACGTCACGGACAGCAAGAGATGCGAAGAAATTTTATCGGAATCCAGCGATGCGGCGGTTTCAGTAATGGACGGAGAGCTCGTACTCAATTCTGACTGGGACAAGTTTGAAAGTGAGACGTTCGATAGCTGGGCCGAGCTTCAGATGGAAAATGAATTCGATAAAGTCGCCAAGTGCCTGACCCAGCCCGCGTCGAAAAACTGTACCGATGGAGCGAACGAAGAAGCTGTGGAAAACACGGTCGATGTCGGAAATGAATCCAACATGTTGCAAATGGTTTCCGGCAACAATCTCGAACATGTCCTTCTCTCCCTTAAAACGCCCCCTTTCACTCTCGCTGTCGATCAGACCAAGAAACACAAGCCTGCCACGCTGGCGATAAATCCGACAAATAATCAATCCGATAATCAATCCGACAAATCGGATCATCTTTTTCAGGTATATTCTTGCTTCGACGATGATTTTATCACACCAACGATAAACCAATGGAAACCGTATGATGAATCTACGCCGACGTGCGACTACAATCTCGATATGACTCTGGACAATATTTCTCAACTCAGTATCGACATGGAACCGTTGGAGCAAAAAGCTTTCGACAATTTCCGAGCTGACCGATCGTCCATGAGCACATCCAATAATAATAAAGACAAATTTGAAATAAAATTTAACGATGTCGACAAATCTGATACGCAGGTAAGTATCGGCACTGTGCAAAATCCGATGTGCGATAGCGCATACAGCACGTCACATGCTGAGATACGTGGTTGCGGTGCCGATGAAGCGGCAAAGCTCGTCGTTGATAAGAGCGTGTCGCATAACGATCGCTACAATTTATGATCCTACGAAAAGAAAGCAATTACGTGCGAAGAGACAGCCGCGACTTTGACCGGCTCACCTTCTGCGATACGAGAGACGAAAGCAACCTGTAAAAAGCAATCTTCCGCGAAAAAAGATGAACGGAAGTGTCCGCGTGAGGAAAAACTGATTTCCGCCAAGTGGCTAAGCTTCACTCTAGAATCGCTTGACGTGGAGCATGTTATTCTCGAGTCGGTCGGAGCGATCCTCTCGACCCTCAGCAACAAGAGAACAGCGAAAGAATATGCCACATGCAGATATTGGAAGCTTAATTTAAAAGAGGAAGCCGTGAATACGGTATTGAACGTATCGGACGTTCTCAGATTGGAAAGAAAGCCCGACATATGTAGGAAAAAGATCGTAACGACGGTGATTGAAACTTTGAACGACATAACAACGTGTACGCAATTGAACGAGGTAAGTCTCACACTCGAAAGTATACATTTAAACAGTAGCTTATTCGTGAAAATCTACGTGGGAGAAACAAAATACGGATCAAGTGGAAAAATTGATATTAAGAGAAAGTGTATTTTCTTATTTGAGAAAAAAGATTCCTCGGTGTAGAAATATTTATCGATTCAAATAAATATAATACCGAAAAAATATTTTTTATCTTTTAGATATTTCTTTTTTACTGTAATGTTTGCGGCATCCATACATGTACATTTGTTTTCTATTTATAAATAATATATTGAATAAGTAATGAATATTACAATAAATATAAATATTCTGTCTCTTTTACAGACATCTGTGTCGATATATCGCGTACAGATAATTCTGGAGCTGTGCAACTCGGTGTCAGTAAGCGTCGCGATAATCGATCACTTGATAGAGAGATTGCAATCATTTCGATCCACGATGATCTACGGTATGGAGGTCCGGCGAGGTATGCACACCACGATCAATCAGCTGCATCTCGTGTTCTACGCGTTGAATATCGCCCTGCAAAAGTATCGCACGGTCTTGCCGAACGATCAGAAAGCCCATGACACGGAAAGCGCGATACCTCACGTCGTGGATCTCTGGAAGACGCGCTACATCAACGAAGAACTCGAATACGCGAGATTGAACGTGAAGGACGCGGAGGAGCGATGGCGCGCCGCGCTGGAAGACTTCACAGTAGCGTCCTTGGAACACTTTACGCAATTCGCCGAGAAATCGCAGTCGTTGGCTCACATGCTGATCCCACAATAAATCTTCGAGTGAAACGTGATGTTTTTAACGTTACATATTATTGTAGCAAGAGCTACTCAGCTTGCTGAGGATGCTTCTCATTTAGTAAGACCAGCCGATGCACCATTCTATCATTTTCCATATTTAATGAATAATAAAGATGAGATAATGCTCGTATCGATTTGTGTCACTAAATGAAAAGCATTCTCGATTGTCTTACATTTTATCGAACAGAAATTAGACGTAGAATTTTCGTTTTCAACAATGTTGATTTTTGACACTATATTGAGCGTAGAGTTGTGCTTTTGATGCTGCACTCCTTTTATACCAGTTAGTGTAACTACACCGAAAGGGAAAGATTACTGAGAGAATCTCACTGAGACCATAGTTATTTCCGGTGTTAATAATACCTTTTATAATAATACTTATAATTATAAAGTTAATAATACTTTTGTTCTCCCAAAAAAAATTACAGGAGCAACATGCAAACAAGATTATTATCGTCAACAATATATAGCACTGCATTTGACGTAAAAATAATTCTTCTAACTGTAATTATTTACTATGCAATCACACTCACAAATACCAAATACTTTCTTTCTAAGTATACTTCAAGAGAGTACCAAAGCTACCAAGTACAATAACATTAAATTAAATATCAAACTTTCGTTCTCGTACAAAATGGACCCATTGTTGTTCGACGAATCGTCGTGAGTCAACGAATCGGCGTCTTCTGCTTCCATTGAATCTCCAACGGTCCAGCTGCATAACTCCTGCGGATTCTGCGGTATCGATTTGAAAACGGTATCTAATAACGTTTGTAACGGACACATCTCCGCGCAGTTCGGCAACGACAAAGCGATCGTTGTCTTGTCGATACCGGTATAATACTTAATCTGAAATTGTCGATTTGAAATTTTAACAAGTGAACTCGGAGGCTCTGTCAAAGAATCAATTGCACTTTGTGCAAAATACACTAGTTTTGTCATAACTTTTGTGTATTTCTGCCAAGCTCTCTTTCCCACTTACCTGAGGAAATAGGATTATATATAATTATATACCATTATATGTAATAATAAAATATATGTAATTATGTATAATATAAATTATATATAATTATATGTAATTATATTTTCTCGAGTACGTTTGGCGATAAAATAATTTTGTACCTTGATTGCGTACGTATCCGTGTCGTTGTCGAAATATAATTCGAAGATCAACGCGGCCGCCTCGTTGGGTATGTGAGGCGACCAGAGATCGAGGTTTTTCAGCACCCCGGCGATGTTTCGGTCGTCACCGCTGTACAGCATCATTTTACAGTTTTTCGGCATTTCACTCAACGTGTACATCAACGAGTTGCCAATTACTTCCGCTAAGAAAGTTCCGCCGTTCAGCTGCCTCTGAAGGGGAGTCGCCGATAGGATATCATATTCCAACAAGGTCACATTATACATCGTACCGTCAGGAAACACGTCCATCGCCCAATAAGGCAGCTTCTCGTCCTCATCAGCCTGCATCGGACATTTGTAAGGAACTCTACTCAAAGGTACATTTCAGAGATTTCAAATGTCCAAACACAAGACGAAACTCTATTCTCCTATTTACAGGTTTAAGATATTCCGTTAATTTCATACTTTAATTTGCCTTTGTAGACTCACCATCGTCTCCAGACTAGCGTACAAGAGAGCTACGTCCGATGGCGTACTGATGTTCCTTTTGGTATAATAAGATAGGTAATCAAACAAATTCTGATAATGCGATATCATTTCTCGCATTTCGGCTGTTTCCAACGCCTGATTCATCTGAGAAATAAAATTCGGACATAGCGAGCCCAACATCAACACATCCTTCTTCAGCTTCACGTAATCTGCACACAAAAGCTGCTGGTCGTTATCACGTAAGAAAAAACGCGCGGCTTTCAATTCATTAAAAATCGTAATTATTTCGCAAATATTGAAGAATCGGTCTGTTTTTTTTTCTCGGAGGTTTCAGATTAATACAGGAATTGTGCAGTTAAAATTACACGTTAATTAATATTTAATAAAAAAGAATCCCACTAATGAGACATTAGCCGCTAATGAGTTAACTTCCGAGTTCCTTTACTCAGCTTATCGTTTAATTAAATTCGTGCTTGTAATTCATATCGAAAAAGAAAAATATAGAAGAAACTTTTTGAATTTCACGTGTGTTTCAATCGATCGATTTGGAAGAATTCTTCCATCCCACGAATCGCGATTACATTTCTCTACTAACCGATTGGCACCGGTTGCCAATTCATGCCCACCATCCATGTTTGTGCTTCCGTAGGTGGCCACAGACCGGCATTAACGAGCTGCCCTGATAACATTGATAAGGCCTGCTCCGTCGTCCTTATTCTGGTGATATCATACGTTTGCAGCTCGACGCCCAGAAACTCGTCGTAGACTTCACGCAAATGCACTCCAAGATTGTACATGTTGAGACTCGCAGCCTGAGCAATCGCAACGCTTATAATTTTGTGACATACAACGTAATATTTATGCCTTTGTTTTCTTTATATATTTATTTAAGAAAATCGGACATATATGTAACAATGTCGAAACACTGGTGACCGATTGTTTTCAATATCGTTCAGCTTTGTTCTCGGCTGAATCGAAATGTCGAAGAATCGAGCATGAACTCTCGCCCAACTGTAAAATAAAAAGAAATGAAAGTACTCTCAAGTGGTCTCAAGTAAAAAAAGAAATTGTCTCTTTTTACGAGTTTAAAGAGGGAGAAAACTCATGATCGATCCCCCGATTAACTGAATCATTTACTGTCAAATGTAGATTAGATTAAACCCAATCAGCTGGTATTAATGTTAACATCAACACATACGTTCGGCATGTTCATTCTGGCGGAAGTGAAGTACTCGTACGATAAGACTCGCGGCAAACTCTCCGTCCCCGCATAGTCCTCTCTCGGTGCGTGCAGCTTGTGCGCGAACAACTGCGACCACACATCATCCCTCTATTTCCGTTTTCCGTTACATTCACGCGAAACGCATCAGCGAAATGTTCGTACGAGATTATGTACTTACAACGTGTACTAATTTCAGCTCTGGCACTCCCAAGGTCCTTTGTAAGCAGATGATGCATAATGCGAACGTAATGCTGACAGAAGAATGTGATCCTTTCATTCTCCTATGAGGCTCGCTTTTCCTTTCTCTATCTCTCTTCCCTGGAAGCAGGCACTTGAGCAAAGAAAATCGAAGATAAATAGTCTAAGACGACCGTCTTTCGCGAATCAAACTGCGGGAAAGAAGAATCAAAGCGCAATACGATACCCAGGAATTTCGTAATCGGAAATCGACTGCGATGACTACAACGAACTGAGGAGGAAGTTGCCGCGTAAGTAACTAGTTAAACTTGAATTATGAGCCATGGTTGTGAAAGATCGATTGATTCATCTTTTTTGTTTTGTAAGTTCGCCTTGTCGTCGGGTGAGTTGCTCAATTATTATCAACTGTCCATTATTAAATGTCAACATCAACCGATCAGTGATTGACCCGTGATAATTCCTCTGTGATTAAATCGCGCTACCTGATCGATATTCGGTCTTTAGTGTGAAAATTCTCACTGAGGTGCTTAGAGCACTTTTCCTAGTAGATATCAATTAATAATAACATTACATCAACATTAGAATCTTCCACTTATTAATGCAAGTAGAATAATGTAACACATGTCGTGTACAACAGTTACATTCTTGGATGAGGAAATTGTGACATTGATGTCATGTTACTGTTAGTTGCTGTTTACTGTTTATCACACATAATCATGGCGAAATTCGATAATGAGAAAAATAACTATGACGAAAGAAATAACGAAATGGCGAAAGTCGTATGACACGCATGTCGGTCGACGATATATTTCTGTATTTCTTCTCGAATGTTTCGTTTAATAATTAAAACGAATCTGGAGATGTGCGAGTTAACGAACAACCGGACACGAATGAGGCTTGTATGCGCGATGTTATGCAAGTATTCGTTCGATAAGGATTTCCCTTGTTTTCCTTCCGCATCCATAGAGATATTCGCGCGGTGACACTCATTCACTCGGATGAGGGTGCAAGAAAAAAATGCACAACCGCACTCTTGTGGTCCAGCTGATAAATATAAGCTCTTATCTAGGACGCGCGTTATCGGAATCCGCGCGACTTCGCGTCTTCTTTACATTTAATCCGGCGAATGTCGCTTTTTATGTGTATTATTCACTTGATCGGCCGCATATATATTTCGACCGTTGCCGTAGCCGTACCTTGAAGATAAAATAGATTAATAATCACTCGATAAGTACTGTGGACTTGACCAATCGCGGTCGCACGTGTGACAACGATTTTGACACATGCGCGTGTGCAGATCCCGACGATAATGCACCGTATGATGATGTGGCCACACCGCGATGTAACTGCGATGTTCCTTAACGTTCGTTAGATACATCCTATTTACTTACCTACATTCCTACCACTTTGTTTGCGCTCAGCCAACGATAACGATTAAGTGACTTAATTGCTGCGAGATGCCGAGGTGTATTCGATATTTATTTCCTGACACTAATAATTGACACGGACTTTCTAAAGGGACATACCTTATCAAACGCGACGGTGTCTGTTTGTACCTTTGTTACTTCAACGTTAAATTTCTTATTTTATCTTTTTGTGTAATTCCTCTTTTTATGTCTGCGTAGAGAAGTAAATATTGATATAAAAAAATACAGGATGATATATGGGAGGCTTTCCCAGACGGATTTAAACAGTGGGCATTAATTATCGTTGAAACAAGATGTTTAATAGAACTTTTTGGAAGCGATTATACACGATTATAAATGCGGAATGGTTGTAATATTTGCCGCTTCGATAAAATAAGACTCACGTGCCTCGCATTCAATCTTGTTTAATTATCGACATCCTGGCGAGTTCACATGTGTGTATATATGTGTGTATGACAGGAGAGGAAGTAATTAGAAAGGAAGAGAGAGAGAGAGATCAAAAAAAGACTACATACAAAGAACACGTTGTTGTCTCATCAGTAATAATAGCGCGGGCAGATATGAGTTATTAACCGATAATAATTATAATACTGCACAATAACATCTGTTAGTTACATCGAAGCGCTCAATCCGCGCGCTTACTCACTAATAAAGACGCCTAATCACATACGACCGATAACGCGATGTTCAAATAAAGAAATGATTGTGCTGATTTCACGTTTCGCCGTCGGCGAGACGATTGTCGTTATCGCTCGCTCAAACGTTATCATGTGTCATTGTGCTCCATATATGCAACAAGCTCTATAATTAAAAAGCGCATTTAGTCCGTCTGGATATTGTTATCGCGTTTATATTAACATATCACACGAACGTGACGCCGACGTGTATCTGTGTGACCCGCACGCGACGTATCGTCCGTAATGAACCGTAGTGAAGCGTGATCAACAACTACGTCTGTTATTGATTATGTACCACGATACTACCACGATACTATGTACCATGATCACGCCGTATACTACTAAACGCGGAATCCCCACGATGCAATGATAAATCACTGTGAAGACTTGTTCCGGGAAATAATTTTGGTATTTAGAGATACCATGTTCGCAATCGTGTAACGTCATTCCAACGCAATCGCAACCTATTACTCCAGGTGTACATCGCTTCGTCTCTTTTTCTCTCTTTTTCTCTTGAGATGACGATTAATTTCAACGTTAATCGCGCGATAAGATCATGCGAGCATTACATCAGCGCAGAGTTTTGTTCTTAAAATAGATTCTACGCAGGAAAATGCGGTAAATGCACTCGTCCATTGAATATGTTAATATAAAATGGTGTATTTTTGTTAATAATCGGCACGATAACAGGAGTAACGAAATAACACAGGTTGTATTCGCAGGATGTAGGATACTATGTTTCTCTCTCTTCCTCTTGACGTCGTCATTATTCTAAGCGAAGCCGTAATGTGTATATATACATGCATACATATTATTTGCTTGTATCAACCATCATCTCGTAAATTAGACAGCGTATCAGTAACTACGGACAATCGCTCGTAAATCCTACGAACTTATTAAATGACGTGTTAAGCCCCCGCTTTCCGCTGACTTGTTTAGTCGCGAATGAGAAACACCGCGAATATATTGTTCCTCATCAGAAATCAAATCGTACGATAATGTAGCAGCTGCACATGATTTTCAGGTGGCGGCCGAATGTCTTGTCGTTGCTTGTTCATGCCGGGAAAATGAGCAAACCGTGCCGCAGTCGATTGCAGCGAAGAAAATCCGGAAACGCGCTTGAGTCGCGCGAATTCCCGTTCGAGCGTTCCCAGCGTAATGTGGCTTGGTAAGTAATTTTTTTCCTCTTTCCCTTCTCCACCTCTTCCACGACAAAGATTGCTCGATGTTTGTGATTACGTAATGAAATAATTGTAGTTGGAAAACCCATTTTTCTTTTTATAAATATTAACAATTGGTAGAGAATGTAGTGTTAGACAATCGATATAAATACAAAACTGAACGCCGGGAATAATTTAAACTGTCGACATGAATAGTTAAACGTAATTCCAAAGTCACGTACGTTTTTCTATTTTTTGTCCCTATCTGAACTCTTCATAGTGGACTCTCCTGAAAAAGAACGTACGTGATTTTAGAAATTTAGATCGTTGCATTGAAAATTCTAACTATAGAATTCTGTTATAAGATTAGCGTTTGGCTCTTCTTACTTTGCCGATGTCTTTTTGTCGATCTTTTCTTCCTATTTTTAAAACATTACTACTGTTTTTATTGGAAAACAGGAAACAGGTGATGTCGAGCTGGTGTTAGAAAATAATTTCAACGAGATTAATCATTTCCTTTTCTCTTTCCCAGTGCTCGATCACCGACATCGGAAGCGATACGTGCGAAATTGTGCACAAACAGACCGTCTTATAATGATCGAAGGCTGTTGGAGCAGTAAGTATCTCGTACAATTTGTGCGGCTTCATGGTAATTCGGTGATCGGAAAAAGTGCTCCCAAGTTTAGTTAATTATGCTAATTACACTGCCGAAAACTGTTATCACGAATTAAAAATTAACGTGGATCGCTTGATCAAGCGACACGCGTCGATCTCTAATAAATCGTTTACGGGACGTCTTGCATCTCGAAGAAAAGGTTCGAAAGGAATTTTTCGATTTTGAAAAGAAGGATCTTTCAATTTTTATTCGACGGACGACGTGTAATTAGCGAGGATTGCAAATCGTTTACCGACGTTTGCCTGTGCATAAAACGCCGCGAGAGTCATCTAACAACCATCGGATTTGTCTCGTTCGATCATAAGTCCTCACTCTCGCTTCTTCGTGCTTCTTCGCTTCACGAAGATCGTTGCGATCCGATGATTTATACCGCTTCTCAGCATGCGGATTTATCACATGGCATATATCACATAAATACAAATGTTATCTACATCCTTCGGAGCGTTTGATTGCGGTCTGCGGACTGCTCTCGTGTCCTACTAAGTTTTGCTGCAAAACAGACATGTCGGAAATATTTATTTATTTATTTATTTGCGGCAGTCGTCCCTTTTCCACAATACATTGCATTGCGATAAATTAATGATTCAAATAAGGATTAGCAAATAAATACACACACATATACATATAAATATGTCTCTTAGAACTATCGTCGCAATTGCGAGAAACAGCACAATTGCAGTCCTCTCGTTTACAGAATTTTCTATACTGCGCATAATTCTGCATATTATCTACGAATTAATCCCTATCGCGTAACCTAGTTCACTATGATAGAAAAACACGCGATAACTTCGTTGTGACTCACCTCTCGAGCGACTTTGAATCAAACGACGATAAAAAGAAATGCCTTAGACAAAATGATTCGCTGCTCGATTTCTTGGCGTAACTTTTTGCAGGTATCACAACACCGTGCTATTTTTTTTAATCGATAATCTTTTATTTATTCAATGAATCATTGTTCTCGTGATTTCCTGCGCGTGCAGATCCATCAAGGCGATCGAAAGGTTACAAGGAAGTTTTTCTTTCGCATAAAAATTTCATTTCTGTGCGCGCTGAAAAGCAAATCTTATCTTCGACCATTAAAAATATACGACTCGATGAAATCGCGCAAATACTTGCAATGTTGTGGATAATTCCCAATATATTACTGGAAAGACCGGAACATTGCAGAACGCTAATGTTCGCTGATATCACGACTATCGAGTTGCGTTTGACGCCTTTTATGTCGCTTTTCTTCACCGACGCATTCCTATCGTGATTTAAAACGTCACCGGTGGGTTTACGAGGAGAATAACTTTTATATAGAATTGCAAATCCGTCTGAATCTTCATGAGCGTCCTTCCAGTGTAATTGGTAGAAAAATCGCCGACAGCCAACATTACGTACGCGCGCGACGTCGATAATCGATATTTTCCAAATAATCACCTGGTAATTGCTCGTGAATCACTTACATGGCTCGTGAGCTAGTCTGATTTAACTCATCGAAATAAAATGTCACACCTGCGGTGTTAACCAAACGTTCATGAATTAAAATTCAACTTGAGCTCGCAAACTTTTTTCAATATTCTTCCAATGTATGCGACTCACGCTTGTATCGCGTTTACATATGTATCGTGTGATATTCTTTATAAATATGATAAATTATTAACGCGTTATGTAATAACAACACCAATACTCTCTCACGTTCCTTATATAAGCAAGAAAATTTCCGGAAAAATAATATAAACGACAGAACGAAACGCGCTTAATGCGCTTCCCCGATTATGTAATATCTGTTGCTTCTCCGGTAATAACGTCGCGAGAGGTAATATATTTCCACATTCGCAGCGAAGTCCGTCGTCTCGATTGCCGTAAAATGCATTTTTTTCGGCAACACATAGACAATTAATTAGGCATTTAATTTATATCTGAAGTGCAAGTACACTACACATGTTGCGGTACAACTATATTTTACTCATGCTCCGTTTCTCTAAATTGTCTAAGTTTTCATCCGCCTCATTTTCACGAATAGAAAGGAAACACTCGACTTGTGCAATTGGATTTTTAATTATCCAGGGAGAACAGGGACTAGATGAAAAATTTGATTGCACGAACAGAGGAAGATCTCTTTGGCTTTCGAAAAGAGGAGGATTTCCACTCAATCAATTGTCCCCAATTTTGTACAATTACTTACGATTATGACTCAATTATTTCAAGCTAGTTTTGATACAGTCCAACACACTAAGAATATTTTCGGTCGTGATGACACAGACATTTCGTTACCGAATGTTCGTCTGTTCAACTATGACATAATACCATATCACGCAACGGCATGAGAAAATCAGGATTTTCCCGAGTTATAAAAAAAGAAAAATGGATTTTTCACATTCCACGGGACATTCCACAGGACAATCTTCGCGTAACACGCGATTCTTTTGTAATCTCGTCGCATCGTACGCAATTAAATTTGCCGACTCGCAGCCGTATGAAGACCGACGGAGTCTCCTTCTCTGTCGCCTTCGCCGTCGTCGTCGTCGTCGTCGTTCGGGAGTCCTGGCCTTCAGGGATATCTCGTCGTGGCCACGTGTTTTTTGTGCGGTTAAATATTTTCCTGACGAATAGACTCGGGCTCGCGACGTTCGCCTATGATGGCCCGATAAGACAACACGAATAGAAACTATTATTAGTAGTGGGGGGCACACGCAGGAGGACTTATCACATTGCCAATGCGTTCTCGTGCACTTTAAAAGCGCTATATACCGAGCGCAAAGGGTCAGTGTTTCATATTAATTCCTGCGATCCGGTGCAAGAGCGACTGATCGTCGCCTGATTCGCGACGACCGAAGCACCGGCCGAGTAAATCGCTAAGGATCGCAAACCGATCGAGTTGACGATTTCGTTCGGGGACCAGCACGATTTAATTGTTCGATCGTAACACGCATCATAAGTACGCATCGTGACTTTGATCAATCGTTCTCAAAATATCGGTTGCATCCAGCGGAAAAAGTTGTTTTACAACTGTTGTAAAATTCGTGATTCTAATTGGCGTATATCAAATTGGCTCTTAAATTTGATTGAATCCAATAACATACAACAATCGGATCCACGAGTTTTACAGCGGTTGCAAAATAATTTTTTCTGCTGAACGTAGCCACTTACTTTGTTCCTTCTTGTTGCAAGCGTGGAGTTGCGCATTTGATATTCATATTATTATGTATATATATAATTTTATTTATTATATAATATATTACATATTAATGCGATAATATATATCATTTAATATATTCTTTACGATTGTGCAATTATGAGAAATGTTCTCTCTCTCTCTCTCTCTCTCTCTCTCTCTCTCTTTCGTTTTTTTTTTTTTTTTTTTTTTTCTTTTGTTTCCTTATTTCTTTTTGTTAACTTGACATTGACTTTGAATGTACGTTGAATAAGTGTGATTATGTACACAAGCCGGCGAATATCTTAACATTCAGTAGCAAGTTATTAATATTTTATAATTATATGAGTTCGTTTCTAAACATTAACATAAAGCTACCACCGTGTATGTACTACTTTGACAGAATCGTTCTCTCTACTGTGAATAATCAATAACTAATAAATTCAAATCAATATTGCGTATAATTAAAAAAATTCTAATAATCTATATTGCGCCCAATCTTAAAGCTATTATGCCAGTCTATTGTGTACTTCGATCGTCCTGCCCGCTGGAAGATGTTTTTTTCAGTTTATCGTTATCATAGATGTTCTCATATAAATATTTTATTTCTAAACTGGGCCTCATTGCGTCGTCTCGATTCCATTACAGTTTCCGGCCTGTAAGATGATCTTGCTTCGCAATTTCTGCAGCTACTTGACGATCGTCACGGTCATCCGTTTGAGCGCAATTCCAGTGGAGGCTGTGGAGTCTGAGCTCAAGTTAATTAACGTGGTAAGTGCGATTAAACACGCTCGATAATTCAAAAGGGACAATGATTGAGAGTCTACTTTGGCAGATTTGTAGCGTACAAATTGAAAGAAACATAAAGCTAAATTTCCGACCATCTGAAATATCGATTTAATCGACTTTGCTTGATACACGCTTGTTGTTGTTATTATTTTTGTCATTAATATGTCGCTTCATTTATTATTCATTTTACATCTTTCTTATGCCTGGATGATTGTTTGCATATCTAACTTTCGCGCAGGTGTTCAGACACGGAGACCGAACGCCCGATAACAACGGATTCGAGATGTACCCGACTGATCCGTATATAAATAACTCTTTCTACCCGACAGGTCGCGGACAGTTGACTCTAGTAAGTAATGTCATCTTCCATCTTCATATTATCCATCGAAAAGAAAATATAGGAGAAGGAACTGAAGTTAACTAGGAAAATTATGCGGAGATAATTAATTAAGAGATTAAACAAGAACGTAATAATTTTTTTCTGTAAATAGCGAGTCGAGATTCTCTAACCAACAAAATCGGTATTTTTGAGTTTTTCACTAAATATATGATCTAACTACGTTCTTCTTTCTCTCTTGTCTTTTTTCTTCTTTACTGAGAAACGGAGTTTCTGGAACTTCGTAGAAACAACTATGATAATTATATTTTATCTTATGTAGAAAATGATTTGAAATTAAATCGAATTGCTAACAGAAACCGATTTCAGCTCTGCCATTGAATTTTCATGATTTTTTTATAGGCCGGCAAAAGACGCGAATACAAGTTGGGTCAGAATTTACGTAACAGATATAGCGATTATCTGGGTAGCGTGTATTTACCAGGACATGTCGTAGCTCGCAGTTCGGATTACGACAGAACGAAAATGTCTCTGCAACTTGTTCTCGCGGGTTTGTATCCTCCAGCAGATGTTCAAAGGTGGAACAAGTGGCTTAATTGGCAACCGATCCCGGCATTGTACACGCCACGTGTCGACGACAAACTTTTATTGTCCGATGAATGCCCGGAGTGAGTACGACATGATCCCATCAAATTGTTAAAAATGGAAAAGCAAAAATGGAAAGTAAATAGATAAATGAAGAAAAATTAAATAATGATAAATTGAAAAACAAAAGAAAAAAATAAACAAATAAAATAACGAGCGAGTTGAGAAGGAGTACTTTTTATAAAAAAAGGTTTCTAATAATATAGAAAATATTTGGCAGAAATTTTTGAAACATTTAAAGTCCAAAGGAACGCAAGAGATATATTTTTGGGCTGTTTTGACGGAGAATTCATTTGAGGGAAACTTTATCGAGATCTTTTCGTTTGTAGATATCTCAACGAGTACGAACGAGTACTGCGGACACCTGAAGTACAAGCGATAATGGATCAGTTTAAGGATATGAAACATAACTTGACGAAGCAAACTGGGAAGTCGTTTGAAAGAATCCAGGATTACTTCTTTCTCTACCAAACTTTTATAGCGGAGTCCTCTTTGGGATTACCTCTTCCCGAGTGGGCATACAATTATTTCCCCAATAGTCAACTATTCGATGCGACTGTAGCGTCGTATGATATTTCCAATGAAAACGACATCCTTAAGAAATATTTCGCTGGTAAGAGATGCTCGCCTCGCTTTCCAATCGAAAGGAATTAAACTTGATTCACCATCCGGAAATCTTATTTCTCCATAATACTCAAATTAGCACAACTCTTTTACGTAATTAAACAGTTATCTAAAATGATTTGTTTATCGATTCATGAATGTAGTCGTAGATGAAAGATCAAAAAGTCGAAAAAAGAACCGTTTTCCGTTGATTCCTAAACGTTCGAACAAACGATGACGCTGATTCCGTTTCAGGTCCGTTGATCCGCGCCATGACGGACAACATGATAGCCGCGCAAAACGACGCATCGCTCACGAAGGTTTATTTATATAGCGGTCACGAGAGCAACATCGCGGCTCTGTTGCACGCGCTCCGAGTGTACGAGCCGCACGTTCCTGAGTATTCCAGCGCAATTTTTATAGAATTGCAGAAGATCAATTCCGAATTTTACGTAAAGGTGAGTGTATTTTCAAAAAATAAATTATCGCAGTCTCATTAAAAACGGTGTGGATGAATGATCAGTTCGAAGAGAAAATTCACGTACAATTTTACGGCACTTGCGTCGATATTTACTTCCTATACAGTCAACGCAGATATTGACATAATTACGTAATTCTTAGCTCTTACATTTTACTACATTAACTCTACTTTCTCTTAATAAAAAAACAAAAGAAAAACATAATGCTGTTATGTCGATGGGAACATAGGATGCAGAATACGTTTCTCCTTGTCACATCATTTATTTTTTTTATTATTATGATTTTTTTCCACTCCAAATGCGCGCGAAAGCACGCTATTGATTTTTCTTCTCATCGGAAATCAATGTTATTTATTTCTAAACATGCACCGCATAACATGACATTTTGCCAATGTTCAAATGCACTCATCATGTTAACATCCAATAGTGTCCCTAGATCCAGGCTCTTCTGCATTCAGTCTCTGTGAGATCCAGCTGTCGTCACATATCTATCGCTTTTCACTCACTTGACTGCACTATATCAGCGTAACCATCCCAATGATAAAAAAACATTAGATTATTTTGAACACTAACATTTTGAAATATTAACTTTATGCGTATCTCTCTAACATATTTTTTCACTTAACATTCCTACAATTTTTCGAAAAAATTACGGCATAATATGACTTTCTAATATTATAAAAATCTTTTGGGAACACCGAGGTTTCAAAACTACTCGTGATAATATTAAAAACTACAATGTTGTCAACAACGTTAAAAATTACATATTAGAAAACATTACACTCCTTTGAATATCGTTGCAAGAATATTCTGTCAATGATTGTTTGCTCACTGGGAGGTGACCATTAAAATGATTGTAGTTATTTATATTGCTCTAAATCCCCAGATCATATATTACCTGGGCATCCCGCCGGACATCAAGGAGCTCACGCTACCGGGCTGCGAATTACTTTGTCCCTTCGACAAGTTCTTAGACCTGATGGAGCATATCATGCCGACCGACGAGGAGTTGGTTTGCGACAAGAGGAAGACTCCGAGTTATGCTAACGTGCCATATCCAGCTGCGGTGCAGCAGTTGGTCTATGAACTGTTGAAATCATCGACGTCAAAGAATAGAAATCGACTGTGAGGAAGTATGCAACGTACTGCAAGTGTCAGGCAAACAAAGCGACAAAGTTTTTAAGACATTGAACGTGAAATATTGAAATTCACATGCCTTTTGTACTATTGTGATTTGTGTGTTTTCTCAACAAATTAGTTATTAATTCTATATTCGTTCGTTCATCGTTACATCGAATATTCGTGCATCGTGTTCGAACAGTCGATGAAAGTTCGCTTCGTAGAGCTGCGAGTTCTTGATGATTTCGAGAAATCTGTTCTGAGACCATAGATTTTTCTTCCGTCCTTTTATATTTCTGATATTTATTATCATAGAAATCATTAAACAAGTGTGAAACGTTTTATCATTTGACAATTTTCCAATAACTTTTTCAAATTCCCTCATTGTTATTTCGAGGAAAGAGTCACTTATATAAGCAAAATATTATATATTTATTATAAAATAAAATGGAATGCAGTGTGTTTATATGTGCGTGAGTATGTGAAAATCCTCTCAGCGACAGTATGCGAATCAAATGTAATCAAAAATATTTAGTACTGATTAGAAAACTTTACACTTGAGATAAAAGAAATTTCTCGAAGCTGATACTATCTCTTCAAGTAGAAGATGATATAAAGCCCACGTTGTAGGAAGTAAGAAATAAAGTTAGATCAATGTTCATCGACGCGTTATTTTTTTGTTTTCCGCTGTGTTAAATATTCATAGCGTCACAAATATAACAGTATGATAAATATTTAATTCAATTCCAATTTGTCGGAATAAAGTTGCACCAATTCCTCCTTGGTAATATTGTTCCACAAGCAAGTCGCCTCCTCGTCCGACGGTATCACATCACGCATGAGCTCCAAATAAATGTCCATAGGACAAACGTCGTCGCAGTGCTTCAATTTCATGAGGAGGAGTTTTTGCGTGATGCCAGTCCAATAGAATATCTATCGACAGGGACCGAAAGATCATTGATATTAGTAATAATAATATATTTAGTTAATAATATTCATATCAGTAATATATCGTTTTAGAGAGTATGCGCGTTAGTGCGAATCAAGTTAAAGAGAATGCGCATCCGACGATTTTGGAACGTCTTGCGCAATGAAGTACCAGAAACGTCAGATATGTATGTGCCGTATAAATTATATATCGTATTATAGCAATAAGTTATGAGAGATATATTAGATACAAGATAATATCAGATACAATCGAAACAAATAAGATAACTGCGAATGTAAAGTCGACCGTGCATGATTTAACCTTGCGATTTAGTTCAATTAGACCAGTGATTGTGTATGCACGAATTGTATGTGCGATAATCACCCTGACGTAGAAATTGAAGTGTTCATCTCGTAGTTTCTCGACGACGAACGTTGATCCGAAGTCCGGTAATGTCTCATTATCAGTTATGTTATGAGCTTTAGCAAACGCAGCGATATTTACTTCATGGCCGCTGTAAATGTATATTTTGCGCTTAACATCATGCTTGATTTTCGGGTTCATGTTGTCGATAAACTTCTTCACGAGGAAGCCTCCGTTTAGTCGCTTCAGTTGGGTCGTATATGAACGAATGTCATATTCCAGGAGCACGAGCTCCTGCATCATCCGATATACCTCGTCGGTGCACCACTCCGGCAAAGTAAGATTCATGCTTTTCTGAAACGGATATATCATTCGACTATGGGAAGTCTGATAGAGTAGTTAACTTGAGGATGATTATCGAGATTATTTGTAATTTTCGAGAAAAAACAATATCTTTCGTCATGAATCAACATCAAATCACCTGCGCCGTTAATCCGTTATAGAGCTCATAAACTTGCATGGGCTCCGTGATAGTCAATCCAGTTTTTCTGCTTAAAAACTTGAAGAAATCGTGGTAAAATGCGACTTTGTCACGAATTTCATTCGTATTTTTCACCTCTTCTAAAGCTGCTGCATATCTGCGAAAAATAGAGAACTATATAAAGTATTGCAAATGTTCTTCGTTTTATGATAATGCATTTCGTCACAATTCTCAAGATAGAAAGAAATGTACAATAGCGAATAGAGTATTTGCGCCAAATCTAGTAAAGATAACCAATCCATGGTATTTGTGATATTAGGGGCTTGCAAAAGTTGATCAGATTGTCGAAGACCTCATTATTTAAAAAATTGAAACATTTTGCAAAAAACAGAATCAGACAATTATTTGAAAGATAGCTAAAAGGAATGGATAACGGTGACAACTATGCAAACATAAATATAAAAGCTATAAATTAAATATATCATTTTAAAGATTAAAATTTGTTGTTTATAACTAATAATATTGTAGATAATACAAATAGATAATAAAAAATAAAAAAAGATGCTTGTTCGAACATGACGTGTGTAAAATGATGCGTATGCTGTTTTGTTACTATTAATTAAAGAAATAACTGAGATCCGATGAACCTTCGCAAGCCCCTGATAAACAAATAAGGATACCGACGATGGACATGATGATCTCATCAAGTCCACTTTCCCCGGCATGTAGTTCGTAGGAATGCCGAACCAATTCAAGTCTGGATTCCATTGTTGATTTCCCTGCGGAGGGTACAGCCCTGCCAATGCTAATTGCAAAGACATCTTCGTGCGATCCAAGTCCGTGCTGATAGCGTAGACGTCTCGCGGATGATAGAGCGGTCCTAGAAAAGCGTCGTAGCGTCTCCGCAACATTGTCCCAATACGATACTCCGTCATCTTCCCATCCTGAAAGGTCACGTCTGCCATGTTATTCATGTACCATCAGCTAATCAATTTTATGTCAGCCCGTCGGCGATGCAACATGTCCGTCAAATAGTTTCTCGAACGGTATTTATATTAAAAGAAGAAAATCGCTTCCTCTGTTAAGCATATTTGCGGATCACTATCTCATGATATCATTATCTCATGATAATGTTGTAGTGATAAGATAAGCATGCTATAATCATATAAGCTGTATAAGTTGCTATACACATATGTGTAAGCTGCTATAAGCTGATATAATCATATATTTAATTTGCACTGTAATATCCGATATAATATGTAGTAGTATAATATGTACAAGTGGCGTTACATGTTGACACGTTCGGACTAATCCGAAACAGCCGGAACAGGCGAGCATTTACGCTGATAAAGATTTAGGATTTTCTTAATGCAGATTTTTATATCTGAATATTTCACGTGAAACTTATTTCAAGTCATGGCTATTGATAGAGATTGATATAAACTGAGATGTACTTACGTTAGTCAATTGACTGATACCCCACGGCTCATAACTCGACTCGTTGTATATGTCCTTAGGGTAGAATTCTTTCAACAGGGGCGTTCGTTGTCCATGTCTCATTAACTGTGGAACGCGCAAAATTGTATCACATTATGTGTCACACATGTGATTTCGTTTGAAAATGGGATAATGAGTGTCACAAAAGTCAACACAAGAATCATTCTTTTTCTCCGCTACTCAGTGAATGTGAAACAAAACCAGAATGATGCTTGTGTCTTTACATTATTAAATGGGAAGTTATTAAATTAAATGAAAAGCATCTAATGGATCATATATTGACAGTTTCATATTAAATGTTCGCTTGAATTATTTGTGTGTATATGTGTGCGTCGAAACTTCTTGTATTGTAACAGATGTTGTGCGCTATTATACATTTCAGTTATGTTAATTGTGAAGAATGTTGATTCTACAGTGGAAATCGAAATGTTCGTTACGTACCACTTGGACCAGCTCCAAATGCAACTCGGACTGTCCTAAGGACACAAAGAAGCTTAGTGAGAACAGGAACGTTCGCTGGAGCGCGCGTTGCATGTTCGGATGATAGAGACGCATGAGAGACTGATATATGAATTTAGGAGAACGAACGAGAGACCACTCTCTCAGCTCCGTCCAGCGCGTTTATCTCTCGATCAAAAGTGACAGACTTCGTTTAAATATTTGTCGTACGGGCCGACTGATCAACGTGCGCGATATCGAGAAATTTGCACGTGTTTGAAGCGATCTCTAACTTATGGCACTTAAGATTCAGACGTTGATTATTGATCGGTTTTACTTCAAGGATGGATCAAGCGCCGAAAAGCGATCACACGCGTGGCGATTTGACTTAACTTTGTCTGCAGACTCACACACATAAATTGCGCCTTCTAATGAAATGTTTGTAGACAAGGTATAGAGGACAACTATATTCTCCTTTCACTGTTCACAAGCATACTCTATATTCGTCTAGTAGACAGCGATCGAATGTCTGTGACTATCCTATGCTCAGATGCGGTCTTAAATGCGACATTTTCGAGATTAATTTTCGTCTTATTATTGTTTTTCCATACGGAGATGCGGACGATTTAACCGACGCCTCTTTGATGCTCCATCTTGTATTGTCGCGTGAATTAAATCGAGACAAGAAGCGGTTTGATCATTTCAACGACTTGTAAGAAGGTGTTTTTGCATAATTTAATATTTTATCATTTGAATTTCCAAAGGCGCTGCGAATTCTGAAGCTGAAAGTTAATCAAAGACCGGATGTTGAGAATCGCTTCATAAGTGCGATATTTTTGATTATTCACAAGGTCAATGCTTGCACAGGTCAATTCCGATTTTATGTAACAGCACGCTAGATTATTTCTCCGTCGCGTCAATCATTAGGTTTTATTCCAGCGTCAGCTTTTATCATAAAATAATTGATAAATATTAAATAATAATATTATTACGTCCTCTATAATGCAATAATGATATTATTATATTATTTTACCATATATCAAAATATATTAATAATAATAATTAGTAATAGTAACAATAAATCAAAATTAATATAACGTAACGTAAATATGACGCCAAATATGATGTGCAGTTTAAGTAAGTTTAATGTCCAAAAGATAATACACTCAATAACGAAAATTATGACGTAATGTACTTGATATTCCTTTCTTCATAGAAGTCCTACGTCAGAGATATATTTTTATTTATTTGTTTCTTCTATTACTCAAGAAAGCTATCATGTATTTTGACCTTTATGTTATTCACTTCGCAACTTCATGCAATATACAGGATTAGGCATCTAAAACAGCTGGTCACCTGAATAATTTTGAAGATATGCAAGATAAAAAGAAATGTTAAATATAGAAGTTGCAGCGTTTTAAGTGACACAGAGTAATGACCTTGACTAATATGACCTTGAACAGCACCATCCAGGTTATGGGAAGGTCACTTTGAATTTTGTAAATGAAAATCCTCATTTTTTACTATATCATCTTCTGCGAATTAATTTGAACATTTGTCCGAAATATTGTTTTATTTGCTTAATATTTTTCGAGTCGGCGAGCGTAAGTGCGTGCGCGTTAAATGGAGCGATCGTTGCAAATTTGTAGCCAAGCGGCAACCAATCACATGAATTCGAAATTCACAAACGGACGAGTGCATTAAAGTAATGTGTAAAAAAACGAAAAAAAAGAAAATGAAAGAAACAGTTAACCATCAGGTGACTTTCGTCGTGGACTTGACGAAAAATCGGCAGATTGTTTTCTCATATGATGATGCACGATCTGAGAAGAAAAAAAGCAGGAAAAATGACGTGTAAGGAAAACGTGCAGTGCATCCACGGTAACATTTACATACTCTCGTCGCAAACTACATCGAGCCTTTCCTCCGTGCAATATTGCGCAATCGTGACGCACAGTATGGCGCAGAAAAGGAGGAAACCGGCGGTGATGCGTCGGAGCACAATGAGAAGATAAGCACGTAATAAATCCTGCGCAATCAGGGAGCGAACCATCGCTTAGAACTCGTGATGTGTTTATCGAGCAAGTCAGATGGAAGAGATAAACTTCTTCTTTTCGCAAGTACACTGTTCGAAATTCTCTTCTAATCGCCACGGTTACTTTCGCGGCCGAGGAGCGCAACTCGCACTTGAAGGTTTCAGACCTAACTTACGTAACTCACGCGAAGATCTCGAAGTTGTGTCACTCGAGCGAGGAGGAAGCAAGGATATTGATTATACAAGTATCTCTGTTGTTTACTCGAACGAATTTATACATAATAATTAATCCGGTTTTCACGACGCACGAAGAAGGAAATTCACGCGCGCGATATAAATTTTTCTGAATGAGAAAAAGTGCTATGCAATATATATTATTTCTCCAAATTTGCATCAGCAACATTACGTGGTGTTCCCAAATGGTCGTACACCCACGTACGCTTAACGCCGCTTAACTTCAATGATCTAACGGAAGCTGATACTTTCAACGTATAATACGAACGTGGGCAGAAGAAATTGGTCGATCCAAATGTTCTCTACAGGACCTGTGTCCATACAGTTTATTTAATATTCTGAAACAAATTTACATTAACAATATTTAACCGAATTTTAGATATGGATATGATACTATTGAAAACCTACTATTAAAATGTTTTTCTGATTAATAACCTACTGCTGGTAAAGTCCAAAGTTTACTTTACCCACTGTCGATAAAATGATAAATTACAAAATTAGAATACCTGAGAAAACTAATTGATAAAATGAATTTTTCCGGAAAATTTTTAAATATACCGACCAAAGGTTATACAGTTAATATCTGTTTATATCAGACGCGATTCTTCAAATTATTGATATAATTTATTTAATTATCTTCGCATCCCTCCAGGCTCTTTTTGCTGGTGGTCGCAAAAATCTGCCCAGGGGACTGACGATCTCTGATTCTTTGGAAAACATTAAAAGAATCGAGAAAGAAGAAAAAAAGAGACACTGGTGTGCCAACATCACACGGTGTTCCCAAGTGGTCACCCATCCAAGTACTAACCGTGCCCAACGTTGCTTGACTTCAGTGATCGGACGAGAACTGGTATTTTCAACGTGGTATGAACGTTGACCATACCTTCTGCTCAATCGTGAAGGTATTTCCGCGTCATACTCGTCATATAACTTTAAATATTTCTCTGTAACTTCATACATCCACATATCTTCACTTGACACGACACGTATCGAGTATCTCGTCCGCCCAGTGCACAAGATTCCAAGACTGGACAAACACGGTCGACTCCGATCGATACGCCGTTACCCTTGCGCAAGACTCCTTTCCACATCGCATCGCCTAGCGTGGCGCCCTCTTTATTCGATGTAAACAGCCAAGTAGCGGGCGCAGCGTCTGGATTGGAGGCGCCACCGCGACTTACATGCTTTCTCTGCGCTGTGGAGCCCGGTTGATGCGCTCTTCTATCGATTGCACGAGCGTGTGCATGGCCTTCTGATACATTGCAGCGCGCTGCGTTTTTTCCCGTTGCCCCGCTGGCCGCGCTCGTTGGGCGAGCAACCGGCGACGAGGATTGCCGGTGAACCGTGAGAGACAACAAAGACAGAACGGAGGAAGAGAAAGACGGGCGGAGAGAGTAAGCGATCGGCTGCGCGCCAGTTTTCCGTGATAAGCAGAGACACAAGGGTGAGTGCACGAACACGGCGTTAGTTGCCGGCCGTTGAAATCGCTCCGGAGCCGTTGGCGCGTAAAACTCGAGATCGCGTTCCTCCGATCGTCGTCGCGTATACATCGCGCATCCGGCGAGGATCCTCCCCGTGGCGACGCGAGCGCGTTCCTCGCCCTCGCAGGAGCACGTCGCACGCTCGTGAAATCGCGAGCCGATTTGAACGCGACGCACGCCAAAATGGTGGCGTCCTGTGTCGTCGCGCGAAAGCAACGCGTACTTTTGCGTCGCGCCCCGGCATGAGGGAGGACGCGAGGTACTCCGCCATAGCGTGGCTGCGCGCACGCATGCACGATTTGCCGCGAGATCGTGCGTACGTGCTCGCGGAGCGTGCTCAGGATCCGCTCTCGCTTTCACTTAGCCGCTGTCCGAGGTGTTTTGCCGCGGCGAGTAGAAAAACCTGCTGGAGCACGGCGAGTACGCACGCACGCACTTTGTCGTCGAGACAAAGAAAAGGCTCTCGCGGCTTGCGCTTTTTATAGAGAGCATACGTTGCAAGGATGCGGGATAAAATGGACGTAAAAATGCGCGATAGTGTATGAAAAATACTTTTACCTTAGCTATTGGAATGCGAGAAGCGAAACGGTCGCCATGTGCAACACGAGACTGATGCAGTTGTCACGACGTAGCGTTCCCGCGCGTTGGCATGTTCTATTAAAGCAGAACTTCCAAGGACACTGTGTGCTCGCACATGGCGAAACGTCGGAGCATCCACATGCTCCAAGGGCTAAATATGTATTCGACTTAGCTAGTGTAAATGGAAGGTTCCAAGGATGATGAAATAGAGAAAGATGAGGAGATCAGTTCAGTTATGCTCTGAAGATGCACATATTACTGAACAATTTTAATCTTTTTCAGGAACAAGATGACGCCGGAAGGATATACACGCGTGTACGTGGGTGGTTTGAACGAGAGCATCAAGAAGGAGGACTTGCAAATGGAGTTTGAGAAGTACGGCAAGCTGAACAAGGTTTGGGTGGCCTTCAATCCTCCGGGCTTCGCCTTCATCGAATTCTTCAACATGAACGAGGCCGAGTTAGCATGCTGCAACATGAACGGCATGGAGATTATGGGTGCAAAATTAAGAGTGGAGATTTCACGAGGTAGAGGTCGTGGTGGCGGCAGCAGAGGCAGTACGGGTAGTTTCCGCGGTGGTCGTGGGGTCGGTGGTAGGGATTTTGGATCTCGAGGCGCTAGTAGCGTGGGTTACAGAGGAGGCAATACTTACGGCGATTACGGAGGCAGCTATTATGCAGGCAGGGGTGGCGCAAGTAGGGGCAGAGGTCGTTACGGAGAAGACTATATGTACAATCGCAGCGGCGGGTATGTTACACGAGATGGATATACTCAGGATGTCTACGGTGGTAGCGGCGGAGACACCAGCGCCGATTACTATACCGGGAAGGATACGAGCACAGCGAGGTATCGAAGCCGCTCACCGGCTGGCCGTGGCAGGTATTAACGACATCCATACCATGTAAAAGCTGATCTTTTCAACTCGCGTCAAACGATTATTTCAGCACGAGCTCGATGATTTTTAAGTTTGAGCAGTATATCGAGGCTGTACGACTATACATATGTAGATATACGTCTGTGATATATATATATATATATACATTGGGGAGACTATAGTTCTGTTGAAAGGCCATGTGTACAACGTGATAGTTTTCTGCATTGCGTTTGCTTCCACACAATAGGCACCGAGCCGAGGGAATAATTGGAAATTCGTATCTTTTGTCTTCGAGGAAAAAAAGCGTGTCTTCGACGAATTAGGAAATTTTTTACGGCGAAACAAAGAGGGAATTTTTCACGACGACTGAGAAACGGAAGTTTTTCACGGCGATGTACGACGAAAGATTTGAGAGTATTCACGACTACGGTAAAAAAAAAGGCAGGACGAAATCGACAATTCGGTGGTCGCGTGTGGAAATGTGTCGGAGGCGAACAGGGAAATGCAAAGGGGCGAACGTGTAGTATCTCACCGCGGGGATATAATGTCGAGAATATACATTCAGGCCTATTATGAACTATATAGCTGATCTGCCAGTTAACCAATGTTTGCTGCAATGCCCGATACTTGGGCACTTGTACATAGATAACGAAAAAAAAAAAAGAAAAAGAAAGCGTAAAGAAAAACCACTTTTAAGTGCATGAGTGTCCAGTGCTGGGTTATCAAAGTACAGCGAGTTAACTTCTTCTCTCTTGCATGCACATAAATATAAAGTTAATAACGCCGGTTCCCAGTCGATGGGAGCCGAGAAAGAAGGGGGCAATAAAGTAATGTGACATCCTGTTTTGCACTTCCATGTTCACAGTCATCGTCATCTACGTGAATGCACATAAAAGAACTACGCTGCGTTGCCAATCTGAACTGCGGGCCGATCAGCCACCCGCCTCGACGACTTCATTTCTGTCCAATCTACACAGCGACCTGTATATAGACAAGAACTATCATTGCGGTTTATGCTGTGCATTACTTTTCCTTGCATTGTTGACCACTTACACACAAGTACACACAATCTGTGGTCGCAGCTGTGGGGAAGACTATGATTCTGTACGATATAACTCAGACTCAGAAGAAAACGACAGACTCGGAAAAAGAAAAACGAAAGTTCCCTTTAAAAAAAAAATGCTCTTCCGTTTACAAAACGAGAGAGACAGATATATATATATATATATAGAAAGAGAGAAAGAGAGAGAGAGAAACAGAGGAAAAGAGTGAAAACGAGAAGAGAGAGAAAAAGAGAAAAAAAAGTGAGAGAAAGAGAACGAAAACGAGGCGCAGTGAAATATCGAATCGCGGACTCGCGAACGGTTGAAAAATGTCCGACAAAGTAAAGATTAAATATAGGGTTATAGTATGTAGGGGTTGTATATCTTCATTTCCCAATCTATTTTTAACTAAAAGCGCACTGACTTAGATCATTGTTTTTACTCCGAGACTCTTATTTCTCCGGTGTTCTTCTTTCTTTTCCACGGTTTTATACCATGGCTGGAATTCTTTTTGTGCTTTACGGTTATATAACGCCTGTGATTATTTTAATAACGTGCACCAGGTGTCACGTATGCCTTAACGTCGCACATCCAAGGATCCCAGACAGCGCCAACTGCCGAGAGACTTGAAGACGTTCGAAAGGTGTTTGGAAAAAAAAAAAGAAAAAGTACAAGACCCTTTTGGACGTCTTCGAGATATTGTGTGTGGAAGTTTGTGCTGACTCTGAGACACGTGTTCCGGGTTCATGCTCAATCCGGCGATGCTCAATCTGGCGCTCAATGCATTCGCGCTTACGCGCCAGATCGAGCGTCGACGAAAACTTCCATAGACTTGTGTACATATAGACTGCGCTTTCTCACGAGAGAGATATATTTGAAGACACGATATAGAGGATAGCTGTATTCCCCTTCCACTGTCCACAGGTATACCACCTTCGTCTAGCTTTCTCTTTGGGGTGAAGATAGACAAGGATGGAGTACCTGTGGCACAGGTCATCCTTTCCAAAAGCGAGATGTGTGTTTCTGCCGCTGTACTAATGTACGCTTTTTCGCAACTTAAAAAGAGACAGATAAACAGATGAGATGATTGTGTTTGAGGGAAAAAAAAAACGATAAAGGAGAAGGGGACTAGCGCAGGGTAGTGCAGCCAGTTCGGCTGAATAGAAAACAAAGCCGCAGTCCTCGCAGCCTCTTGTAGAGCGCACTCAGTCTGTGTATATGCGAGTCGATGGGAAAAGCGTGACTGAATTTTAAGGCGTACATGACGCACACTGTATGACTATCATATGATACTCTGCTCCATAATTGTACGATTATCTCGACGTTCGTTGTGAACGTGTGGCGAACGAAAGGCGCAGCTCAGCTGAGAATGATGCAACAAAAGCTTCTTACTGCGATACTTACTGCGATAAGTTTCGAGACACCAGTTAGATACGTACGGCGGTCCCGCGGCATAAATAATCTTTTATCGCGTATCTAGGTAGAGTTAAACGAAAAAAAAAAAAAAAAAGAAAAAAACGTGTGTGCTCGCTTATTATTCTATGAATAGTAACGATTTTATATGGAATTTCGGTGGGAAGATTATACAGGAGATCGCGCGCGCGTGTGACTTTAGCCAAATGCAAACTGCTGCTCGTATATGGAAGAATCGAATCCTTTTTTTCCTGTCGGACAATACGCGTGAGCGAGTGATGAAAAAAACAGACCGCAAGGCGGTTTCCGCCCCGGCGCAAAATCTGTCGTCGTTCGGCGAGGTCGAAGTTCTCAGGAAACCCCTCCCCCGTTGAAGAAAACGAGAGATAAAAAAGCCAAAAGCCCGAAACCGACGCATCTGTAATGCGACGTATTTCTTCCGTACATTTTCTCCCTCATCGGATCGTTTTTCTCGAGTGAAGTATATGTGCAGAAACACAGTGCTGCATTTGGACGAAAGAGAGGACACGCTTCCGAGAGCGTCCGCACTCTTGTTATACTGCGGCCGCTCGTAAATAAGAAAGTGATCAAATAAAACGGTAATGATGTGTATTACCTCCACTGTAAAAGATATGGAATTGGAAATTGAGATATTAAATGATTTGCGCTCACTACTGCCCGCCACCCTGCCTGTCTGCCCGCCCGCCCGCCTGTCTGCCTGCCTGCCTGTCTATCTAATTATCTGTCTGTCTACTTGACCATTTCTTCAAATCTGTGACCGATAACGTAACGTCGTTTTTTGTTCCATCACTTCACGAGCGAGTCATTTTTACCGAGGCGATTGACGACCTGCGAATCAGGTGTTTCGAGAATCTTACGATACGAAAGCCGGTGTCCGGTTAAATTATTTGATACGTTTTTTCATGAATATTGTTTTGTGTCGATCGGTCTCTTCTTGTGATACTTTCATAATGCGAAAATCCCCGTTGTGAAGAGGAAGTCCTTTGCAATCGAGAGCATTTGTTTCGCGAATGCCGAGGCGCGCTCGATCGAATGATGTGCGGAAGTTCGTTGCAAGTTGCAAAAACAAAAAAAAAGAAACAAGCATTTACGTAAGTATCTTAACGAAGTTCTTTCGTCGTAATGATCAACAGTCGGCATCGTGATTACAAAGTCGAAAATTTCCCGTATTTTGCGCTGTTACTCAAAACGAGAAGTCAGAGTCGGATGAAGCGCCGAGGACTTTGTTTCCACTTCGGTGAGTGTATAATTAACACATTGACTTTAGAATCCGTACAACTAATTACATTTTTCTTTCCCTCTCCGAGTAACCGAGTGACTTGAACCATCATGTCGGAACTTACTGCAATTTATATCTCTGCGAACAATCGGATGTATACAATCGGAGTGCTTTATTCTTTAGATACATCTCTATTCGTACAAAAATATATAAAAAATTAAACGTTAAAGGTCAATTCAAAAAGTCGAATACGGCGAAGATCCGCGAAGGAAACGCGTTTCTCGGACAGTTGCTGTGGTATATCTTATTCCAACGAGTACCAACCAACATCACATCAATAATTTTTCTCATCAATATAATTGTGATAAGATAAAACCGCTACATTGTTGAACGAGAAGTTATAACGTTGATGTAATGTTACTACCGGTTGATGCTTACCGAGTATACACACCCATCAAATCTCCATGCGGAATGTATGATACACGAATGTGCAGGCTGTTTTATTCCTTGTTTCATAAACTCCCAAGTGAAGCGTGTCTTACACCTTTATCTTATGGAAACTAAGAGATTAGATCGTCGATCGGTGTTCTGGAACAGCGCTCGAATCAATTGCTTCACTTGCGCAGCAGTGAATTCTTGCGCAAGAGGTCCTTTCCCGTTTCCCCACCTGACTTCGATCTCCTTCAGCGACGCGCCCAGTAGCTTGATCAGTTCCAAAAACTTGCTCCATTTGCGCACGTGCTGCTGAATCTTACTTGGATCCTGTAACCGTGGGAATGTGAATTAAAATATTCGTGGCGACGCGATGAGCGAAATAAAGTTCTCATGATTGAATTTTTACAGGGACCAGCCGGAGTACTGCTACAACTCTCACACACCTCTGTCGTGTCGTATCTCGTGTAATACTTGTGTACTCTCGCAAAAGATCAAAACAATCAATAAAAAGATAGACATATCGAGTTGAATTGTTCTTTCAGAAATTACCCCTCTGTGTGTGTGTGTGTGTGTGTGTGTTCTAAACTCGTATCAGATTGAACATCAGAGTTGAGGATTGCCGACTGCAGACTGAGACTCGATCAAGCGAGTCATACTCGAATTTTAGTCTTTGATCCGCCATGTGTTGTCAATGTTGAGTCTGATACGAATCTATCGTGTTACGATATATCACCTACCGGAAATATCTGTGGCGTCCGTTTCACCACCACATTAAACAGCACCACTAGTTCCCTCGCTACGTCAACCGGAATATCTTCCACGGATATCACCTTCGTCACTAGGTCGTCGATCATGGAATTCGTTATGCAGCCTGTTAATGGAAGAAGAAAGAAGCTAGAAACGCGATGTGTTTAGATTGCATCATACGAGAAGAAACGAAGAATGCCCACCGACAGCTTTGCAGTAGACGTTGACGGGCAACACGTCCAGCCAGACTGTCTTCAGCAGCTCCAGTTGTCTGATGCATTGTCTCAGTGCACGCTCGGTGCTGGGATGTAACTCAGGCGTTTGACCTAACGTCGTGAAGCCTGAAGTCAATCCGCGAGACGACTGTCAGTTATGAATTCGTCTGAGATTCTACTCGACGCAACTAAAGTACACGAACCCGAATCCTTGATGATGTCGAATATGATGTTCCTCTGGTATCTCATGTGCTCCATGAAGCACCGCGAACCGACGTCTCGCAGCACCGTCACCTGATCCGCGAACGTCAGGTTCAACTTCTGCAGATTCGACGAGAACTTGTCTCTGTAGTCGTGCGCCAACGTGAGCAGGTGGTGGGCGAGGTACATGCAGTTGTTGTGAAACAGAGCTGCGAACAATTGTAACAATCGAAGACTTCACATCTACATTGAAGTCGGGTCATGTCGCGCGGCTTGCGCATCGGACTCACCGACTTGCTGCGGTATCGTGTCCAGAAACTTTCTATGATGCTCTGGCACCAGACCGGCGTACATCCCGAACACGTTTCTACAGGTATAAAATAGTCTAATGGCGCAAGCGTCCGAGCTGTCGCGGGCTTCGTCCAATATCGTTCTCGCTAACTCCAATGTTTCCACTGCGCTGTTGCTGAAATAAGATTGACAGACGTACATTCAGTTATCATACACCTGACGCTGAAAGAAATTTATCGGAATCAGAGGTTTTTGGAGGGTTCTACATAACGTGTCGATTACTGTTAATCTGAATTGAATTAACTAAATTAACTAGCATACGTTAAATAACGTACCTTATCTGACATCTAGGTAATTGGAATGACATATCGCTCAGTTTCTTTTCGATGGTCAACTCGTAATCGTCCTCGAATGGTTTATTCGTAAATTTTGGCGGTTCCTGCGATGTAAAAGAATAATTTTGTCTATCTTTCTTGTTTCTTATTTTGCTTTTTCCTTCATATTGAAAAAGGGTTACTCATTCAGAAAGAAATAGATGATAAATTAGTGAGAATCTCTTAATTAATTGTTTCTGCGACATTAATACCGATGATCAAATACCTGCGGCTCATATCGAACAGAGTCGTGTAGGTCCTTCTTGATGATATTTCGAGCTTTCACCAATAAGTCCTGGCATATCCGGTCGATGAACAGTTTGTCGATATTGTTTGTATATTCCGACAGGAACAACTGATCCTTGGAGAGAAACTCTGAAATTCCATTTATCGTTTAATAATCACTTTGCGTTTGTCTTTACTTTTGTTTTAATTACAGTTAGTACCGATTTCTACTAAGTAGTCTTGAAATTCGTTAATCGCTTCGACAACAGGCTCGAAGTTTTTCAAGTTGGCGTTGGAGGTCGGGATAGTATGTGAAATACAATCTGTCGTTAACGAGTGTGACAGTTGCTCCAATAGATACGGCTGCGTTCTCTTCAGAAAAGTTTCGTCGTCCGTGACTTTCAGATTCAAGTGTTGATGAAGGAACTTAAAAAGCAGCTGCAAGTTATATAGCACTCCTTTGTAACATGGCATCTTCTTTCTTTCCAATATCTCGACTGTGAACGCTTTTTCCTTGACGACATAGACCAAGGTGTGGTCGTGGATAATAGGGTTGATTATGTGCTCCATCAGTTTCGTGGAGAATGTCTGCAGTTCGTTCTCGAGATGATCGACAATGTGTAAGCTTTGTATCAATTCTTGTATGTCGTCGCATTCACTTTTGATAATGACAGAGGTGATTGTTTTATTGTCCTTCACGTCACTGTTCCAGCAAATTCGATCGCGTAATAACCTGGATACTTCTGTCAAGCACAAGCGGAAGAGCTCACAATACTCGTTCTTGATTGCGGTATAGATCTCGAGATCGTACAGGATGCTGTTGGGATTATTCAACAAGGAATGCATCTGCAGCAGGGTCTTAGTAGTCTCGACAAACTGCTTTTCCTCCTGCAATTTCTTTATGGACTTTATACATTTGTGTACCTCTATCAGTTGATGAGACAACTGCAGGCTGATATTTGACTCTTTCAATGTCTGAGATAAGCTCTTTAGTTCTTTCGTTGAGCCTGACAACTCTATCTTGACCTATGCAATCAGATTAAAATTCAATTCTGTTATATTGAACTTATATCTTATTAACATTGGAAATTCTAGTAATATACCTGATCATTAATTCTGCTCTGCAAGATGCTCATCTCCTCCAATAGCTGTTCAGTTTTCTTAACCAAATGCACATCCCTTGTCAGCTTTGCGCTAAATTCATTGTAATTCTCATCCATGAAATCTTTAACTTCATATTCTAGCTTTGTTATCTCCTTCTGTATATCCACAATACTTTTCTGCAGATTTAGTTTCTCCAATTTGCCTGTGTGGTGAAACATTGTTTCATAGTTATATCAAAATTAATTCATATTAATCTGTATTCTAGTACTTAGTATATATAAAAACATATTTTACAAATATATAAATTATTTTTCTTGAAAATTGACTTTAGAAATTACTAAAGGTAATATAACCAACATATTTAATGCATGTTGAGAATTAATTTGTCTTTGATCTCAACTTGTATTTTTTAATATACAATTAATACAAAGTTATGTATATTACCTGCTGTAGCCAGTACATCTGCTACAAATGAAGCCATATTTCAAGTGCACGATAAGTTCACTGCAAGATATAAGATTTTGAAACTTATGTTTCTTTCCGTCAACTTTTCTTCCTGCCAGCACAATCTGGTCGCTTTTTGTCTACATATCAGGATCCATGTTTCAAAATCACTTCAGTATTCAGCCATAACCTTAGCGCTGTGCCGGCGGGAGATTCTTTCCTAAACATTACCAGTTGTCAGTTTTAATCTTCTATCTCGAAATATGGTTTTTTATATTTATAAATACTTATACTAAGCTGAGATATACCAACAGTTGTATGAAAATGTGACACACATGAATATTTAAATCTAAGAATGAACTCGAATAGACGAATCAACGTTTGATTTGTCCTTTTATCAAAAGACCATTTATCTCAATGTTTCTATATTTAATTAATTCCTATATAATCCTCAACTTCACATAAGTATTTTATTATTATTTAATACCACCATTGAAAAATTCAAATCTAGATCTACGTTATATACGTACTGAGTAAAATGTTCTCTCTAACCTGTCATTCAATTATACCACTTGAAAATATAAAAGAAACTAATCGAATCCATTTCGAGTTGAATATAAGTTTATAATAAACGGGTTGAATCGTTTCCGGAACGATTCAAACTCAGTCAGTCAAAAACGCTATAATTTAGAAGAAACAACGGATTTAATAGTCCCATGAATTCTTTATTGACCCGTTAAAAATAAACCTCATATCCTAAAACCAAACCCCTTATTGGCCTGCCAAAATAACGGGTTAATTTATTTTTACCCTTTATTTATTCAAATCTACTGTGGTTCGAGTCTCGGTTAAATATAATGCAAATAAAACGTGAGTCAAGTTTTGGCTAAATTTGTCGGCCTCCAAAAAAATTAATTGAGATTAATTGATTATTATCTATGATTTAAAAATGTTATCGATTATGAAACCTAACTTAACCACTTCCATATTTCTCATTATCCCGCTAGATGGCGCTAGATAATCCGTTAGCTTCTTTCGAACGATGTCCATGGATTAAACAACTAAACACTGAGACAAATGAGAAGAGGATTTATATTTTCCAGTACTGAGATCGAACGACTAATTGCGTAGAGTTTTAATGATCCTTATGAGCGTTCGTACGAGCAGCCTCCATGTCCACATCCGACTTGTGGTATGACTTGACGGGTAGGATGAACCTTCATTTTCTGTTAGCACGACTCAACGACATAACCGTTGCTTTCGTCGAAAAGCGCATCACTTGCAGTATTCAAACAAGAGAACAAGTTCAAGGAAGCATGTCCGCCATATCTCGATAGCAAACATCCGATAATCTTAATCTTCTCGATCAAGATCAATCACACACACGTCCTCGGACGTTTTTATTCGAGTCGACTGATTCAGGTTAGCAGAAAATCGAGTTGTACGGTTCCTCATGTTTGTTGCAAACGTTACCGGAGTCGATTCCGTAACGTCGGAATTCGTGAATTCTCTACGATTTTCAGACGGCTTTCAAACGTCTCCTAGACGTTTCTTTTCTTTTATTCATAAGTTTGAGTAATTTATTCATAACTCATATAGCACAGAAGTTGCAGCAATATTGCTGCAACAATGCAACATTATTCCAACATTGCAGCAAGGTTTTTCAACTTTGTGTGCTATATGGGAATACACTCTATACCCCCCATAAGGAATTCTCTCAGGTTGCATTAGCTAAAAATAACTCGGGAATGCTCCAACTTTGTATTCTATCCACTGTCGTTATTGTTCCATTTCAGGATTCTGGAACGCGATAATAACATCGGGGATCGTCAGCGTCGATTACGATGACAAATGATGTTTCACGCTCGCTTCCGAGAAAAATTCCTTATTCATCGATAGCTCTTGAGTGCATGTGAGCGTCGCGGCGAACGGCGACGTTAAAAGTCTACGTATACAAGTTGTCCAGGTATTATCGAATATCCTTCCAACCGCAACTTCCTCCGTTAATTCGAGAACACTCTCCCCACATATCGAAGATGGCGGGAGAGATAGTCGTTTGTCGCGCTTCCTCAAGCTCTAACATCGTTTCCTCAAGATTCTACGTCTTACAAATTAAGCTCCGTTCAAAACGCTGTCAGCAGAATTCACTTCGGACAAAGCCAAGAGAGAGACCTAGATTCTTTACAACTTATCTTCCGCTCTCCGGTATTTCACCTTGCTCGACAACCCTTTATCTCCAATTGTAAATTACAGATAAGGCACAGGTGTACGCCTCGATGTTGCCATAGAGGGAACATTGATTCTTCAAGTCCACCGTGGCACCCACTCGCCAGATAATGCTTCTTCGACACCGTGTATAGGTGCATTGGGAGGGACTCACCTGTTTCACAACCTGCGTGACGTATGCTGGCTCAGGCGTGTCACGTGACACGTTACGTCCACCGTGCGGCTGTAGTAGGTGTAGCGTAGCGTCTACGCGCTACCAGCGTGCACCATGGCGACCGCGCGTTTAGTGGCCCCAGTGCCTCTGTAAAGGACGGCGATATCGCGCAGAGAGCAAAGGCCGTGTCCTCGCGCTCCTACGCAGACACGCACGCGAGTACTCACGGACGGATACGCGAAACCGCGCCCAGATTCGACGGCGATCCAGATGGAGGTGAGCCCGGCGATCGACGGTGCCGTCGGGTCGGGGGGCCCTCCGTCGGTCGAGGGGATCTAACGAGGCACGATCGACGCTTTCTTGATCGTTCAGCGTCTCGATCAGGAGGATGCTCCGCGGGATACGGCGCAGTGAAGTGTACTGCGAATGATCGAGCTACGACGGCGACGTCAACAACTGCGAGGACGACGGAAAATCCGGAGGAGACGAGTGGCAAGAAAAGAACTGCAGCGGCGAGAAACGCTCGGCAGCTCGGAGCGTTATTCCCTGAGGAATTCGAGCGAGCGCGGGTAACGGGCGAGTCGCAGTCCCTCGCGCGTGAAAGAGCGCGTCGACCACGGCACGGAGGAAAAGGTTAACGCTCGAATTCGAAACTGAGACGCGCGTCTCAGGTAGCGTCGAGTAAGTGTGTGACGGTTGATGACAAAGATGGTAGTGCGATGGTGGTAATGTGATGGTGCTTGGTGGTGGTGGTAGTGGTGGTGGTGGTGGTGGTGGTGGTGGTAGTGGTGGATTCCATTTTCCTCGTCCTTTGAATGTGACGTCGTGGACATTCTGTTTCCTCCTCCCTCCCCCCCTCCGCACACACGCGAGCGAAGGGCGCGATGTTGAAGAGCGGAGCTATTTGAACGAGGTGAGCGGTGGTGAATGTCGCAGGACACGATGGGAGGATCCAAAGAGCGTTGCTTGGAGTTACGTCGGGCGGATCTTTATGGAAGAGTGCGGTGGTTCATGTTTCTTTGATTTGAAATTTTATCAAAGACATTGTTACGTCCCGCGATTTTCATGTGATTAATTGTCTATCGGCTTAAGTGGTTCGTATTCTTTGTTTTCTCTAATTCGAAATTTGATAGGTTAGAGATTTTTGGATCCTGGGACATTCGCTCGACCACTTGGACGTTGGTTTTTATTCAGTTATTTTATTCAAATTATTCTATTATAAATTCAAGTATCTTTCTCTGATCTGATGACGTAATGGCTGTAGATAAACTTGAGTAATTGAATGTTATATCCTGTTCAAATCACGACTTTACGAGACTTATTTTATCCATGCTATTGTATTTAACGTTACAAATAATGACAGAAAGCATCACGTCACAGGGAAAAATGTTGAGACCCACAACAGCTCATTAATTGTCTTAATTGACTCTTAATCCTCACGAGTCCTTTCATTTCCCAAGATGAGAAAATCACGATTTGTATATCGGCCGAGGAAGGTGTATCATTCCCCATAAATCCCCATAACACTTTCCAAAACTAAAAGGGAACATTGTCTTCCAGAGTTTGCTATATCACGAAAATACGAGCGAGTGGCTGACCATCGCATGGATAATCGTCGCCCGAAGCTCTCGCCTAGGCTTGCTCAGTGAAAGTATCGCATTTAGCGCGACCCGGCTGACGCACGCGGATCGGATCGACGGGTGACGCGTCAGGGTATCGACGGTCGCTGATAAACGGATGATTCTCGAAAGCGAAGGCCTCTTCTTCCTGCACAACGTCGCGTAGTGCGCGACGAACCGCTCTGTTTGCGCGAGTGTACGCTCAGTGCGACGTGCTCACCTCGGAGACAGTGCTCGAGGCGACACGCGGAGCCTCATCCGCGAGTGCCGCACTTCTCTGTTCCCGGAAAGTTCGCGGAAGATCAAATTTCAAGGTGACGAAGTATCGCTGAACGATCATCGCGAGTTTTTCTGGTGGGAATAGTGAGTCAAGAACCGCTGCTGCCACCACTACCACCAGCAGCACAGCAGCTAGTGCAGTGAGTTTTGCTTCATCTCCGATGAGTGAAATAGTTCCGTGCGCACACCGATGACTCGAGTAGCCTGACGCCAACATGCGCCGAAAGATGCACTGGGTATACATTTGGTTGACGACGTCGGCCGCGCTCCTGGTCGGAGCCGAGCCAAGCAACAGGTACAGGCAACAGGCTGAGCAGCAGTCGTCGATCTATTACACGGAGCCGACGACGTTGGCGAACAACAGCAGCGGTACGACGGACGTCTACGGGAACGGCGTGGCTTTGACCGAGCTGCACGCTGGCCGCATTGTCCGAGGTCAGAAGTTGCTGCAGAGATCGAAGAGCCCGTACTTGCTGCGCGAGGACCTGTACATCGACAGCGACGGCGAGCTCGTGATCGAGCCCGGAGTGGAGATCCGCGTCGGCTCGATGGTCGGCATCACCGTCCGCGGTGTCATCACCGCCGAGGTAATGATCTGTAAAATTGGCGATAACAAAGCAGAGAGCTCGACAGAGCGGAGAGTGCATGCTCCCCCTGGAGAAAGCGTTGCCGAGCGTCGCGAAACGGCTCTTCGCTCGGGGAGCGAGAACAAAGGCGATCGTCCGGTCGGGTCTCTTCACCCTTAACCGCATCGCCGACGTTGAGAGCGCAGTGTCTGTCTTTCTCTTCCGATCTCTCGTGTTGTACTTTGTAGCGAGTGCTACTTTGCGTTATTTAACCCACGATTATTGCCATTGGAATTGCCAGCAGCGGTGCTTTCTAATTTTCTTCTCTCGAGTGACTTCAACTATTCGGTACACCAAAAGAAAAAATATGTAAAAAATAACGAATATTTTGTTGATTAGTACTAATAACATAATCTAAATTCTCTCACTCAAGTAGAATAAATAAACGTTCGCTTTGCTGAGAAGTTAAGAGCGAAGAGAAGATTCACGACAATGTATATTTTCTCGTGTGGAAGAAATATCTTCTCGGTTCTTCTGAAAACATCACTAGAGTGTGTAAATGTGTACATTAGTGTATATTTTTATTATGCAGTTGTACAAGCAGACATGTTATTAGTCCGTATTCACCGTATGAGTAATTTTCAACTTTGAGATGTTTTTTCTCTCGCAGAAACAGAGAAAGCTCCTCTAAGGAACAAGGCAAAAAGATGCTTTTATTCTTTCCTAAAGTAGAGCAAGGTACACGTTAAATGCGGTGCTGATTGATTCGATTATTTGACACCACAGTCAGAAGACCACGAAGAATCCACAGTTAAGTGCAAGTGTCAAAGCGACTTGATGTTGAGGCAATGTTCTTCTCGCTGAAAAGATGAATCTCGATGACCGCTTCACGATCGATTCTTACACGTGAATGTGCAAAACGATCCGACGAACAAAGGCGACGGCGTTCGCGCAACGTGTGTGTGCCTTGTTGAAGGATTCGCCATCAACCGCGTTCGTTAATGTCGTCGCTTAATCGCGCATTGTTGTGTTCACTCCGGGAACGTGCTCCGATAAATATCGTGTGAATGGTCTCGCGTTCACCGTAGCCGACGACGACGACGACGACGACGGTGCCGTCGCGCGCCGCTGCGCGAGCATAGTAGATTTTTCGACCGTTACTTTTGTTTGCTAATGTTGAGGCGCATGGATTGCGCGAGGAGCAGGTCACTGGCGAATCTATTTTGCTTGGTGTGAGAGAAACTCCGCTTCTTATCGCATGATTTACATTCAAACGTCGAGATCAGTCCCGATGGGCGTGCGAAAGTAAGCTCGAATCGTCTATACATATTTTATCACACTAAGTTACTCCTGAAGTCTTTTCTTAGATACATTTCGTTAATCACATTGAAAAATGTTTCGTTTATGTCGAAACTTGTCGCCCAAGTCTCAAATCTCCGCTCAAGATTGAAGATAATATTGAATTGTTTAATGAGCTCGTACGAATTTCGACTTTTTTATAATTTGGTATAATTTTTTCTTCGGAAAGCATTGAAAGAAATAGAGAGAATAAAGTTACAGCCAAAGATCTCTGCAAACTTGTCGAACAATTCCCGACGGTTACGCGTGTCAACTAACGTTTTGTATTTTTGCCAACATATTCCTTTTCACATCTTAGTGTTGAGCACTCAGGAACTCGACGGTGCCGATACAGAAAGTCCAGCGATTCCATTGAACACGTTTATACGTAAGGCGTACCAATGCGAGCGTGGATAATTGCAGACAGCATTCTTGTATTCGCGAAGACCACCGATGACTGTGTGTGTGTGTGTGTGTGTGTGTGTGTGTGTGTGTATGTGTATGTTGCGTGCCTGTGCGTCTTGCGTACGTGTAAGGTTGAATGGACATGACTCATCGCCATCGTGCAACTTCGCACGTGCTTACTACACGCAGCGAAGGAGAAAGAAGCGGAGAGTCCGCGGGACGAATTGCGCGGGTTCTGCGAAGGGAAATAAAAGTACCGCGGGCCGGCTGCAATTCCAACGAAGTTTCCACAGCGTCGCTGTTAGAGCAGGTTCGCCGGTGAGATTTTCACGGTGTATTATTATCGATGATCGCAACGCCTAGAACCCAAAAGGCACGGTCGTGTCGTATCGTCATCGCCGGGAATCGATAGCGTCGTTGATAGCGTTAGCTGATAAACGAGATTGCTGAGTGTGCGTATTATCAACGAGGTTTTGTAATCGCACGCGCAGCGAGCAGCTCCGAGTTTTTGGAACAGCGTGTGACTCATAATCGCATCGCGGGAACGTCTCCCGTCGTAAAATTCGCGCATCCCAGGCAGAACAGAAAATCACGATGATATCAAGATGATGAGGAAAGCTCACTTTTTTCATCATGATTTTCTGTTCTGCCTGGGACGTGAGCCTTCGATTCGACACTCGTCTCGTCCGAGGATTCCGCCATTTCCCTTCGACATAAATTACAATCATGATTAACATCTGTATTCGCAAAGCATATCTCACTTGTGCAATTAACATCGACGTGTGTATTCTGTGTATATTAATCTATTGTGTTTTTTGATCAATTAAGAGCACACAATGATAGATCGTATGAACATCAGAGGGTTGCGAAGAAAGCGTAGGATACTCGTTCGCTCAGTATGTGAAATTTCATCTCTGCGAAATTCCATCCCCTCGCGCGCGCGCGCGCGCTCGGTAATCTGATCTCTCCCTCGTTCGCCCGGTGCTAATTCACTCTTCCGGTACGATTATAATCGTCATAACTGTCAAATGTCTCTTGGCGCGGTTGGGCGCGTGTCACGGACTACTTGTCTATGTTCGTCGGCTTTTTGCCAATGAGCCGAGTCATCCGAGCGGCGGTTTCCGGTAACGAGGATTTTACGAGCGGCGATTAAAATCAGAGGTACTCCAACTATGAAGACACCAACTATGATGTCGGGGCTGTAGTAAAATGGAGACTACGAAACGCATGATGTCTGTCAACCGATCAGTCGGAGAAATGTCGATTCTCCCTCTCAAGATGAGCGCGATATTTATTTTCCGAAGCGTCTCGATGCGCTCCTGAAGCCAGCCCGATTGTAAAAGGCACCGCGATTTGCCTCAGTCCGGCAAATGTAACCGTGAAAGAATGCAAAGCAATGGGTGTACGACAGGAAGGAGATTCCTTCAAGCGGGGCGCAGGGCATCGACTAACCGGAAACGCCATGAGCACGCGAGCACCGTTGCGTTTATTGTTGCATTATACTCTGTACATGGTGTGGACGCATCAGAATAGAATAGCGCTGTGTATCGTGATCTTGTTTGCCCGTGTGCGCGTGTACACGTGTGTGCGTGCGTGTGTGTGTGTGTGTGTGTATGTGTGTTCGTGTACGTGACGCGTTAATGGTACCAACAGGTGTCATTAGGTATTATTTAGTTGCTATTTTAATTGCCAGCTGCGTCCCGCGTATTCACAGCGATTTCAGAGAGAGGCACGCGCGTTCGCTCATTCACACAGATGTAATGTGGTTGCGATTTAAGAGGATTTTTCTCACACACACGAGCGAGCCGAATTGCGGTTGACGGCATTAGTGAGTGTGAGGGTTTGGCCAGTTGATACTCGGCAATTGCTGAGGCCGCGAAAAGAGCCGAAAAATGTATCTTCTTGAGGAAATTGACTAAATCTCTCGGCAAACATAATGAGGTATTGATGGTATCGCTGACATTATTAATACATCATCAATAGCTCATTTGTCGCTGTTAATACGTGGCGTGGAAAATTAATTTAATCAATTAGAATCTTCTCTTGTACGAAACACTTTGAAGAATATTGATCAGTGACCGTAAAATCGCGCTGCTTGATCTCGTGCGCGCGCAGCGTTAATGAGGATTAGATTATCTCTAATAGGATAAGACGCACCAGTGAATGACCTGTTAAGAAGCATCATCGAATTATTCAATCTCCCTGAGAGCTGACGAGACAGTAAAACTGCAAGTGAATGACCATGCGCTGGCCCCGGCGGTTAACTCTGCGAATCCGTAGCTGCGTTAAGGAAGATAAGAAAGAAAGAAAATAACATGCGGCGCTTACTTGTGAAAAGCGGTAAATTCATGGAGTGATGTGCGTTCACTCGCTGATGCGCTTATCCCACAAGGAGTGTTATTGACCTTTGGTGTACCGTTGCGGTGTTAATGAAATTGATGGATTGATTATTTCCTCCTCGAGCAGCTCTAATTACTCGCAAGGACTGATACTCCGCAACTTTCGTTCTTGCTGAGAGATCTGAAAAACAAGGAGAACATTTGCTTACTTCTTTATTACAAGAACAATTACATGTAATCCTTGTGATAAAGGAATAAGTAAATTTTCTCTCTTTCCAGATGAAACGCAGCGAATCTTAACGGTACACTGAGGATCAAATATGTTGTCGCGAACGTGGAAGCGTAGAGTGGAAACGTTTAAGGGCACACTTGCAATCTTTGTAAACGGATACCTCTTATCCGCACGTTCGCATTCGCGACGGTCGCACGAGATCCGCGGAAAGCCACTAATCGGATGATTAAGAACGGGATATGCGAGCCGCGTGTGTGCGCCGCGCGGTCGAGTGAATCAGCAGCACCGCCTCTAATGCTCGTCTAAGCGATGCGTTTCAGGTCACGCATCAGCCGGCGGTTCTTGCCCCGCACGATTAACCCTGCGACCTCGAGTAATCCCTTTATAGGCTCGGCCGAGTGGCGAGACCTTCGGCCGCTCTTGGCACAGAGTGCAAAGACGTAGCTGGAATTTTTCGGTTTTTGCGCGATGCCGGAAACGAGAAAGAGAGGGAGAGAAAGACTGAAAACTAAAAATTTAACGAGAGATACTCGTGACTGAAACGTCTAATATTTTAATCGATTTTTATAACAGCAATATATTTGGCTAATATATTATACTTATATTATTTTTTCATACATATCTAATTATTTTTATTTAATTTTATATGTATCTATATATGTATATAATAGTAAGTTCTTTTGCTCAATTAGTTCCAATCAATAATCTAAAGCAGATTGCATTGGTTGATTTTCATTGTGCAATCAAGAGTAACTACAAAGATTATCAGGTTCCCTTTTTGTCTGCACGAGTCTTCTTTTAGCGCCGCTGCTATTGACACGAAAGAATGACACATCGCTCATCTCCTTAATAAGTTTTGACGTATCTGTTATCAAGGGTGAAGCGCACGCGCCGATTCTCTTGACTGCAGCGGATGCGGAGTCGCAAGTGCAGACCATTCAACCGACACCTTCCATGCGGCTGGTGGACGGACCAAGTCCGTTAACGGGAAGACTGCAGCTCTTTCATCAGAACAGCTGGCGTTCCGTCTGCACGAACTCGCGAAAGTACGTAAGAGAGAACGCAAAATCAGGCACGACGCGAAAACTTATCTATGGATACTTTAAAGCTATTTATATCTAATTATACAAGATGAGGCTGAGTAACTGCTACCATCTTGTATACTTCATTTGAACTGTATATTGTATATTTGATATACGGACTGCATAACTTAACTGAATCTATTTCATTGATCGTGACCTTTTGCGTTGTAGTTGGACTCGCGCAGACCTGGAGACAGCTTGCCGGCAGCTCGGCTATCAAGGTGGACAATGGTGGTCGTGGTTCGACAGACAATGGCCGTCCAGGTCGCGTCTCCTCCTCGAGGAACCGGGCTGTCGCGGCACCGAGCCTTCACTGTCGGTATGCGAAGGATGGATGGACAGACAGTTGGGCGGAGGTGTATGCGGTAAGTCGCGGGTCCTTCTGGTATCTCTCTTGGAACTATTCTCGGTGGAATTGATGTACCCTCGACCTCTTGAGCCTTTTATCCATTTCCTTCGGAGATGAATAAAAGGATCTTATTCCATTCTTTCATATGTACATCATTCATGAGAAATTATTGCTTATTGGTCCAAAAATATAATTATCGCTGTCTCGATCTTGTATGTGTAATTCACAGGACGAATGTTAACGATGCTCTAATATCTGATGTATCGTTGATTGCAGATTACCATCCGGACATGGGAATCTCTTGTTTGCCGTACCACGACGGTGCGACCAAGGCAATCAAGCACTGGCGGGGAATACGATTCGAAAATGCGGTGCACCACAGATTGCTGACTCAGAGGAACACGCTCTATGTGCACCAATCGAAGTCCATCCTGCGAAATGTGATAGTCGAGTGAGTATTTTGTGATAAGAAGGAATATTTCGGCAATGAACGCCCTTTTGTTCCAAACCTTACATGAAACTGTTGTGATTCGACAAATAGGTACGCCGGGACCGGGAGAGAGTACAACGTGACGTCGGCGATACATGTGGAAGGCGTGCCGCCGAGGATGGAATCCATCTCTATCTTACATTCTGCCTTCAACGGTATAAATGTTACTATGCCGGATGCGCCAGTGGTGATAAACAATTGTACCGTCCAATATAACAAAGGTGAGTTTTTTTGTCCCAATGATTTTTCTATCTAGTTGCTTTCTGCGTTTCGTCTTGAAAAATCATCTTCGATGGATTGGGATGTAGAGGATGTTAGGAGGATGTAACGGATACACGAAAAAGAATGTACTTGTGCCCGAAATGTGGATAAATGATGCAGGATATTTCAGACAACTTAAAGGCCTAAAAGACGTTCACAAAATACCTTACTCGACTTTCCCAGGTGTCCCTAAGACGTACTTTCAGCATTTGCGCTGCGTGCGATATGATACACTATTATGAATGACATACATGATGCATATATAAATGTGATAAACGTACATATGCTTATTTCAGGGTACGGAATTTATGTGAACAGCTCATCCGGCATGACGTATATCGCCGACTGTACGGTACTCGATAACGGTGCGGATGGCGTCAAGTACGTGCACTCGGACGAGCGGCCAAACGACAAGCTGGACCGTATAGGCCTGTACGATCTGTGCACCTTCCCCACGACGGCCAGTCAGACCTTCCCAACTACCATATTCATGGAACAGAGCAAGTACGCGCTCAACGTGAAGCAATGCCCGCAAGTGAGTAGAGCAGTCGCTCATACATCACACCACCGAGAGCGGCCCCGTGCTTCTCTCGGAAGCTCAATAACGTGATTGATAAGCAACAACGGTATCGTCCAGACTATCTACACGACGTGGGGCCAAGTCTTGACCCTGCATTTCTTGCAAATGAAGACCGACAGGAATGACAGCGCCGTCATAGAGGTATACGACGGTCTTGGCACCTCGGATAAGCTCTTGGCCAGCGTGAAAGTCAGGAACGGGACGTTACCGCAGAGCGTCACCTCGTCACGGCAGAATATCTTTTTGAGATTCACGGCCGAACCGCGGTCGAACACGATCGTATTCGTGCGCGTGACGTCGGGTTACCGTAAGTTACTTGGAAATTTAACATTATCATTTTCAAGCAAAGAAATTTGTCGTCCTTTAAGACATTTGCAAAATGTTCGATGGCCGATACGCTAAATTTGCGAAATTTCTGAGTGTTTGATACTCATCTTCCTGCGCAGAGAAAATGTACGACCTCAACGTGACCGGCAGCACGATAGCGGGCAACATCGGCCGCGGTGTCGCCGTGGAAAACCTACGATCTGCTCTGCACATCCACGAGACCTCGGTGTCGAATAACTATCACGTGGCTGGCGTACACGTGCTGGGTGGCGCTATGGATGTCAACATCACCGGCAGCCGCATCTCGTTCAATCAAGGGGACGGCGTTAACATCACCGTTACGGGCGGCAATCGCAACGTGTCGCGCAGCAGTATATCTTCCAATCTCGGTTACGGTTTCGCGGTGTGGTTGAACGACAGCACCGCTACCCAATATGTGAACTTCAATCAGACCACCGTCATCGAATACTCGCAGATCTTTCGAAATAAGGACATCGGTGTGTTGGTGAGTGTCGCGAATTTAGAGCGCGTCATGAATATGTTGCACGATCTTGAGGAGCGATATATGTTTGTTCGCTGATACATTTGTTATTTATCTCCGTTATATGGTAGAGTAGTATTAATTACATAAAAAGATCAGCTTATTTAATTAAACTATTAATTAAATATTTAATTAATTAGAAACTTAGAAAATTATTACGGTGGCAATTGCATCGCGATTGATTGCTATATTTATTAGTCAAGTAATAGGAACTTTCAAGACAAGTTAAAGATCTGAAAGCTAAGTTCGGGTCTTTAAGATCTAGAAGACACCCAAAAGATTAAATTGACTCGGATTTCTTCGTAGGTCGGCAATTCAACCGGCGACTCGTACGTGAATATAACCGGCAACTGGTTCAACACCAGTCTGGAGACGGCGCTGCAAGTGGAGTCCAGTTGGAGAAAAGATAACGGACTGCTGAGACTGCAAATCGGACACAATTCGTTCATCAAGAACGCAAAGTTTGGACTCAGGTTGTACCCGGCGCTCAATCTCCACGCCACCATAGAGTACAATCACTTCAAAGAGCACGCGAGCGGCGGGATCCTCATTAGGAATCCGCTCTATGAGGAGTTCAACATTCTGCCCGCCGACATCGTGATTCGATACAATGAATTCCACTTCAATCAGGGCACCTTCGTGGTCAGCATCGGTCTGTCGCCTTACAGCGACGTACAGCAGTTGCTGTTCACCAGGAACTTCCTGCGGGACAATCGCGTCCGGGAGCTGTTCGACACCAGCGGTACGTTGAACGTCAAGCTGATACCGCGCTCCAGAGTGGCCGCCGTCGTCGTCGTGTCCTCGAGTAATGTCGAGGTCTTCCGTAACATCCTCAATAATCCCGAGTCGCGTTACGAGATCGGCTCTCAGCTGGAAGATCAGAGCAAGGTTATCAATTGCACGTACAACTGGCTGGGATTCAGCGACGAAGAGAAGATATTCGACCGGCTGTTCCATAGGTGCGTTCTCGCGTTCTTGTTACTTTTAATCAGAAGTTACATTGTAATGTTTTCGCATTCACAGGAAAGACAGATACAATCTCGCCAAGATCAGATACCTGCCTTACTTGCTGCACAGCAGCAATCCCAACGCGAACACCATTATCTCGAATCCGACGTTCGTGGCGCAGTTCGTCACACCTGGCACAAATCTCGTCGGTGGCGAGGTCGACGGTCAGGAGGAGCTGAGAGCCGGAGAGTACATCGTCGAGCGCGACATCAACGTGAGACCAGGCGGCAAACTAATCCTGCAGCCGGGTGTCACGTTACGCTTCCCGCCGGCTGTGGGCATGATGGTCGCTGGCAAGTTTGACGCACGTGGTAAAGGCCCTAACAATATCTTGTTCACTCTCAAGGAAGAGCTGGTCATGGGGCCGGCTAACAGAACCGAAGAGGAGGAGGAGGAGGAATACATGAGTTCCGCCGACAAAACGGAGTCCGTTCCAGTGCGGCTTCTCGGCGGCCGGACGAGTCTCGAAGGAAGACTACAGGTACAGCTGAATTGCATTCTTGTAAACAACAAACATACCCAACTTGAGGTGAATAGAAAAACGAAACTTGTATGACTGTCTTCTTTCTGTTTGGTGTGACAAAAAGGTAAGAATCAAAAATAAATGGGGAACTGTGTGCAACTACGGATGGACGATCCTGGACGCGTCGCTAGTCTGCCATCAGCTGGGCTACATCCTCGACTCTGACAACTGGTTCATGGAACGCTCGCAAATCCCGAACGCGGGGATCAACGAGGACATACTCTTCAGCAACGTACGTTGCACCGAGTACGACAACGACATAACGAAATGCCGGGCGGAGAAGCAGTCGGACTTCGAGAACTCGTGCACTCACGAGAACGACGTCGGCCTCAGGTGCTTGGAGCCGACATGGGCAGGTCTCAGGTTGGGACCGCTGGCTCAGAGAAGCGACCTGCAGTACCTGACGATCGAGAAGGCGGGCTTGCTGGATTACAGAACAAATTCCTTCAAGCCAGGTGATCTTGCAGTTTCCACGCATAGCCGTTAACAGTAGTCGACCGTCAGTTGCTTTTCATTGATTCCTCGAGTAAAGTTTATCTCGTCGCAATGTCTACCTATTTAAAATTTAAATTTTCTGAATCGCCACGCTCGAAATCGGCACGTTGTGAAAGACATCGTATTTCATACAGCTCTGCAAATCGATTTCGCTCGGCACTCCTTGGACGGTGTCAAGATCGTCAATAATCTGCAAGACGGTCTAGGAGTTTTGTACTCAGACATTTACTCGGCGGACGCGATAAACACCGTGATGAACAGCGACTTCTCGCTGAACGGCGGCAGCGGCGTCAGTTTCAAGCAACTCGGTATGAGGATCATCAGCTCGAGAATCGAGGGCAACAAGGTCGCCGGAATAAGGCACAATCCCGCGCTCTCGGCCGTGCAACAGAGAGAATTCGCGGGTTGGTTCTTGCGCGCGCCCGACACCACCGTCGACTCTCCGTACGAGCCTATCATTCTGCCGGAATCGAATCGGAACATCGAGCTCGCCAATGGCGAAACAAAGTACATCGTGACGTCCAAGGTGGCCGGCGAGGCCGCTCGTCGTATCATTAATATTAAAGTGAGTTCTTTCTCATGGTATATATTTTTGTCATACATTGAATATAAGGAAGAGAGATATAAGGAACAGAGTGGTGGTTCTTTCAACGTTACAACTTCTCTCGACTTACAGTGCACTCCGGGTTACGTCATCGGCATTCAGTTGCTGAACCCGATAGAGAATCGCAGCACGGAACAGATAACGCTGTACAACTCGCAGCGTTTCCAGAACAAGAATCAAATTAGTTGGCACGTGAAGAGAGATCTGAGCGTGTTCCCCGTGTCGTCCAGCTCCTTCGTGGTGATCTTGGAGTACGAGAGCGGCGAGAACGCTCTCGGTGGAGTAGTCATGGCGATCACGTCGCTCTTGTCTCCGGTGCAGGTACAGATTAATGATTAGAATTAATTATTCAATTATTAAAATTAGTACGTAAATTAATTTATGTAACAAATTAAATGTATAGCCGATTGAGAGCGAATGAAACGACTTAACGATTATCGCGAATCGCATTTACTTACCGCATCCTTGATGACTCGGTCTTGGGCTGAGCATAGGGAAGTCAGCCGCCATCAGGCTCACCTTGCCTGCATGTTCGCCATCATACAGTAACGACAGACATTTTATGTCCGCAGAATATTCCCAACAAAATCGTCAGCGGTCCCATACCCTCACTGGTAGTAACGAAGACGCAGATCAAGAGCAACCAGAAGGGCGTGTTCGCGTCCTACTACAACCGGTACCTGAACGAGATCGGGGACTACTTCCTGCGCAAGGCCAACGAGACCATCCAACTGGTCGACTGCGAGATCTCGCACAATCGCGAGGAGGCCGTTTACGTGTATTCGCCGTACTGGAACATTTACCAGTCCAACATATCCGAAATTTCCATTCACATCAACAGCAGTCTGATCACGGACAACGGCAAAGGGATACACCAGTTCAGTCGCGACGCCCGGCACTCCAACAACCTCTTCCACTGGATAATGCAGGACAGCACGGTCGAGAGGAACCACGGCGGCGGCTTCGAGGTGCTGCTGCCGGACGTGTGGCAGTACAACGAGAATTTCACGCACTCCTTGTACTTCGGCAACAACACCTGGCGGAACAACGAGCACTTCGGCTTCGTGGTGGACGGTCACTTCGCGCACCTCAACATCTCCTACAATCGCTTCGACAGTAACCGCTGCAAGACCGGCCTGATATCCGTGCGTGGCATGGAGAAGCGGATTCGCATCGACCATAACCGCATCGACGGCAACAGCGGCGCTTACATGGTCGAATTTCGCGCAGACAGTCAGTCGGAGATCCTCGGCAACGTGGACGCACGATTCTACCACAACGAGGTCAAGCGAAACACGTACGACGTCGCCAGCACAGAGCCGCGTCGCACATTCGACGATCCCAGCTACGTCGTCGGCTTCCACGGGATACAGAAGGTGCGCATCAACCGGAATCTCTTCGGCGAGAACTCGCTCGATTACGAGCTGCTCGCGGGCATCAGGACGGCCAAGATTAACAACGAGGTGGACGTTATGGAGAACTGGTGGGGCACCACGGAGGATGCCGGTATAAAGTAAATATATTTCACGTTTTATTTACGTTAAGACGCGCCTTTTGGACTGGCATAACTCCTTCTCAAGGAAAAGACGTGGAGAGTGAAAGGTTTCGCATTTCTATAGTTTAAAAGGTAACCGCTCAAGTCACCTCCTGAAATGTTTCACTCTTCACATTTCTGTGTCTAGAGATAGGTCATATAATTGCTAGGTAACGTGCGACCTTCGACTTGAAATTTACTCGAGACAAAATCCACACTCTTTTACAGACGAAGAATCTTCGACTTCGACGATTGGAACGACCACGCGGTCGCCAATTACCGGCCATATCTGATGAGCGACTCGTTGGATGCTTCCATTTCCGCATCGTGGAATATCAATGAAGAGATCGACCTGGACAATCTGGGCGGTCGCATAGTCGAGAGCCTGTCGTTGCACGCGAGACCACAGCCCTACGTCGTCCGTTCCGACATCACCGTCATGCCGGAAGCCACTCTGTACATCTATCCCGACGTCGTGATGGAGTTCGCGCCTAACGTCGGCATTTTGGTCTTGGGGACGTTGAAAGCCGTCGGCGTGGCCGGCCATGAGATTATAATGCGGCCGATGAAGCGAGCGGCTGCGAACAATTCAGCGTTCACCAACGCGACGCCGATCAGGAGATCCGCTAATCTAGCCAATCTCCTCGCGATGCCGCGCGAGAGGATCCGTTTGTGCAAAGACGGCCAGTGTTCCGCATCGTACAATGAAGGTGAGCTGCGGAAGATGCGTTAACATCTTACTTGAACAGAGTCTACCCGTCACTTTAATTCTCGCTCGATACTTTTTCACGTCACTTGTAATTTATGGAACATCTCGAACTTGTCGTTTTGCATTTCTCTCATCCCATTTTGCACTTCCACGAACTCACAAGATCAACGATATTTATATCGGCATTTAATATCTGACTTCTCCATTTTTCACATCATGACATCTCCTCTCTTTGCTTATTCCAGGCTTCTTGGAGTACTTTAACAAAACGACTCTGCAGTGGATCCCCATATGCGACGACCGCTTCACCGAGCGTAACGCTCAAGTAGCATGCCGGCATCTCGGCCACGACACCCTCAACGTCTACGTGTCGTACGACCGCAGGTATGAGCTGCATCCCGGTTCGCTGACGCGCGTCTGGTCCTGGCCGGAACCGTTGCAGTGTACTGGGAAGGAGCAAGATCTCGAGGACTGCCAAATTCGGTTGAACGGCCAGCTATTCGGCCATCGTCACGAGTGCCCGTGGGACGGGCAGTTCGTCTTCCTGCACTGCGGCGAGCGCAACCTAGACAACGAGCACGATTACTGGGGCGGAATACGTATCGCCAACAGCGAATTCGAGCATCACCTGTACGAACACCGCATCCACGACATCGTGACTCACGAGACCATGAAGCGCGTCGAGTCGGTGCTCAAGTACATCAACATCACCGGCGCCGGGATCCTACACTTGGAGAAGTCATCCGCCGTGCAGTCGATCATGAAATCCCCGGCGATGATGCGCGTCAATATCGACCGTAGCGCTTATCACGGTATCAACGTCGTATCACCCACGCACACGGTGGAATTGTTGTTCAATACGATCACCAATGTCCTCGGCAACGGCGTGAACATACTCTCTCTGACGGGAGAGGGTCGCGAGGCGGACGAGAGCTCGTTCACGCCGCTTAAGGACCTCAATATTCCGTATCACTTGTTCAGCATGGTCGACATATGCGACACCACCAAGGAGATCACGATCGAGGAGCGTGTGCTCGTCTACTACAAGTACGACAACTACCCGGTGAACTGTGTCAAGATCTTCCGCAGCGTCTACAGGGCTAAGCCGTTCGGCTTCAGGTGAGCGATTTCTTTCTGTATTTTCCCAGAGACACTTAAAAGACATTCAGGACAAATTGAATGTCTTTCAAACATCCCCAAACATTTCCTATGCATTTATATTATCTGGTTGGTTGCTTCCAAAACAAATGTCTCGCCTGACAAAATGTTCCACACACAGCAAAATTGATGATACATATAATAACATAATATATAATGGAATAAAAAATATATATAGTAGATTAATTTATAATATACATGAAGTAAATTAATATTAATGTGTAAATTCCTTCTACAGGCTCTTGCAATTTAATTTGTACAACTCCACCGGCAAGCCAGGTCGCGCCGACGGTATAACTCTGTACGACGGCGACATTTACAACATCACCTCGAAGAAGATAGGCCACTTAGAGGTCAACACTCCTGACGAGAAGAAACTGTTCAGAACGCAGGAGCCGAGCATCAGCGTGAGGTTCTTCGCTAACGGCGCCAGCAGCACGCACGGATTCATCGCGGAGATCGTGACTCTCCCGATATCCGCCATTGGCTTCAATCGCGACGTACAGCACAACGTGTCCTATTCTGTAATAGCGAATTGTCGCGAGGGCGCCGTGAAGTACGCGAATGCCGGCGAGGTGAATGCCATAATGACGCTCGAGCGCAATCAGTTCGTGAACAATTGCGACAAGCTGTACGGCAACTTCTCCACGTGCAAGTCCGCGCTGTGGTTCGACGTCCAGAACACGCAGTCATTTTACTTCAGGAACAACTTGGTGCAACGGAACCAAGGCGGTCTTTCCATTCGCGCCGACTCCAGGGGTTTGGCCACGTCCCTCAAGGGATGGGTTCACAATAATCTCTTCACCGAGAACTTCAACAAGCCCGCTTTGTAAGTGCCATATCGCGATCATATCACAATCCAGTAAACAGAAGACATTAGATCAACGCGGTGAAATGTCGATTTCATATGTCTCTCTTGAACGTTCTCACTCGATAATACTTTTAAAAAATGTACGATATCAAATATAACCTTTCATTGAGGAATATAACCTTTCATTTTTCGCTCACTAGGAATATCAATGTTACTATCTCAATATCTCTTTCTCTCTTCTTCTCATCATCATATATTATAACATCAAAATCACAATAATAATACGTTTCACACGTATTCGCTGTACAACGCTACGGATTTGCAGGTACGTCGAGGGTCGCCGGAGCAGTCCCTACCAAGAGGTGACTATATTCAGGAATTACTTCACTAAGAACAACGCTCCCTACGAGAATAACATCGTGCTGAAGCAAGTGGTCAGCAACATGTCGTTCAATTATCTGCACGGCAACCTCGGCATGCACTTGCTCGAGATCTCGGGCTTCGAGATGGTCCGCCTGCATATCTATCAGCGCACGTTACACAACGGCTTCTACAAGAACTACGCGGTTGATCGCGAAGGCCGCAGCACCATCATCGCCGGCACGCCCGGGCAGCAATACATCGACAACGTGTTCTTCAATCCTGACAACGATTACGAGATGCTGACGACCAACAGGTCTCAGGATCTGCAGATGTGGAGGTCTCACGTGGACGCGCGGCACAACTGGTGGGGTTACAACGAGACGCTGGCGGTGGCGGGACGCATCAGGGACCGCAGGGACTCGCCTGAGCTGTTGCAGGTCGATTTCCAACCCTTCCACATGAACAACAAGTCGGTGTTGAGCGGCAAATGCCCGCCCGCCTGGGACCTCGTCGGCGACACGTGCTACATACTGATCGGGGCGCCGATGGACTTCTACAGCGCGCGGGACTTCTGCAGGTCGGCGAACGCGTCGATGCCGTTCATCATGAGGGACTACCTGGAGCTCTGGAGGTTCGCCCGCAAGCAGCAAGAACGATTCGACTACTCGGAGCGCGTGTGGGTGCAGCAGCTAGAGCGCGTGGACCAATGCACGGCGTTCACATATCAGAACATCGAAATCGACCATTGCGCACAGCCGAATCCGTTTATCTGCGAGATCGATCCCAGAGTCAATATCGACCCGTTGTCCTGGAGGAAGGACATCGTCGCGGTGGGAGTCCTAGGAGCCGTCGGCTTCGCGCTTGCATTGCTGACCATGGCCATCGCGCTCTGGGTCTCCAAGTCGAAGAAGCGCAAGCTGGAGAGACTGGAGCGACGTAACTCCATCAGACAGTCCCTGCACTCCCTGCGATCGGTCGGCTCCACGACCGGCTTCACGGAGCTCGCTTACAGGCGAAAACCCATCGCGGTAAATATATCTTTCGAATTCAGTGCCTTTATTAATCTCTTATCTTTCTTCAGATGCTTCAGGAAAAATTCTCACGACAATTCCAGCCCCTTTCTCTCGACCTTGAGATTTTCTCGACTTCTCAGGTCTTATTAATTAATTACTTTGAAACGTATCTCGTGTGAGATACTTGAATCTAAATTCACAGCTAGATGAGTACTTCAGTTGCATCACATAATAAATGTAACATTATATTTGTAATCGCGATTCGATTAAAAGACATTCATTATTATACAAGAACTTCAAGTGTCTCACTTGAGACAAGTTTCAATTAATTACCATCAAGACCTTATACAAAACGAGTTCATCGTGCCGTTATCGCGCTGGACCCTTCGATCCACTCGACGTTTCCTCGAGGATTTCTAAACGCACCACATGTGTTTCAGACTAAACACTCCACGGACACACTGAACTCCAAGTCATTAGACTATCGGCGCATGTTAAATGGCGGCAGTCTGGATTCGATGGACAAGTCGCAGTTGAACTCCTCGATCGAGGACACTCAGAGCTACGACGTGTACGAGGCGCACAATCCGCGCTACTCGCCCAGCACCAGCGACTTCAAGGGCACCAGCCACCACAAGTACGGTACTACGCAGAGCGTCGACAATCCGGTGTTCGACCTGGCGTATCGCAACGAGGGCTTCCGCAATCACTCCACCTTCGCTGCGAGGAACGCGGCCGCAGCCGCCGGCGCCGTCGCCGACAACACCGACTGGGTCTCGCAGCCGAACGTACAATCGACCTCCCAGGACAGTCCCACGACGGAAGGCAACAACGAGAGCTCGTACCTCAACAACGCTTCCACACTGCCGTTGCACTCCAGTCTCGCGCTCACCGACTCGATAAGCGAGCTGAAGCAGGACATTGAGGCGTCGGCTGCCTATGACCCTGTGGACTACGACTCGAGACGCACCTACGACACGGCTACGTTGACGCCCAGTCAGGCGTCGGAGCCGGTGCCGGAGTACCCGTCGGACTTCCAGCCGCCGATACCTCCGCATCCGTATCGTTACGAAGACAGCAGCAGCAGGCCCAGGAGCGAGACGCTCTTGGAGACCAACTTCGACACGAGCGAAGAGCGGCCGCTGCGCTCCAAGAGCGAAGTCCTGCTCGAGACTAACCTGGACGCCTTCCTGGTCAACGAGCCGACGGAACTCACGCAGTTGTCGGCGGCGGCACGCAGTAAGAGCCAGCCCTTGGAAACGGCGATGTGAGGGGGTAGCTGCACGTCGATGACTACATGATGACTACACACTAGTTGGACCAGCGTCGTCCAACGGTTCAGGCACCCAGGTGTGCCGGGCCTCATATGTCCTCGTGGTGACAAGTACTGCCAGCTTACGCTGAAGATCGCACAATGAAAGACTTTTCCAGGGAGAGCACTGAGAGCCGCGCTTCTAAAGTCGTCTCTTGGAGCTTCCCCGATAGCACAGATGTTTAGAATGTGTTTTAGAGACATCTGGAAGATGTCTAAAACGAGTAAGATATAGTTTGAACATTGCTGAGGCGACGTTTAGATGTTGTCTGGGTTGCCTCAAGCGAAATACTCAGATTTGAATTTTCAGAATTAAACGTAAGTTTTTCGGTTTGTGTATGTGTGTGCGATGTTATATCTGTAATCGCGACTCGCACAATTGAAAGACTCACGTCTAACTCTAAGTACGGATTTTGCAGGTTTGTAGGAATAGTTATCACATTTCAAACTTGTCTCGCGTGAGATATTCAGGTACAAAGTTAGATCCAAGTTTTTCGTTTGAACCATGTGATACACGCGACACTTTTTTATATTTCCAATCGCATTCAACTGAAAGATTCACGTCTGACTCTAGATTGAAGTCTGGATATTTTACTTTAGATGAGTTTTAAGAAACGACTGTCAGTACAGGCTTGAGGATGCCTCAGGATGTCTTACAGACATCTCTGAGATACTAAGACGTCCCGCTGAGATTTCACGCTGCACGACGAGTCGCGTTCGTCCGCGAGTGCAATCCGAATTTCACTCGGCGAATCGTTATTTATTGCAACAAAGTGCTACTTAATCCCAATTACGTCGATTAGGCTCATTAGCGTTATTTAATAGACTATTGATGACGAGACAGTTGACACGGAGCGAGTGATACAATTGTTTCAGATAAGCTTGTAGATACTTTGTAAGGACAATCGATCGATAATGAAATTCTCTTTAGGTACTAACGTGTTATGCGATGATAAATATTAATCATCGGAGGGAGGGAGCTTTTAACTATAATTTTCTACTCGACATAAGCGATGTGTAAGAGCTGTACAATTTATAGTAATTTTACTGTCGTTACGAAGCTGTGAGACTAGAGAGACCTCATGTATTCTTAATCAGCATTATCGTCGACATTGTTTTTCGTCGAATCATTAGCGAGTCTATATTTAACAACAGGCAACGAGTTGCACGTATCGGATTGATCGAAGGGTTCGTTCGTTCTTCGCAGTAGAAGGAAGCAAGATTTCTTTCTCTCTCTCTCTCTCGTCAATCCGATGTTTTACACCGTGAGAAGCTGGGAGTTACCAAGAGTAGCAAATTTTAAACTGTGTTTTGCAACAACTTACACTGCCAAGTGTGTCCAATCCGAGCCTATTTCGGCCAGCCGTAGGGTTGCCAGATTTGAGAATTGAAAAATCTAGAAAGGCTTCCAAAGCAAAAAAAAAATGCGGAGTTTGTAAAATACGTAGTTTGTAAAATTATATTTTTCGAAGAATTTATCAATGGCTAAGGAATGTCTGATATAATCTGGAAATTTTTTTTTTATATTAGCTGGGCAGCTGGATGGTAAAATCTGGACATCTGGCAACTCTAGCTAGGCGAGACGTACGTAACCCTCTCGCGAGTATCGATATAGCTTGTTAAGTCAATCGTGTCTCTTTGTTAAGTAATAATATCCGACGAGGGTGTATCGACGCTACTCGCGAACATCGCGCCACGGGGTTGATTATTAACACACGCCGCGGTGTTGCGAGTGTTACGAGTGTTCTGGGTCGCGCGGAGCGGTAACTTTGCGCGCTAATCGATAGACTTAATTGCTGCCTCCTTTTTTAAGTAAGGTGATCTCAGCCGACTCGTCGTTGTCAAGAACACTTTTATATACCTGCCTTTACAGAACAAAGTATCCGTCCGTAGCATGTAAGTTTAGCGGAGCAATAACGCAGGGTGTCCAGGCCGAATTTTCGCTACACGCTATTTGCGAGGGGTTTCTTCAGATTTTCTTTTCTCTCCGGGACGTGCGTCCACCTGAGACATCCTGTACGCGTGTATGTGTGTATGCATGATATCTGGTACCTACGGCCGATCATTTGTGACACGGAATGTATGCTCGAATATTGTCGCAAAATCGCTCTTTTAAACAGCAACGTCGGACAACGAAACCGAAAAATTCGGACGAGTCCAACGAATGAAGGAAGATGAGAATTTATCAGGTCACACGTTGCCTCGTAGGTACTCGCGCGAGTGGGACAATGATATCACAAGGCTGCCTTATGTACATTTCAGAAATAAAGCGAATAAACCAAGTGAATCGAGCGAGAGAATCGCGCGCGTCACGATTATTCGCCTTCTTCCTTTTTACATCCACCAGCAATATATATATATATATATAATACCTGCCAATTTTCAACGCGGATTTGATCGAATGTTAAGATGTATGGGGACTTATGATTTATTAATTTATCACTAATATTGTCTATTAATTTACTTGTTAATTTATTACTAAAATTATTTATTTACTTATTATAAATTTTTATCCCCACACACCTTAATATTTTATCAAAAATGCCACTTATTGGTAGTTTCGCTTTACAATCAGGTGTTGTTTTACATAGGAACGATACGGGAATACGCGCAAATGGGATACCAGAGAGAATAATATATAATATACATGGAGCATCTTTCAAAACAATATCGAATATATTAATATTAATATCGTCAATAACATAATTAAATATCAGGTTACTATTCGTCGCAGCCGTTTTCTCAAATCGCCAAAACGAACATTGGCGTGAGAGATTCTCTCTACGTCTGTCCCTCTCTCTCTCTCTCTCTCTCTCTCTCTCTCTCTCTCGCATTCTCTCGCACTCTAACAATAGACAAAGAAAATCCGCATGCCACACTCGATGTGACCTCGCGACGCGATTTACGTACCAACATACGAAAAACGGCTTCACCCGCATTTCTTGCGTTAAAGGACGCTAAGACGTTTCTTCGGCTGAAGGATATGTAATCTTACGATTTTACAGATATGCATCTATTCGTGTTGCGTATATATATATGTAAATATATATATATATGTGAATGTATATACAATTTTCTAATATAGCTATGTTTATATATATATATATATATATATATATATATATATTCTTAGAGAAGGCTCATATCGAGATCGTCTAATCAGGTACCTCCGCATACATTCGGACTGATCGACAGTAATGCACGTTATCACCATTTGAGACCGTTTTTCTTTTCTAGCATCCTTACAATAATAAACAGCTACGACGGTAAGAACAATTGTGTTCATGGATTAATCGTAAACGTCAATTCGTCAGGGTGCGCTTAAACGAATGCATCGTGTCCGTCTTCGCCAACGGAGAAAAATTACAATTTGTCATCCTTTATATTGTATATTACTACAGGTAATCTTATATTACTGACGCTTATCTTTCCTTTTATCCACATATATAGCTTTCTCTCTCCACATTATTATTCGGCAAAAATACATCTACGTATTGTCGTCCGAGGAAAGGAAGCAGATATATTAGGCGAAACTGACGTCGGTGAAACCGGACACGCTCATACGCTCATTTAATTGGCCGTTCAGCATTCCTCAGGCATCGGAGGCGCACCTGCTTGATCTCTATTGCACAATTTATTACCACGAAGAAGAGACGTTAAAAACTATTGCACCAATCGTGCGTGATCACACGTACGGTAACGACAACACGACGAACGAGCACCGTTGGACTTCACGAGGTCGTCTCCTCCGTCGACGGAGCTCCTCGTCGTGCCCAAGTCGCGCTCATCAAGGTCGGAACACTGAAGCGCGCACGTCGCGAAATTGTTGCATCCCGTTTCGAGGAAAAGGAAGGAGGAGGAAGAAGGAGCGAGTTCACTCCGCTTCGCTCGCGCGTGATCCCTAACGGCCGGTCGTTTTCGTTGCACTGCAAGATAGATTGTGGATCGTACGAATAAAGAAATTGCACTAAACAGCAAACGCGCTGATCAAACATGAGCGAAGACGTTGCCCGAGGTGCAAGCTACTCTTCTAGTTCAAACATTTGACTCTGTAAAAAGCGATAAATGCTAAAACGAAGATTTAAATTTATATATATATATATAAATTTATATAAAAAAATTTATATAAAACTTTTTACATGTACAAAGATATAAATTTGTAGTTTTGTGTAAAGAGATACACAAAGATGTAAACAATCATATAAAGATCTTTTCTCTATAAGAAGTTATAGCTCTGGGATTACGTATACGTATAACAGTTTTTGTTGATATCACTCGGTTAATATCAAAGTGCATTTCCTGCCATGCTATTTCACCGATAAAGCGTTTACCTCGCCTTTATTCGCACGTCCCACGAGATATTCGACGCGTTATTGTCAACATGACTTCGGCGCCAGTCGACATGCGCTGCGCTTGAAGCATCCGGCATTCGCCGGATATCGTCCTCCGGAGCAAATAACCATCGGAGTAACAGAGCGATACACCTTGTTTGAAGGTACAAGATCAAACTGTAACAGTCGCGACGAGATCGGCGAGTGTATTTGCGCGCGATCGAGCGGTCTCGCGGCTGTCAGTTCGTCGATACCGCGAAACGACCTCTTTATTTCCGTACATTTATGCTAAAAGGTAAAATGTAAAAAGAATAATCGGATTCCGCCGCTCGTCCGGACTCGCGCGAATCCGAGATAATCGTGTAGTTGAGCTATACAACGGCTAATCTCGCCAGCCGCGTCATTCGTTCGACGACTCACTCTGCAACGTTTCGCGAACGACACCTCGCTTACACACACACACACACACACACACACACACACACACACACACACACACACACACACACACACACACACACACACCACACACACGCACGCACACGCACCACGCACACCCACACACACACACACACACACACACACACACACACACACACACACACACACACACACACACACACACACACACATATGTATGTATTTCTATGCTTATGTATCGTAAGAGTCACTAAGTGCTGATTTGTTGATTAATATATATCGATATAACGTGTGTGTATATATATATATATATCTCTCTCTCTAAGGCGGTAATAAACGCGATTTAATAAACGGAATGATAAGATTGTCCCGGCGAGGGAACGAGGGGGAAGCAAGAACTTAACGGAAGACTTTTGTAATATTTGCTGTTGTCACACGATCATGCTTTAACGTAGGAAACGCGAGAACGTCGTCGTCGTCGTCGCGCGGCATTCTCGACGGTGTATGCACGTTGAAAGACACTGTAAAGAGCGGATGAATGAAAGGACGCGGAGATACGCGCGGGGATCCAACGATGACTCGAGTTCGCGAACGATGTGATATGTAGATTAAAAATATATACATACGTATGTGTATGTACGTACACATTAGTACGCACGTATATATATGTATGTAACACATACAAGATGTCCCGAAGCCGGTAATAAAAGAAGTGGGTGACCCTACGTGAAACAATACAGAGAGATAGAGAGAGCAAAGCCACCTGATTCCACGCGACGAACGAATCAAATACGCGTTTTAATTGAAAACATAAGACTTGTTCTCTTTAGCTGGACCAGGTTGTACTTGTTGCTTGCAGAATGAAATAATAATATTGCCTAACATTGAAAAAAAAACAAGCAAAAAGAGTCCTAATGCGTCATTAGTTAAGCTAAAAGGAACTAAAATTTCTGGCATTTCCCATACAGCACGAAAGTTGCGACAACCTTTCTGCAATATTGCTACAACATTGTAACGTTGCAGCAACGTTTTTTCAACTTTATATACTGTATGGGTTATGAGCCAAAAAATCAATCGAATATTCAAAGTTGTCTCTCGAAAACGAAGAATGAGGAAGTTTCATTCTGGCTATGTTTTTTTTTTCATGGAGAATCACAACTTTCTGGCTGCACCATCAGCTACGGGTCACCTTGCACGAACATACATAAATTTTCTTCATCTTAAAACTTAACTTAAGTAAGATATACTTAAAACGAGAGTCGCACATAAAATTCGAAAGGATAAAATTAACACAGAGAGGCGCACAGCTAACTAGGGCATTCCAAGCCTGGAAGATCAAATGCGTCCAAGGCGACGTGTTTTCTTCCAAGTAGACGAGAGTTGGCGCACAACGTGGGCTCTGCGCCCTCAAACGTTGTTCGTCGCACTCGCTTGCATTCGGTGCGATCGACACAAATTATTATTCGCGGCCTATATATAATTTACATAGTTTGTAGTGAGACGCGTCGAACTCGACTCGATCGAGCTCGAAATTTTTCAATCGAGGTTGGCTCGAACTCGACACGATAATCGCAACGACGATCAGGCAGCAGCAACCGCACGCGGCGATCGTTACAACGTAGAACATCATTAGCGTGACACGGTAATAAGGAGAAAAAAAATTGTAGATGAAAATGCACGTGTCTCATCCGTTCGCGAGGCGGAGGAGAAAGGAGGGGGGGGGACGTATCGGAACAAACGACGAGAGAGAAACGCCGCTGTGTGCGCGAACGCAATGCACAACCGGCCCTTATCTATCTCTAGACTAGAAAGAAACGCGTCGCTCTCTTGCGCGCGGGCGACGCATCGAAGGTTTCGTTACGTTGTATGAACGCGAAGAAGAAGAGTTTTGTGGGGCTGGGGGAAAGTCCCGGCGAACAGGTCACCTCTTTCTCTCTTTCTCTTTCTCTCTCTCTCTCTCTCTTTCTCTCTCTCTCTCTCTCTCTTTCTCTATTCCGTATTTCTCACATTCGTTATACTCTCCCGCACGATACATCGTATACGTATACGAGGTCTCTCACTAAAAGAAATATTGCTAATGCTTCGTCGACGACGGGGACAGGACTCGCGTAGGACTCGCACTGTCCCAACTTTTCACGTCAGCTTTCCAGCGCAAAAAGCGTGAGTACGCGAGAGAGAAAGAGAAAAACGAGACGCGACCGTCTTTGGAGGATCGACTGTCTCGTCTCGACCTGCGATTACAGCGACCTACGAGGCAAGGAACCGGGTGAAAGATCGGCAAGAGGGTCTCCAGGCACGGGCGGATCAAACCATGAACACCTCGACGAAGGGATTGCACTCAGTTTGCGGTGGCGGCAACGCGGCCATCCGCTTCTCTAGCTCCATCCGCGGTAGATACGCCTCGATACGCGCGTCGGCCGCTGTCGGAGTAGACGTCGGCACCGTTGCACCCGGAGCTATCTGCAGACATTCCGCTGGTGCTAGCTGAAAACACATGATTAAGTTGGAACAAATCTCAGCGATGAGAAATATTAAATAATATTCGAAGCGACTGAAAAATCTTGACTAAAGCCAAACGTTCTGAACTTTATCTCAAAGAACAGATCTCGGTTCTTACAAACGTTGAGTATTTGCATAAAAGTTCTGGGCGTGTCCAACCGCAGTAAGAAAGATCTTATGAACAGAGTGTGACAGAAATAAAAATCATAATTTACAGATACTGAGGAAAATTATTCAATTCGATTTTGATAAGGAAGGATGTCACTTTCATTCCTGTTCCAAATGTCATTTACTGTACAGAAAGTTGCTGAAATAATAATAATAAGTAATTTCAAGAGCAAGCGTGGTAGAACGGTAAATTTTGCTTAAGTCTCTAATTGGATGAATAAAATATAAAATAAAATAAATATAATAAAAATAAATATAAAATAAAATAAAATCAAATATAAATAAATATAAAAGAAAATAAATATAAATAAATATAAATAATAAAAATAAGATAAACAAAAATAAATATAAAAGAAAATAAATATAATAAAATAAATATAAAATAAACAAAACATCAGAACGGTACACTGACGACGATTGACTTACCAGAGCCGCTTGCTGAGGGATCGGCGCGATACCGCTGACACTCGCGGGAGTGTAATAATTGGTCGGACTGACCGGCGGCGAAGGGTAAGGCCAGTAGAAGATAGGCGGTGGATATGGCGTCGCGAATTGCGGCGGGCCGCGCGGTAACATTGCGGCCGCAGGTGGGAATATCGCGACCGGCGGCGGCGGCGGCGGCAACATCGTGCCTCCTACAGAAAGAAAAACAAGATAAACGTCCGGCTCCGGCTCGAGTGAACTCGGCTCGTTCGAGTCGGTGCGTGCAAAACAGCAGGAAGCTCGTTGGAATTTGTCGTGGCGAACACGAACATCTCGATCGAATCTTTTAGAAGAGGTCGCGACTCGCGAGGTCGAGAAACGTATTATCATCGTCTTGTTCGGAGATCTTTCGTCACTCTGGCGGATCTCGCGGGATCGCAGATCGTTACAACAATAGTCGTGTGATTCGCACAGAAAGAGAAAAAAAAGAGAGACTCGTAGTACCCACGATTGTCCGTCTATGTATGTACAAACGTAAAGAAGAGTGCCCACTAATGTAACCACTCCACAATTACGACGAGTGACATCGTGCAGATCCGCAGGAGTTTCTAGAAGCACACAAAGCGATCGTTTAGTACTAGTAATGCGCCAAGTATATATCAGTCGACCATAATCAACGGGCTAAGTGTCCGCACGCTACGAAAGTGAATTAGTGCGCTCTCTCTCTCTCTCTCTCTCTTTAGTGCTTTTTCGGTATCAAGAGCCGCCGAAGTTTTACAACCCTTCGTGCAACCCTTGTCGCGCCGATCCGCACGATTTCACTTTCAACTCAGACTGCTCTTGTACGGTACGTGCAAAACACGAGGAAGCGATTCTCACGAAGTTACACGGGGCAAGGACTATGTCTCGTGAATGTTTGAAACTCGGACTGAGTACTCTCTTGCGCATTTAAACGAGAACCTGAAATTTAAATTAAACAATCAGTCAGGAGAGTTCGGCTGAATTGAAAACAGGTTTAAGTGAAATTTGGAGGAAATATCACTCGTACTATCACACACAGTCGTGCGCAGAGGTTTCAAATTCAAAATTCACATCGGCGAGTCGGCAAAAAATGTTGGGATCCCTTCGTGTTTGCCCGGAACGTATAAGAGGCAGTCATCCATAGGAATAATGAGACTTGGACTTTTCCTACCTGTAAGCACAGAAGTTAGTATTTTGTAGGTCCCGCTACCATAACAGCAATCGACACTGCACCATTGTAACACGATATATATGTATATATATATGTATATCTTTTTATATATATATATATGTAATGCAGCAACTTGCGTATTCGCCCCTCTGCCAAATCACCAGATACACGCAGATTCTCTCTCTTTCACACTCACTCTTTCTCTTTCTCTCTTCTCCTCCCCTCTATCCTTCTCTTTCTCTTCCTCACTCCCTCACTCCCTCACTCCTTCACTCCCTCTCTCTCTCTCTTTCTCTCTCTCTCTCTCTCTCTCTCTCTCTCTCTCTCTCACTTCCTCCTCTCTCGCCCAGCGAAAAAGCCATTTTGCGTGCGACTTCTTTTTTTTGTAATTAGTCGGCGAAAGGTAAAGCCTGTACGCGTATCGCCTCTTGTTAATTTGCAAAACGCGGCGTTCCTCGCTAGAGATTTCTTTCACCTCGGTTACAGAAACGAGAGATTCCGACAGTCGTTAAACGTACATATATAATATAAGTAGCATTCTGTGAATATCTGAGAACCATGAGTGTGCAAGTACAAGTAGCCTTCCGAGTTATTAAGTGCTCTTGATAAGCGGAGACGTGATAAACGAGACAAACAATAACAAACCGTCGTACATCTCGCGCGATTCAATTCGTCGTATGAATTCATGAATCGCCGTTTGCGGCGAAAGTTCGGGGTGAAAGAAACGTGATGCGTGACGGGAGAGAAGATACGCTAGACTACCGTTACCTAAAACTCTAGGCCGCTGGGACGATCGGCATAGCAGGAAGCAATGGTTCATAGACACTTGCCACATTGAGAAGGGTGACTTCCGGATACCGTTAGAGACTCGGAGTAACTCGAGAACTCTCTCAGCGGCAGCGAAGCCGGCTGACGGAGCTCGTCGACAATCGATACGTCTGTGAGAGACACGGACGAACAGAAAAGAAGGCACACCTAGAGATTAGTCTTACGACTGGAGATGGGGAAGGATTCGTGCGCTCTCTAAATTTCCCGGGGTGCAATCTCGTTCGGAACGAGCGAGAATTCACTCCCGCTACTCCGAACGAAAATGCTGCCGCTCGGAGCTGCAAGAGTGAACGGTCGGTTCACTCTTGCAGCTTCGGTCGGTCGGAGTAAAATTCTTCCCCGCTCTAGATACATTATTTTGCCTGAGGCTCTTTTCGCACCTTTTTCCAGCCGATTTAAATCACGTCATTCAACACGTTTGCATGCGCCGTGACGCTAAGAAACGTGTGAAAGGAAATCCATGAAATTTAAAGAGAGTGCACAGAGAGACACGAACGGAGAGACAGAGAGAGAGAGAGAGAGAGAGAGAGAGAGAGAAAGAGAGATGGGGGGAGAGAAGGGAGAAAGAAAGAGAAACAAAGAGAAAATCAGAGACAATCTTTGCGCAAGAGAACGAGAGAAGGAGCAACAGAGGAGAAAACAACAATAAACAGAACGAGCAAGAGAAAGAGAGAGCTAATAAATAGTTACGACACAGAAATCTCCAACTTGATCTGTAGATATACCAAAGATACCTGTGACCCCAATGGAAAAAAAATGTATAGAACGTAACAAGATAACGATGGTTGCGATCTTCGACGTGTGGACTCTTCGATCAAGGGGAGGAGTCGCGTCCCCGTGGCTCTGTGGTTAATCACCTAATCCGAGACATACGAGAGACCACTGTGGGAAAAGAGAAAAGAGAAAGAAAAAAAAAGAAACACGCGAGAAGCGCGATTGCGAAGGGGGAACGAAGAAAGCCGGGGAGGAGACGAGAGGCAGCAGGCGGGAGAGACGAGACGCGAAGAGCGCAACCATCGTGCGAGGTAATATAATCAGGGTAAGAGTCCACCAACCCGGCAAGCAAAAAGATATGTATGTCCACAAGGCACATTTATTAACATGATCCTTATTATCGATATAAAAAATCGTCGAGATACAGAGAGTGTGTATACAGGAGATAAAAAAAAAAAGAGAGATTTATACCGAAGTCTCACGCGCGTGTGTGTGTGTGTGTGTGTGTGAGTGTGTGCGTATGCATGGATAACAAACACGTGTATACCGCGCGCGTGTCGAGTGTCCGCCGCAATTCCTCCGAGGAGATGCACACACGTGAAGACAAAATAGAATATAAAATTTCCATACTGAAACGGGGGGAAGGGAGGGAGAGCGGAGAGACGCGGCGTCGAGATAACTGAAGAGAGAAGAAACAAAGAAACCGAAAAGACAACTAGGCTGCGCTTTAGCTGACGGAATTAGCACTCGCGAAGGACACCTCCACGCGCTGCGGTACGCACTAGGTACTAAAAGAAAAAAAAATCTCCTAAATGCAACCCCGACGGAAACGATGCGAAGGCGAAGCGCGCGGTCCTGCTGTCTCATTCTTGCTTTACGCTACTTTACAGTCTGTGAACGTGATCTCCTGCCGGATCTTTACACGTCGCATGACACCAGGATACTTCCTGCTCTTCGATTCACTTCGCATCGCTTCGCCACTGTTATCTATATCTCTATGGTATCGATTAATGCTATGTAAAGCCGAATCGGAATGTGCGATCCCGATTCCACGGTATCTCGAGGATCTCGAGAAATGCACGCCCCTTGAACGCTTAATCGCAGGACGCTAATCGTGCGAATTATCGAGAAACGGCTCACCGAGTCGCGAAGGGGAAGGTCTTCCTTTTTGTCCCCTCCCTTCCGTCCGAGCTCTTTATCAATGCGCTCATTTCGGGCGCCGGCACAGTTTCGCAATTAGCGGCCTGCGACTATAGGAACGATTATTTACTTGCGTCAATTGTGCTCGACGTTCCTGCGAGAGCGACCCTCGGTTATAACCCTCGAGATAACACACACCGTATCTCGAGCACGTTACGTTATTTCATTAATAGACCAGAAACCGGACCGAGTGTGTCCAATTAATGACAGATACTTTCGTTTTTACTTGGCAGCTGCTATAACGGAGATAGAACTAAAGAGGGATTACACCAAGATACTGCTACTCTCCGACCTCTATGTGATAATGCTACTGCGTCCTGTGCGAGAAAAAGTGGTCCCATGTAAGATAATTGTAGGGATAATTGCGCGCATGTGTGACGGAGAGAGAGAAACAGGATATACGGGAAAGAGAGAGAGAGAGAGAGAGAGAGAGAGAGAGAGAAAAAGAAAAAAAAGAGAGAAAAAAAGAGAAAGACACTTACGTTTACGAGATTGCGTTACGGCGCAACCGGGGAAAGGAGGAACGTGAGGAACACCTTCCGAAAAGGAGACAACATCCGGGGTGAGTGTGGACGTCCGTTACGAGCTCTGTGATATGTACACGTGGTGATCACGTGCGAAGAAAAAAGATGGATCGGACCCCAGATGTGTGTAGTCAACGCTCGCGAAACGACAGATGGAAAACGGAGGAAAATGTCACGCGGTATTGCAGACAGAGGAAAGAATCTGTTTCGATTAACGCGACAATGGACGAAGAGAGACATTTTGATTGACGAAAACGGGATTGCTGGTTCCTTACCAACCAAATCCAAGATCCTTCGGGAAATAAGAATTTTGCTTCTTTTAAAACAAGCTTTGCTCGTTCATCGTCGACTCAGCAGAGAAAATTCTGCGCGACTGCGATGTAAGATTCGCGAGTCTGCAAGCTCTTAATTTGGAACTACGAGCGCACGCCGAATTCACGAATCTCACAGCAGTCGCAAAGTAGCTGTTTCTCTGCCGCCACTGTCGTGTTAATTCAACCGAACAGTTTCCTCCGTGTAACACCGCGTGTTATAATATATGCGCACGTCCCCTCACAAACCAACATGACATGCAACAAAGTTGTTTTATGTATACCTCTGGACATAATATCTGCGAAATAACGATGATGACCATTTCGCGCGCGCGCGCGCGCGCACGCGTGTGTATGTATATGTGTGTGAAAATCTATACTACCCCATTATTCTAACATATTAATCTAATACGCGCGTGTGTGTATGTGTGTGTGTATATGTTTATAAAAAACGTGGCAAGAAGACGAAAGTTTACGGCACTTCGCAATATGTGCGCGACGGAACCAGGACTTCAACTTCACGGGGGAGAGGATCTCCTTACTCGTCTTCTCTCTGAGCTTCCGCGAGCGTTTGCACGCATCGCGCTGTTATCGCTATCACGAGGGCTACGCGGGGAGTGGAAGTAGTGGAAGCTTGTTATTGACATGGCAGTGCGAGATACAACAGTCGCGTCTACGAACGGAATGTACCAGCGGAGGAAGAGGATACCATCCCTCTGGTGAAGCCGACGCTCGATTCACAAAGTAGTAACAACAAACAGCCGCGACATTCTCGCGCGTCTCGATGATCCTCGTCGAACTACACTATCGCGAGGTATATTAGGCCGCAAGCCCAGCTTGGAAAGAGTGAACACCGCCGACACCAGAGTTAAATCACAAGCCGTGAGAGTGTACAACAAGGTCGGCGTTTGGTCCCGTTTTCCTAACTCCGCCTATCCCCCTTAATCCTCCTTCAAGATTTCTCGCCCAAGGCCCCGGTCAAATGAATGCACACAGTCATCGTTACCAAATGATGCGACACTTACATCGCCCGTCGCACATTTCACGGTGAACTTCCCTTTCGTACGTGCTGTCGCTCTTGGTATGTGTATTGTACGTGTTGTACGTGAGTGTATACGTGTGTGTACATGCGTGTACGTGTTCGTCTTTCTTGGCAAGTACAACCTGTTGTTCCAAAGAATCCAATTTGCTACTTCTCGCGTACGTCAACCCTTGATTTTTAACCGAACTTGTATGTCTACTTGTATATCGAATCGAAGCTTGTATGTCACAATTCATGGGGGAAAGGGGACGACAAGACCGACTGCTCGCCAGGAACTTGACAATAACGACGAGACTTTGTTTAGATTGTAACATGCATGCACCGAAGAAATAGATGCCACGTGTGTATAAAAGAATCTATTATACCTCTGAAATAGAACTTCAGAGCATATAACATTGGATGGAATGTCACTTATTACTAATAAAAATATTCTTATCAAAATATATATATATATATATATATATAAATCATTCTTATATAAATATATATATAGATTTAAATATATGTGGTGTGTGTGTATATATACACACATACATAGATATTTGTGTACAAATGACTGTTCTTCCAATCATATCGACCGGTCGCTAGATTTTGGATCAATAAACATGCTAATTGCGTACTTCTCATGATGGATACCACTTCAACGACATATCGAACATTGAATTCAAGAGCGTATCTATGTAAAGTACATGAGCCTTGAGGAGATGCTGAGTATCGACACGATACAACTTTCGTAGTTTGCACTATTTTTCCATTTGGTTCTATAGAATTGCAAGTGTTTCCACGAAGTGAAAATATAAGTGTCAATGAATTTAAAAACACCCATATTATGTAACAAATAAAGAGAAATTTCGTGAGGTATATATATTGAACATCGTGTATTAATACTGTATTAATGTAGAATATAGAACAGAATTACCGTACTAATGAAAATCTAAGTATTCCAATTTGAAAGTTAAAACAACACACAAAAAATATATATATATATTTCTAGAGTTAAATACGGCATTAATACTCTCATCTGAAATAAAAAATTTCTCTGTCCTTGATATAACATGTGGTACTTTTAAAATCATTAACATCTGCATTCTCATCTGTAAAAACACTTGCGATTCTATACATCTAAATAGAAAAACGATGCGAATTACAAAAGCTATGTTATGTCGATCTCCAGTATCTCCTCAACATTTACAAATAATTGTCCGTGTGCAATCGCGCAGATACGCAAATATAGGCAGAAACTGAATCTACTCAATATGACGCTTCAACATTCGATATATCGAAGAGGACATATCCGCCATAAGATGCAGCTGAAAAATATGAATTCGATGGCCCGAAAATATAATTTCCAACCGGGATCCAGAAACGACATATACACCATGATAGTTTCGAGACATTTCTCTATGTATATGTAGGAAAACGTATATACACGTATCGTGTAATTCTGAAGAACCGGACCGATAGTCCTGTGCTTATCACTCTTCAAGGAGAAGGCACTAGAGTGGCGAAACGAAAACATTTGTTCCCGTACAACATGTCTCGACGACACGACATGTCTCAGGTATTCCAAAAAACGCGCGATTATTGAAGGAAAAAAGCGTATGCGCACGCTGCATAGAAAATTATGTACTACTGTCAAACTTAACGTACTTATCAAAATATGAATGTATATGCTGCCTATGTAAATATTGGAATCGAGGAAAATTAAGTCGTTTCGCGAATTACGCGTTAAGTACCGTTGCTAACCTTATGTAAGTAACGGCCGAATTTGTACGAAGCGTTCCCGAACGTTAAGGTACTTTATATATAAGTATATAACAGAGAAGGACAAACTCGTTACTCTCACCGTAACGTGTCTTCACGAGAAACATGATGAAGAAACGTTTTGTCAAAAACTCGCTGGCAAAACATGGAAAACGGAATGTCGTGAATATCGCGTGAGCGGACACCTCGCTCTGAGAATATAGCGTAAAGCCACCGACGAAGCAATGCGCAGCATTGTCCTGGGGAGCGCGATTACTGCGCGAAGCAACGAATCGAAAAATATATGTTCCTAAATATGAATATATAAAGGAATCGCGACCAGTAACTTCCTGTTCGGCCAAGAACGACGTGGTCCATTCTGTCCACGTGCGGAAGCTGACGCATTAAGGAGGAAAACGAGGACGCTGGAGGATCCGGAGAAGAACACCGAGCGGCCCGTTCCCGACGGCCGTTGCCTCGTCGGCAACGGCGAAACGACACATCGTGTTTGTCTCAGCAGTGTCAGATCTGAGGATAAAACTGCGGAGGATAAGGCAAGGCCGGTGTGGCGGTCGGAGCGGCGGTGGCGTGAAACGCGTGCGCTGGAGGTGCGTGCCAAGTGGCAGCGCGTTTCGCTACGCTGCTGGCCGCGTCGGCGGGGAAGGCGCTCTCCCACGTTCGCTTCAGGCCCATCAACGCGGCAGGGTTCAAGGACGTAGTCTGCATGATAGCAGGCGGCAGCAATCCATGCGCCGTGGGCGCGCGTAAGATCGGGATACGAGGCGGAAGAGGATTAAAGAGCAAGAACGGCGTCGCCGGAGTCGGCGGTTGCGCGACCGCTGCGGCGTGGTGGTGATGAAGCGCGGCCACCGCGGCTGCTGGGGGTGTCACCGCGTAAGCGGGTATCTGAGCTTGAGCCGGGCTCGACGCGGCGAGCGCCAAGGACTTGCTCGTCGCTGCCGGGGTAGGCGAGGCGGGGTTTGAGGTAGGAGGCGGATTGGACGCGAGAGCCATTAGCCAAAAGTCTGAATTCCTGATAGCCGCCTGCGCCTGGGCCACCTGCGCCTGGGCCGCCTGCGCTTGGGCTACCTGCGCCTGTGCTACCTGAGCCTGCACCAGGGTGTGAATGTCCCACAGTTGTGGCGGCGGCGGCGGCGGCTGCGCGGCTGGTACCGGCACAGGCACCGGCGTCGGCGGAGGCGGATGTGTCAATGTCGCGGGGGCTTGTGTGGTTAACGTACCGGGTGATGGTAGAGGCGTGGTTGACGGCGGTGTTACCGCACCTGTCAATACCAGACTCATATCGTCGCCGCTGCATTGGAAGACTTCGATGTAACGCTGCTTCTTGCCGAAGATCATGTACCGATGGTGCCGCTGCGTAGCGCATGCGTACGCTGACGCCTCGCTGTCCATTTGGATGAACGCCTCGCCGGATGGCTGACCCTGGTAGAATAACGAGAAACGGAAGGAATAAGTGGAGGAACGAAGCTTCGCAAGAGCGTCTCAAAGTAGGACTATTGATATGTACTTGAGCATTGTAAACCATGTGGACGCCCTGAAAGACGATATTCTTCGAATGCTCGCCCATGAACTCGAGGATGTGCTCTACCACCGCTTCGTACGGCAACCCGCGGAGTCTCACGCAATCCTTACGTGTGCCGCATGTAATAATGTGCTGAGGTATTATCGAAGGTAGCTGCACGATACGCGGAGGTGGTTGCACTACTTGCTTCGGATCGATCGCCCTGTTCAGTACCTGTGCGCGTATCAAAATCAGAATGAGTAACATGTACGCACGTCGTCGAGATATTTGCTCGCTCCTACTCACTTGTTGCACCTCCGCTGTCGTGCTCCGGAAAAGCTCTATGTACCGACTGCCGATGCAGTCTCTATGTTTGCTCAATGCCTTTACAGCGTCCTCTTCCTTGGCAAACAAGACGAAAGCGTCCCCAGTCGCTCTGCCGTCGGGCTTCTTCACAAATAACACCCCATCTTCGCCGTCGAGCACGTGGCATGGCTTTTGTCCGGACAGGAAGAACTCCAGCTGTGGGGAGAGGAAAGCGTCGAATGTGTACAGCGGCGACAAACGGACACAGAGCGTATGTAATCGAGAAGCTTAATTTTCGCATTATTAATGCTATGTAAAAGAATCTTTAAATCGTTGAAACAATTATATACCACTTGTTTAGCAACACAATCATACGGCAAGCCCCGCATTCTAACGATGACTTCAGCCCCGCGTGACAGAAAAGCGTGCGCCTCCCCGCTCGTACCACCAGCAACGCCAACAAAATCCTCTCCGGAGGCTTTGTAAACTTCTATGTATCGTGCACCCATGTGATGTTTATGCCGCTTCAGCGCCATGTCTCTGTGTTCTTTATTAATAAACCGTACCAACGCTTCGCCGTTACGCCTTCCCATAGGACTTAAACAAAGAGCTACACCACCCCTAAAAAAGTTATTACACCACTGTTAGCGTATTGTTGCGCTCCAGCGACCAGCCTTCTCTCTCTCTCTCTCTCTCTCTCTTTCTCTCTTTCTCTCTCTCTCTCTCTCTTTCTTTCTCATTATTTCTCTTTCTTACTGTATATTTATGTAATATTGCGAACGTCGTTAGACGCGAATTCGTGAAGATAACGATATTAAGAGGACTCTACAAGAGTTCTAATGTCGAGTTTATCACAGTTAGATCCATAGAGCATACGAAATCCATGACTCCAGATAAAATGCTTATCACTATATACAACAGCTATGAAGCAAATAGAAGAAGACCTCTGAAGTCGTATTTGTTATGTCATGTAGGAGAAACTAGGGCGAAAGGGAGAACGACAGAAGGAGCTTGTGCGCTTCTAAGTGCATTATAGATGCGCTAAATATCAATTACCTGCTTTACACAGATCCATGTGGCTTGTGCATAAATACCAAAAAGATAGTTAGGAGACAATTGAAACGTTTTCTCGAGGTTTCGTTAGTCGTATTTCAAGATTGTTTCTATAAATCTCAACAGCACTACTTACTTGGCGACATTTAGGCCACGAAAAAATTTGGCGATATCTTGATCCGAGGATTGCCAAGGAAGACCACGCGCTCTCACTACACAATCATTCTCCACCTCCTCGTCTTTGGAGCTGAGGGCCGTGTTAATATATTAAATAATGAAAAAACACGCATATATATAACGTACAAGCCCATACAAATTTTTCAACTTACCATATGCCAGGTTCTAAAACGATGTTAATCACTTCTGGGTTTTGAAAAACGTGACCTGAAAAATATAATTATAAATTGTCTTAATCAGATGTTAATTACACATATTAATTACATATATTAATTGAATTAAATATATTCAAACAAAAAAATGTAAATCTCAGGCTTGTTTCTCTCTTTCGAGAGAGACGTTACCTTTCTTCTTTTTATATTTTCCGCATTTAAAAACGAAACTAACGTACTCTCAGAATTTGCAGACGAGAAGAGAAAATAAAAAGATCGCAAGCGCAAGTGCAAAACAGCCGGCCTAATCGAGAGTGTGACGAATCTTGAGAAAAGTAACTTTAAGAATCGAACAACCTCGGGAGCGTTTCCTGCGGATCACTTAACGGTGCTCGATTTCAACACAGAGTCACTCGCAAGAGCGACAACATTTCACGCGGCTTATCCTTCATACGAGTGAAAAAAAATTTGATCCACGAGAAACACTTGGTGTAGAACACGCTGTTGTGTATGAAACATCGCGTGTAAACATAAAAGCATGCACAGAGCTTGCCAACTGCCGATTGGCTCGTCAGAGGTCTGTGTGTCAAGCGGCAGCCGCCTGCCGCTTACTTTGTTGACGATATTTTTCGTTTTTTATCTGAGAAATCCTTGAAAAATATCGCTCACGATAATCGCCAAAAACGGCGGCAGGTTGACGTGATTTTACACGATATACTTCAGATTGTATCTACGGCTTTTCATCGACTTGTCACATTCCGTCTCTTCTCTTCTTCGGTCAATTACGCGAAATACTTTATTTTTGATGAAAAATAAATGCGCGCGCGCGGGCATGTAAAATATTATGCAAATATACGTTACGTTACTGCGGTTACATAATTAACGCGATCAACTTCGTACGAAATATATCGCTATTGTGGAGGTGCAATACTGACTCTCAAAACATTTTAAACTTCTTTTTTTAGTACAGTTCAGAAAATGCGGAGCGAATGTCCGGTGAGAGGACTCAACTATGACTATGGGACTTTTTCAGAAGAATTTCTCGACTGCGTTCCTGGAGACTAGGAACAACAAAAATGTTTGGACCGTTTCGAAACTCGGTATATCGTGCTGTAGAGATACAACAGGCGATCAAACACAGGGAAGAAATAAAAATATCAAACATGAAGACACGACACCATCTTTCACGAACGTATAAACCGGCGATTACGAGCGTCAACAATTGCGCGATCGTCGTCTAAACTTGCGCTTATGCGTTTCCTCCGTAACACTATATCCGTCCGTTTGTCTCCGATTTCTCCGAGCCGGGCAAAATGGCCGATTCGATTTGCAGGCTCAGCGGAACGCGGCTCGTCGACAAGTAGAAGTGCGTTTTGAGGAATGCACGCGGCTTATTAAATCGGTCGTCGATTACACGACGCGCAATTTATCGCGCGTTTTCCACCGCGCGCGGCTCCGATGCTCCGAGTTCGAGCGGAGAAATAAATCGCGATAAATCACGATAGGAGCGACAATTATAGTGCAAAAATAAAAAGCCGATCACGTGTTCCCCTGTGCGTTTCCTCTCTCGGACGGACCAACGGATCGTCTCGGCCGAGCTGAAACGAGCATCGTCATTATTATCGAGCGCGCAGCAAGATGGCAAAAGATCGACAGGATCGATACACGGTGTCAAAAGCGCAAGGCGTTTTTTACGAGTGCGTATTATCGCGATAATATGCGTTATCTGCCGTTAATGTAGCTTTCCACAGGTTGAGTGTCACTGTGATAAGAGAGCTGGCGCTCGAATCTCTGCTTAGAACGTTGCAGAGTTTGATCGACACTAGTTTGGATGCAACTGCAGGAACGACGAAGATGCGACAATGGCCGGGGACAATGGTCTTAAAAAAAATCAAAAGCGCCTCGAATTTGGCTGAATTTCGTCGAAGAAAAATCATACTCGTTTACTCGCGAATACTCGTCAAGCGCGAAATTCGTTTTCCTCTTTCTTCGCGAAGAAAAGAAACGTCACGTTTCGAAGATATCTTCCGTGCGAACGCACTCGGGAACGAGCCTCTCCGATTCTCGAAAGAGCAATTAAAGAAAGTAATTCTTCGGCGAGTACCGGCTTAATCACCGGCACGATCGCAACCTCCAAGGCCGTCGCTGCTGTCAGGTGTGAGCACACTGCACAACGTTTGGAGAAATGAGAACGTTACATTGCGCGTGTATCATACTGCAGTTCGTGCGAAATTAAAAAAGAAAATAACGATGCACTATTGGTTTTTTTTTTCAGGAAACATCTTGGCTGTTGAAATATAAGAAAAAGATTTGAGTGTGCGGAAGATAAAGATTGATGAAACTGATAAGCTCCAGGATCGAGCAGATTGCATCGATCACATATCTATTCTATCTGCAAAAAAATGAAACTCAAAGAAAGGTACATGAAGAAAAACACACATGCTTCACTCGAGCAAGTGTCCTTTGTTTTAAACCTTTCATGAATTTATCATAAGCATCAAATTTACTCAAAACACATTCTACATCTAAAGTTCCAAGTTCAACATCTCCATCAAGACTGCTCAATGAGACCATTAAATTCAAATAAATATTCAATTTGCTCTCCGCATGCGATGCATAAATTTTATAACATTCTTGGAAAAAAAATAAATTCTTCTTTTGAGCACACGATAATGAGCTTTCACGAAATTTCTAATGAGTATATAGCAGGACAACCACCGCTTGAAGAGAGGACAATGAACTGAGTAATCGCTCTTCTTAACGGTAGAACGACATTTTTCTCCGCGCAAATGCTGTTTCGACGCATTCCTCGCAACGTCGACAGACACGCCGCATCGTGTGTGCGTTACAAAGAAGAGATATTTTATCGGCTTACCGTCCTTGATCATTCTCTGTATCACAGTCACCATGTCCTGTATCTCTTTGACATGAAAATCATTGTCCGTGTCCGGCGGCAGTCCGAAATCTGATCAGTCGACGGTCAAGGAAACAGATATATTTTCTTTCTTTTCCCTTCTCGGCTGCGCGATAAAATCGACTTTCATATCGTGACGACGGAGCCACGCGCGAATAATTCACGCGCGACTCTCCGCGAGAAACGGCGAGAGGTCGGAGCACAATCGAAAGAGCGACGCGCAGCCGCCTACCGCGACCTTTGCGCCCGCGTTGCTGATACAAATTCATCAGAAACGGAAATCGTCGCAGATCGTTCTGTAGACTCTTTCGCTCTCGTGGGATCTTATTCACGCAAGCTTCTTTTCCCGCTTATCGTTCGAGATTGCAGACATTAATAATATTACAGATACAACCCGTTGCACAAGAAGAGACGAGCACGTATAAATAGTAGCAGTCTGCAAAAATTCGAGACCCACCGACTGCTCGAAGAGGAGGATGACGGAGACGCGTGAAGAAGTCTACCGCTACCAGTGACACCAGTGCCCACTGTTTCACGCAGTCTTGACATTTACGTAACAACAATGCGAGAAAGAGAGAGAGAGAGAGAGAGAGAGCGCAGTACAGCGTCGAAAAAGAAAATTTTTTCTTTTACATCGTGGAATAAAACGGATTGCGTGACGAATAAAATCGCATCTTCGAGAGCGCATGGCGGAGGCGGTCGCGAGAGTGGAAGAAACAGCCGCGGCTATTGTGGCAAGCGTGCGTCTCGGTAAACAACGTTGCTTCGTTTGCAACGAGACGGAGGAGCTTGCGCGCGAACGAGAATACCGAGCGTTACATACCCTGTGGTTTACGAACTGGCAAATGAACGAGTGCGCTCGGGTAATGGCCAGGTAGCAGCTAAGCGGCACAAGCGTAATTACGTGCTGCGACAGCGAGTTCCTGGCGAATGGCACGCGTGTGCGCGCGCGCGCGCGCGTAGACGGGCGGAGCGCGCGAGCGAGCGGGATCGAAAACTGGAAGCGGCCGACTTGAGAAAGTTCAACAAGTCCAAATCGCAGCGCACAATGATAACATGTATACATGTGTCACGTGCGCTCGTCACTGGCCTCTTCCCGATATCTTCGTTAGAAGGCTGACCTTTAAACTGTAGCCCGATAAGACGGTATAAATCAGACACGCGCGACCGGCCGAACTCTCTTTCTCAAGTCATCTGATCGTCACCGTTTGTAACGAATATGCACGACGTCCCCTCGCCCCTGCCTCTTCCCCCCTTCCCCTGTGTCCGTCCGCTAGTCTCTGTTTTTGTCGCATCTGCGGCAAACACGGTTCGAAAAATGACCCGGCCGCCGAGATTATGGGAGTTGTGAGAGAAATTGTTGAGGGACGAAAATCGCGCGCATATACGCATATACATACACACACATCCGATTACTCTTTAAGGCTCGGCGGAGAAGAAGTCGATAAGAAAATCCGCGGCAATTGTGTCGTCGAATTGCCTTTAGTCCGAGACGCGATCTCGAAAAATCGATTTTCGAACATAGAAGCGTCATAAACACATTAGTTCTCGTTGGTTCTTGGTTTTTGATACAATGAGGGGTGCTGCTGATCAAGAGGTCTGCGCCCGCGAGATTCAATGTCGAGTATGAACGGAAGGAAACGATGGAAACGACTTTTCCTAGCCTCGCGCGATCTTCTGTATCGTCGCGACTCCATTCGCTTTCTCTCTCTTTCTGTTTTTCTTTTCTTTTCTTACGGAGGAGACACGAATATTATCGCGGTTGAGTAGGTTGTTGACGAATTCAGCGGATATCGCGCATCCGCCCGTAATAATCGCCCATTCTTTATCTACGGCTTGGAAATTGACAAGTGAAAGATGATACTTTCGGCGATTCTAATGGCGATGATACATCTGTTTTCTGGAAAGGAACGCTGCTGATGCGTGATTAATGATGAGTGATAAACATAATCACCAGAGACAACGGTAGAAGGGTATCGATTAATTTCTTTAACTAATCTCTAACGTCGTCGCTATCTGGCCAGAGCACGGCCGGTTGATAACGCTCGCAAATAAAGTACTCGGCGAAAGTAACGGAAAGGAAACGCAAATCCCCGACAAATTTCCCAGTCGGTCGTGAGAAGTGAGTTCTCTGGAAATAAAAAATTCTCAGACTCCCCGTATCGTGCAAGTATTCGTATATATGCGACGCGTACGTGACTACGCGTATACGTGCGTATATGTGTGTGTAACGTCCATAGTCCTTTCGTGAGAAGCAACGTAGAAAACTGAAGTCATAGACCGGCTAATCTTAACGTGACTCGCACTGGACCGGCGAGTGGTGAGTCGATTCGAACGTATACGTGCACATTCTCTCTCTTTCCCTTCCCCCCCTCTCTCACTCTCTCTCTCTCTATCTCTCTCTCGCACACATACATACATACACGCGCACGCACCTCGACTTAGCGCAGGTGGTCTTGTTTTATTAGCGCCAGGTAGATATAACACACGGTGAGCCGAATACAAGGAAGGAAGGCTGCGGTATACCGTATACGGTCAGCATGAATCTGAATCGAGGTCGAATTTATAGCAGGAGCTGCTCGTCTCGAGCGTTTAGAATGACGTTACTGCCCGCTGCCGCTGGTTCGCGAGAGAAATCGCAATCGCGGGATTCGAATCACCATTGCATTAGATTCAAAATACGCTCAGCGTATCAAGAAAGAATGAGGGGGGAGAGAGAGAGAGAGAGAGAGAGAGAGAGAGAGAGAGAGAGAGAGAGAGAGAGAGAGAGAGAGAGGGAGAGGGAGAGAGAGAAAGAGCACCAATGCCGAGATCAATCGCGCGAGGACACACCGTCTTATTATTCATTCTATTCAGACGCGTGATTTTGCGACGCCTTGCGAGAAACTCGAGACGTTCGGCGAATAAAATGTAAGCGAACGAGTGAGCGAGCGAGCGAGCGAGCGATAGCGACGATATGTACCCTTATCGAGTAGATTGGATCTTACTTCGGTGAATGGAGATTAAAACTGGTTGCTTCTATCGGCCGGTTACTTAACGTAAAGAATCAGAAGGTCCGGATTTCGAGAACACCAGATAGAGATAACGGAATCTTACTTTTTTCTCTCTCTCGGGCGACTCTACGATTGAACGTCGGTAAAGGTGAAGCTCGCAGTCTTCCACACCGAATCGAGCACAAAGTCCACGTGTTGCCCCCGCCGCAAAATAAGATATACCTGCTTGCTACTTCGATTCCGGATAGCGTTAAAAACTCACAGGACGACTACGAGGATCGGGAGGACGAGACTGCTCACCGTGGAAGACAATGCTGATCGCGGGCCCAGACCGATCCTCTCTTTATCTTCTGATCCAATCTTCACCTCGGACAACGATTCCGATCGATCGATCGATCCGCCGCGAAGAGCTTCGAGTGTAAGCGAAGACACGTCGAGACTCGGGCTGCAATCCGCGGACAGAGGCGCAGCGGCGAACGTGGCACACGCACTTGTGCCTCGTACGACCGCAAAGACCGACTCTGGTTGAGACACGGCGATCGGGTGGATCGTGTCGTCGGGGACCGCGTCGTGTGTGCCTCCGCGCGTCGTGCACTTCCGTCGCGCCGCCTGACGGCCACGCCGCGAGAAATTCCTCGCGTAGAAATACACAAACGGCTCGGCCCGGCACGGCTAACAACTTGGTCGGTAGCGCCGGTAAATTATGATAAAGCGATTAATACGTCGTTAATATGTCGTTATATTAATCGGCTGATCGTACGCAGTGGCAGTGGTGTCAGATGTGTAATCCAACCGTTTCACGAGCCGAACTCGGTGCAAGAGCGAGAGAGAAAGAGACCAGAAAATTGTTCTTTGGAGATGCAAAGAGCCTCGATGATCAAACCGACGAGACCGTCTTTGATCGTAGACTTATACGCATAGACTGAACACTTTACGAGAGGCTGTGAAGTTTTCGTGTGAAAAGGATGTCCTCTGCCACAGGCATTAGACCTTTGTCTAGCTTGAACTATTGGGCTAAAGCTAAATAAAGATAACATGCATATGGACAGTAATTATATATAGCTGTCCTTCACATCTTGTTTTCGAAGCTCTCCTAAGAAAGCGCAGTCTATGCATACAAATCTACGTCTGCGACGAAATTAGCCCTCGCTCGACAGTCGACGACAGTTTATACGAGTCGATGGCGCAAAAAGGATACATTGTAACATCTCCTGCACTCCGAGGGTCGATAACTCGCCGTGAGAGGAGTAGCACGCCACAAAGTCTTTTCGCAGGTCATAGAAGTGGTTGTAGTGCTCCGGTAGCTCGATGTCCTTGTTGCAAGCTTCGGGATGCAGACATTGTCTCATGGGCGCTTGGCCGTCCACCACGAACTTTGGTGTCGCGCCAGATGTGACGCAGGACATGGACGACCACCAGCTCTCGAACTTTAAAAACAGAAGAAACGTCGCATGGCATTAGACAATCTCTCGTTTCGATCTGTGATTATTGTATTGTATCAATCATATGAGATTATGATATCTTTTTTAATAGACATTTAATAGATGATACTAGGCATATTTAATAGACGATAATAGGCACGACGACACACCGACTGCCAGTACTGCCAGTATCGACGCGCCTCTTAGAGGGAGTAACACGTTCACCGATGCTGCTCGAAAGAGTTCGAAAAAACGGCGACTCAAGTCGCTGAGTCCAAAGCTAAGGAAGCTACAGAAATTTTTCTTTCTTTTTGTAAAATCCAAACCTAAGATTGACATTTTCCTATCTCTTTTGCAACCTTCTTTCAACTTTTGTTAAAAACATTTTTGACAAGATTTTTTTGTTTTCAATCATCTCAATATCAAGTTTTAAATATTGAACACGAAATAGTCAAATTTTTTCCTCTTGGCAGTTATATGAATGACATGGAACAACACGTGAATTTTATCAATTTTTTCCTTTCGCGAATCTCTCGTTAAAAATAAATTTCTCTCTTCTCTGTAGAGCAAACAATCGAAAAAAAAAATAATAACTTGCAAGCGGAGACTCTGGTTTGGTAATAAGTTTCTTTCGCTTGTCACCGACAATAAGTACCTGCTCTATGGCCTGCTGTAGAGGTATCCCATGCTCCCGAAGGTTTCGTTCAGTCAAGGCTGGAGCATGTTGCAACGCTGCGTCGTTAATGATCCCGCTACTTCCGGCAACCGCTGGGTTGTCGCTGCCGGTCCCGGGTGTACAACTGTCTTCCATTACCATCGGTCGCACGATGTACTGTTGCCTGCCTAGCACCTGCAACGAATTAGTCGCCTTGTGAGCCACTCGTGCGCTTTTGCTTCAGGGCACGCGAGTACCCTCGTGTACTTTAAATTTGCCTTCTAAATTCATGTTCGCACTTATTTGTACAATCCGACGCCCTTCGATTCCCGTGTGTTTTCTTCGTTGTTACATTTATCATTACCATTAATCTCTGCATAATTATCTCCAGCTGCGGTCATCGTTACCGAGTCCCATACTTGTTACTGAATGTTTAAAATTCGACAAACCCGCCTTCTTTCTTTCTCTCTTTCGATTTCGATCAAGATGCAGAACCAAGCGGTCGGACATGCGGCACGGCACGGTCAAGGTCACGCGCCTTCTTGCACCTTGAACTCGACCGATGCATTCCATGATGCATCGATAATGCATCGCGATTAGCGGTATTAGCGCATAAGCACGCACGCACGCACGCGCGCCCGTTCGTGCACTTTCGCGAGCTGCAGCGATATAATGATTGCATATCGGAAGGGGCGGTCTTTTGCATCGTGCGACACATCGGCGCTCTGCGATCTCTCCTAGGTCGGCATCCGTGGTTTAATCTTAGATTGAAGATCGTCTTAAGTTTACCTTCTGGTGCCCCATAGTCAATAAAATTGCCCGTACGGTATCTTAGAATGAACTTGGAGCAATTTTAAATGTGCGCTCTCAGACATTTGTACACACGCAGATATGTCACCTTTCTTCAGCGAATCGACATCCGGTTGATCGCACCGTTGGTATGCGATGATAAAGGAACGATATATCTCATGACCGCGGATCTCAAACACGAGAGAGAGAGAGAGAGAGAGAGAGAGAGAGAGAGGGAGAGAGAGAGAGAGAGGTTTGCCGTGAGTGCGTGCGTAATGTATTAAGAATGCGTCGTCGATGTTCTCTGCTTGATAATTCAAAACAATGCCCCACAACGTGGCCCGTGTGACCATCCGCGAGGTCAAGGTCTACCTCTAAGGAACCGCACGCAAGAGAGAAAGATAATTCTAACGAGCAACCGTAGTGGAAGACCAAGTAAAAAGAAAGCAAGAACGGATCACAGCAAATATTTTTGAATGAATCGTGTAAAGTCTATCCTTGATTATTGGCTGTTATGTGGAGCGAAATGAAGCGAGCGTATCGAGGTAGGTGGTAATTCAGGAAGAGATGTATCTTATCGTAGATAAACAAAAATTTATAAATAATACCGCGTATCTGCAGGTTATGTACACGAATATAACGGGCATAGAGTCGGGATTAATCGACGGATTTAGTATAACAATTCATGGTATGTAACAATCCATAATAAGAACTTTTACTATTCAATATTCCTGTTTGGTATTCTTATGAAAGATTCACCTTTCTTTTAGAGTCGCATAATATGTTTTATAGCAAATTTGAAACTTTAAACTGTTTATGTATTTTATTTTGTTTATTATCATCTCGTATATGTATTCTAAAAGAATATTATCCTATTCAAATAGATAAATAAATTAATATCATAATCGTGCTAGCTTATCCAAAACTTGAAAGAATCAGTATAAAATAAGGAACGAAGAACTGTAGAAAAAAAAGTTTAAAATGAAGATGAAAATTAAAAAGAAAAAAATGTGCAGTTTGAAAGTATAGTTGTTGGTATTTTCTTAGAAATTCCTCTACAAATCTCTTCCTCAGAGTTGTTAAAAATTTCTTCAAAATTTAGACCCGTGGCATAAGCTGTTCATTGTGACATAGTATAAGGAAAACTTAATGCAAAGGCGGCGGCTGAAGTACAAAAGTCCCTCGACCTTGCTGAACCCGCATATCCTTTATGCAGGTATACGTAAGTACTAAATCAGCATGAGTACGCATACGTAAACGATAATGTGCATATCGCTCGTATGCCTTCAGCAAGTGCCTTCGTGCAAATATACAGCGGTGCACGGGGTGTCTCAAAATTATTAAAAACCGTCAACAAGTAACAGTAGTAGTTTCGGAAGAGATTGCAGCAAAACGCCATTTCAGCTTGTTAGTTCATACTTTTCAACCGCTCAGTCGATCGAATCGTACCTCGTAAATCTGCGAATGTTAACTACATTCTTGATTATTGCTACTACTAAAATCTATTAAGCACATACATACTTCAGATTTCAAATATATTCCGATATTCATAAATTCAAATGTCACTGCAAGCCGGTTTTCACCTATCCGGATGTATGTACTGTTCTTAAAAAAGAAAAAAATTGCAATTTTTGAGCTTATACATATTACTTTACTGCCTTGTGGAAGAATTGGATATTTGGCGCGAAATAAAATTAATTAAATTAAAATCTTTCAACTCTCTGAATAATTCAAGCTTTTATATTTTTCAAGTAAAAAATTTGGTACCTGAATTTTATTTCAATTATTAAATTATTATATGTTATGAAGTAACTATTCGATTATTAATATTACACGATTATTCAAGTATATCTACTCCAGCTATACATTTTACAAGTACAATTCGTTCGAAAATTAACATCGCCAAAGTAGCACAAGTATTTCACAAAGCAGACGATTCACGTCCGCCTCGCAGATCGTGGAAAATCTTTGACTCGGATTCACTCGGCTCGATACTTACGAACGTGGATTAGAGTATTTATAGCTTCGTTCGCGACGTGCGCGATCCGCGCCGGGAACTTAATAGACAGGTTCTTTGACGCGGCGGGGTTAACGGATCAAGGTGGTTCTGCGAGGCGATTCATCATCATCGTTGTGCCGTGCGAGCTCGCGCAGATTAGCTTCTCCAGCGGTGCCGCGTGTCGATGAAAAGTCGTGGCGCAACAGCGAGAGAGAGAGAGAGAGAGAGAGAGAGATCTCCCCTTTGCGGCGTTACGTAAATTTTGAAGTCGTTCGCTCTCTTCTTCGCGAGCGACGGCCTCCATGCGCGCGCGCGCAAAGATCCTTCAGTGCGCGCGTGAGGAATAATTTCTACCGAAAAAAAGAAGAAAGAGAAACCAGCCAAGCAGTCTTCACGAAAACGTGCGCGAACGTGCGTCTACTTTAAAACTGCACCGTAAAGAATCAAGAACATGTCCCTCGCAGGTCCGACACTTTCGCACGAACGAGCGACGCTCGAAACGGCGCATGAAAATACGCGATTCCGCGAGTCGGCCGGTTTTTGAGCAGAAAAAGATCGGGAAGTCTCTCTCAACAATCGAGGCAGCAGCTGGAACGAGTTCACGGAGGCCCGTGTAACGCTCGTTCCTGCAGCCGTGCAATTAATTAACCCTCGCGATCCCGTTTTTTTGTCCGACTATAATAATTTTCTTCAGAAAGAATTCCTTGAAGATACCTTCTAAACGTCACTTAATTTCTGTCGTTTTTCTTTCTGTTCTACGACTTTTTGCCATCGAAGGAGATGGCAAATGCGTCATCGGATAAAGTTATGCTCTATTATAAAAGTACCAGCTTTGAATTTTTCGCGAAAATCCCTACGAACTTGTCGGACAACGCATTTTATGTTGTTACATGCGGGACAGCAAGTTGAACAATGCCAGTACACAATAAATTGTTCAACTCATACTAATTCTAGCTGAGGAACATGCGCGTGTCTCTTGTGCAGGCACACGCGAGGCAACGTGAATATTTACGTAAAGGACAGTGCGCACATCGTGTGAACGGGTGTCCACGTGGAAATTATACTGTAACATGAATGTGTCCCACGGAATTCCGAGGCTCACAGCACGCACAAACAAACGTACGTTAAGAACGTACGTTAAGAAGGAACGTTAAGAGCGGCGGCGAGTCTTGAAAATATGCGATTTCAGTTTTTGGGAAAAGCCTAAAAAAAGACGAGAGCACGTCTATTTCGACGGACGCTGAAACGAGTTCCTGAAGAATCGCGTAACGCAGCTGCCGCCGCTGTGGAATCAATTAGAAGACGTGTGATGAACAATAATTCTGCGCCATGAGGCTTGCGTTAAGGACACCAACGAAACCAGCTTCCGAACACGACAGGTTGGAGCGAAATTATTCTCAAGTGATTGCTCATGTTCGAGTCATTTCGCGAGAAGCAGCCGGAGGAAAGTAGCTAATGACAGACAAGCATCATCGAGAGACGAATGTTTTCAGCGCATATTTCAGCCATCTCTCTCGAAGCTACACCTCCGGGAGGAGCGAATTTTTGTGAGATAAAAGTTTCACGGTCGAGTTTCACAAACATCACCGCACTGGAAATATCATTCGAACTGTACAGAAGAAACAGGCATGAGGTGGCATGAGAGAAAAAACAGGAGCAGAAGAGAAATCAGCGAGCGAGGTAGAGGTATGTGTGCATGTGTGCATTGTGTGTGTATGTGTGTCTGTATGCATGCACGCGTATCCCTTTTTTTGGTAGGATGTCGCAATCTCATAAAACGCCGCGCACGCACAAGGTCGAATCAAAATCGAATGTTATACATGTTTGATGTCCTTATAAATTTTAAATGCTCGACCGATCCGACAACGTCACGACGGAGACGCGCGTGGTGGGGAGTGTCGGAGGGTCAAAGGTTCCGCTTCGCCTTGGAGAGGTTATAATGTCCTACTACCACCTTGGCGTGTGGTTAAGAAACGCACCGCGAGAGGAACGAAAAAACAAACAAGAATGTGCGAACGTGACGTGCGGACACACGTTACGTAAACTGATCCGCGCTGAACACGAGTTCGGCGTTTGTGTGTCCTGCGGGAAGTGACATAATATTTGTTGCTTTAAATCGCGATGGCGAATTTCATCACCTTGGAAACTCGAAATCTCCAAGCTACCGCGTCCTATCATGTTTTTTATTTTTTCATTTCTTTCGGGAGCCATTCCTTCATTCCTATCTTCTTCTTTCTCTCCGTCCGTTCAGAACCCGTTACATTCTATCCTTATCCTTGCCTCTCGAACGCGGATCCCAGCGAGAGCTCGGATCCTGAGCCCTCGCGTTTCATATTCCTACGTTTGACCGCGTGTCTCATGCCGCTCTCGCGCACAAGACATAATTCTGATTCGCAGCAGCGACCAT